CAGTACTAAAACTCTTTCTGCAGAATCCTAGTGCTCACTGCACAGCTGGAGCTTGTCTAATGATGCTTGTGCTATGCTGCCCATGAGCAGTTCCCAGGTTTCCAAGAATGTATGACTGTCACACCAAAAACCAGACAGATGAGAGGTATGGAACATATATATCGTGGTGACGGCCTAAGGAAAAATAAATTTCTAGCATCAAATCTGGCCTGTAGTATCTTGATTTAACCTATCAGTAGCATTATTTTACCATTATACATGGTTCACTATTAGGTATGTGTGTGCATATATATATATATATATATATATATATATATATGTATATAGGCAGATGTATATATTTAGTTGTCTTGTCCAGAGAACCCCTGAACTGATCTGGGTGATTTTTGCATATGTTGTTCACCCAGATCGCGGCTGTAAGGGGATGTACCCACTGACCCCCTTCCAGCAGAAGAGCTGGCATCAGGGCAGAGCACTGCTGGCCTCTACCCTCCCCATTCTCCTTGTCCAGAGCCAGACTTCCTGCAGGCTAGCCCAGCAGAAGAGCTGGCATCAGGGCAAAGCGCCGCTGGCCTCTGCCCTACCTACCCCCTTGTTACAGGACAGGATTGTAAACCCGTTACCCCAGCAGAATCACTGGCAACCAGGCAGAGCGCAGTAAGCCTCTGTCCACCCCTGGTCCGTGATCCAAGAACTGACCACCCACTCCCCTACCCAGCTGTAACACTGGCTGCAGAGCGCAGCTTGCCTCTGCCCACCAAGTACCACAGCTTCTTGCCTAGTTGCACCAGGGAGATCAAGGGTGCTGAACACCCACTCAGCAACCTGGGACATGCCGGACAGAACTGGGCACCAGGAATCACCTAGAAACCGTGGCACACTAAGTCATCCCACTACCTGCAGAGATGCTCCAGTTCAGCTGAACGCTGCTGGATGAGGTTTTGCACCTTGTCAGACTTTCTACACTATAAATTTGTCTTGCGTTCATGCAGCGCAGCCCTTACCCTTGCTAAACAGTCCTACTTTTCTTCTCTCATTAGTTCATGCTCCCGCAATCATAGCCATCTTTATTAATACTTTTAACTCTCTTCTTCACCCTGCTGTGGCCACCCCACAAACTAATCTTTAAGCTGATAGCTTTGCATATTACTTTACTGACAAGATTAAACAGTAAAGGAATTAATTCTCCCCTTTTCTCCCCTCTCTTTCTCAACCTCACTTGGACCGTACCATCCCTACCCTCCAAGCCTAATCTCCAGCAAATGAATAGGAGGTGGCTGCACTTCTCCTTTCCTCTCATCTCAAAACATGTACGCTTGATCCCATCCCATCCCACCTCATCAGATCTCTCGCCCCTTTTCTGGTACACTCGTTAATGCACATCTTCAACTGTTCTCTTTCTTCTGGTGTTGTCCTAGCTCCTACTGCTGTATCTGTCCTTAAAAAGCCATCTATTGACCCTACTTCCCCTTCCAACTATCGTCCCATATCTCTGCTCCCTTTCTCCTCAAAACTTTTGGAAAGACTTGTGTTGATTCCAGCTTAAAGAATTGCTTGCTTAACTCCACCTCTCTTCTTGATCCTCTTCAGTCTGTATTTCGCCCCCTCAACTCCACAGAGACTGCTCTGACTAGAGTTACAAATTTTTTAATTGCAGCTAAATCCTTAGGCCACTACTCCATACTAATTCTTCTTAAACTCTCTGCTGTTTTTGACACTGTTGATCATGGCCTCCTTCTCCTAACTCTTCAATCTCTTGGTCTCTGTGACACAGCGCTCTCATGGTTCTCCTCCTATCTCTCTCAACTCTCCTTCAGTGTCTCTTTTTCCAACAACACCTCCTCTCCTCGTCCTGTCTCAGTCTGAGCCCCTCAGGGTTCAGTTCTTTTTTTGTTCTCTCACTATACTGCCTCTCTTGGCAAACTCATTAATTCATTTGGATTACACTACCACCTGTACGCTGACTAAACCCAGGTATACCACTCTTGCCCTGACCTCTCCCCTGCTGTCACCAACTGCCTTTCTTCTATCTCTGATTGGATGTCCTCCTGCTTTCTGAAACTCAATCTCTCTAAAACTGAGTTTCTTTTTTTTCCTCACGATAACACTGATCCTCCTCCTACACTCTCCCTGCAGGTTGACGGCACCTCCCTCACCCCATCCTTTCAAGCTTGCTGTTTTGGTGTCATTTTTGATTCTGGTCTCACCTTTGTTCCTCATTTCCAGTCTGTTGCTAAAACCTGTCGATTCCAGCTTAAAAACATTGCCCGCATACACCACTTTCTTACGCAAGATGCTTACAAAGAACTTGTTCATGCTCTAGAAATCTCTCTCATGGATTACTGTAACTCTCTCAAAACTGGTCTCCCCAGAAGTCATACTGCCCTCTACAATATGTGATGAATGATGTGGCCAGGCTGATCTTTCTCTCATGTCGCTCCTCTCACACAACACCCCTCTGTCGATCCTTACACTGGCTTCCTGTACCCTGCAGGTGTCAATTTAAAATTCTAATACTTACCTAAAAAAGTTCTAATCAACTCTAGCCCCTCTTTAATTTCTTCACTGATTCATAGGTATGTCCCTTCTCAGTATCTCCGCTCTATTGGTGACCTTCTCCTCTCTGCTGCTCTCACCCCTACTGCAAATTCACGCCTGCAAGACTTCTCACAGGCAGCTACTTTCCTTTGGTGCAGCCTGCCTACTCCTGTCACTCTCTCCTAATCTTGACTTCTTTAAGAAGTCCCTCAAAACCCATCTTTTCAGGAATGTTTATGGCCTCCAGGAGTAACTTCTATCTCTCAAACCTTCCTCTTGCTCTCTCATAAAGGGCCACACTCCACTCTCACCTCCAGTTCTGCTACTTTTCCACCATGTCTATTTGTGGTCTCCCTCAATACCATTCCTATTGTGTTTTTATACCCCACCTCCTTTTAGACTGTAAGCTTGTTTGAGCAGGGTCCTCAACTACCTATTGTTCCTGTTACATTTTGTAAATCCCCCACTTATTGTAAAGCGCTGCGGAATAAGCTGGCGCTATATAAATACCAATAATAATTATAATAACCAGTTTCCTGAGCAGTATCTGCTCTGCTTCATTTTTACATCACCAGGGTGATTGGGTTGACCTGCCTCTTTGGGCAGAGCTTGCTCAAAATAAGGCAAATCATGAATCCACAAGTACTAGCCCTTTCTATGTTGTCTACTGCCAGCATCCTGTTGTTCTTCCAACTGCATTCTCCTCATGGGGAATGCCGGCTCTGGATAAGCACATGACTGGTTTGCATAATACTTGGGAGAAGGTACACTGGATCTTGGTTCATTCCGCTCAGAGACAGAAGGCTTAGGCAGATTATTATTATTATTATTATTATTATTATTATGATATTTATATAGCGCCATCAAATTCCGCAGCGCTTTACAATGGGTGGACGAACAGACATGTAGTTGTAACCAGACAAGTTGGACACACAGGAACAGAGGGGTTGAGGGCCCTGCCCAATGAGCTTACATGCTAGAGGGAGTGGGGTAAAATGACACAAAAAGGTAAGGATAGTATTAGATTAATGACAGTGCAGAAGATGAATCATTCAGGAGCTATTAACAGTTTAATTGATATGCTTTTATGAAGAACTGGGTTTTTAACGATTTTTGAAGGAGTGGAGACTGGGTGAGCATCTAACGGAGGAGGGAAGCGAGTTCCACAGGAACGGTGCAGCCCTCAAGAAATCTTGAAGGCAAGCATCAGAGGTGGGAGTACGGACAGAAGATAGACGTAAGTCTTCAGCAGATCGTAAGGGCCTAGATGGGACATACTTGTGTATAAGGGAGGATAGATAGGTGGGAGCAGCATTATGTAGAGATTTGAAAAGCAAGAACCAGAATTTTAAATTGAGCTCTATATTTTATAGGAAGCCAATGTAGGGACTGACAGAAGGGTGAGGCATGGGAGGTGCGGGCGGACAGGAAGGTAAGCCTTGCTGGCGCATTCATTATGGACTGTAACGGCGCAAGTTGGGAGCACGTAAGACCACTGAGAAGTGGATTACAGTAGTCAAGGCGAGAAAGGACAGTCGCATCTGGCGTTAAGTAGGGGCGGATGCACATAATGTTTTTGAGATGGAAATGACAGGATTTGGCGATCGATTGAACATGAGGCTTGAAGGAGAGGTCAGAATCAAAGAGAACTCCTAGGCAGCGAGCCTGCATGGTGGAGCTGATGGTAGTACCGTTGACTTGGAGGGAGACAGACACAGGAGTAACAACACTTGAGGGAGGAAAGACCAGAATTTCAGTTTTGGTCAAGTTTAGTTTAAGGAAGTGGGCAGCCATCCAGTTAGAAATAGCATAGAGGCAGTCAGATAACTAGTCAAGAGGGATGGGGAGAGATCAGGAGAAGACAGGTAGATTTGCGTGTCACCTGCATAGAAATGATATTGGAAGCCAAAGGAGCTAATGAGTTTACCAAGGGAGGCAGTATAGATGGAGAACAGTAGGGGACCAAGGACTGAACCTTGGGGGACACCAACAGAGAGGAGTTGGGGAGAAGAAGCAGAGCCAGAGAAAGAAACACTGAAAGAGCGCTGGGAGAGGTAGTCGTGCAGCCTCTTCCTTAATGATTGGGGACATGGTCTGGCTTTCAACCTGTAATATCCGTCTCTGCGTACCTTCCATGAAATGTACTCCTCATTTTCTTGGTCCTTTCCACATCCTGCTCAAGGTGAATCCTGTTTTGTGTGCTTTGGGCTTGCCTAGTTTCATGTGTATGACTAACATCTTTCGTAGCTCCCTGTTGAAACCTCTTGTGTGCAATCATTATGCTCAGCCTCTTGCTCCTCTGCCTCCTGTTAACATTGAGGAGGTTGATGAGTACGAGGTCACTGCTATCCTTGACTATAGATTCCTTATTTTGTCCATTGGAGGAGGTATGGTCCTGAAGAACGTTCTTGGGTCCCTCACTTGGACTTCCTTGCTCCTTGATCTGTCTGTCCATTTCATCTCTATCGCCCAGGCAAGCCTGGTTCTTCACGCCATGTGGGCATTTCCTCCTGGGCATGTTCTGCCATAGACTTACCAGTATCTGGTGCCTGCACCACTTCCCTCTTCATGCTGCACGAATAGGAGAAATGCTCACCTTCGGCCCCATGAATGACTCCTTCTGCTGGTTTGCAGGCCGAACTACAGCCCCTTAAAATAAATTGTGTAAATCATGATGTCACACCCTTAACCCCTTAAGAACCAAACTTCTGGAATAAAAGGGAATCATGACATGTCACACATGTCATGTGTCCTTAAGGGGTTAAAGGGACCATGCCATCTAGGCAACCACATGCTGACTCCCAGAGAGGACATGGACCAATGAAAACTCGCAAACCTATTAAAAGACTGTGATGGCCCATACTCATTGCCTATCATGGTTTCTGCTTAGTAACACGTTTAGTGCTCCTGTGACTCTCTTGTGGTTTTCTGTTTTCTGACCTTGGCTTTGTTTTGACTCTGTTAACCTCTGGTATTCTGATCCAGCTTGTATTTTGACCTGTGTTTTTCTGTTATTCCGATCTGACTTGCCTTTCGTGTATCCGTATCTCTCTATTCCTGACTTTGGCTATTCCTGACTTTGATTCTTTTTTGTAATACATAAAATCCGAAACACTCTAAGGCCCAGTAATACAGCATTTTGGACCCTCACTTTGTCCGTATACTGTTTCCTGAGTGTAAGGGTAATGGCAACCGTGACTGTAATGCACCTATATGATTGAATTATAGCTGTGTCCTACTAGTAGTTATCTCTATCAATGAGCTGTATACATATGCCACATACTGATGGGTCATATATTATTTAAAATAATAACATATTTTTGATACCGCAGAGTTCTGAGGGCATCATTTCAAATCACAAGACCAAAGGTTGAGCCGTGAAAATGTCTCCAGAATTCCTATATGGGATTATCAGCCTGTTTTCTTTTCTATCCCTTGCTATGCTTATGAGGAAGTGGGATATATTCTGTGTCATTGATCCAAGTGTGAGAGTGGTGAAGGTAACTGTTGTGCCTAGCCACTACTAGTGCCACCAATTTTGACTTGTGACTTTTTACTTTTTTTTTTTTTTTAAAAACACGTTTTGAAATTACGTTTTTAAATAAAAATTACTCCTGTTGCTGCTGATCCTCTTATTTAATTAATAGAAAATTGCTAAATGAAAAACAATTATATAAAGTTATCTCACTTACAGTTTTTGAATACAAATATAATCTTTATTTGACAAGTCAGAACTACTGCATGGACAACTATCGGACAACCCAAACTAAATACAATGCACAAATGACCCCTATGCAGCTCTTAGTGTAGGTTGGCACATCCAGCTCAATCTTGATTGCTTCCGAGACTACCTCCAAATAAGATTATGGAGGGGAGCATTAACAGGGGTCTGCACCAAGCCAAAGGGAGCATACGAGAATGACAATCAACTAGACCACCAAGAAACACACTAGACCACCGGGGAAATTGATTATTGCCCCCCATCTAAATGGAGAGGGACAACAAAAACTAAAAAATAGATGCACTACAGTTTATGGAGAGGCTAAACATAAATACAGAGCCTCCCCACACTGTCACGCAGCCACATTCACTCTGCCATACAGGGAGTGCAGAATTATTAGGCAAATGAGTATTTTGACCACATCATCCTCTTTATGCATGTTGTCTTACTCCAAGCTGTATAGGCTCGAAAGCCTACTACCAATTAAGCATATTAGGTGATGTACATCTCTGTAATGAGAATGGGTGTGGTCTAATGACATCAACACCCTATATCAGGTGTGCATAATTATTAGGCAACTTCCTTTCCTTTGGCAAAATGGGTCAAAAGAAGGACTTGACAGGCTGAGAAAAGTCAAAAATAGTGAGATATCTTGCAGAGGGATGCAGCACTCTTAAAATTGCAAAGCTTCTGAAGCGTGATCATCGAACAATCAAGCGTTTCATTCAAAATAGTCAACAGGGTCGCAAGAAGCGTGTGGAAAAACCAAGGCGCAAAATAACTGCCCTTGAACTGAGAAAAGTCAAGCGTGCAGCTGCCACGATGCCACTTTCCACCAGTTTGGCCATATTTCAGAGCTGCAGCATCACTGGAGTGCCCAAAAGCACAAGGTGTGCAATACTCAGAGACATGGCCAAGGTAAGAAAGGCTGAAAGACGACCACCACTGAACAAGACACACAAGCTGAAACGTCAAGACTGGGCCAAGAAATATCTCAAGACGGATTTTTCTAAGGTTTTATGGACTGATGAAATGAGAGTGAGTCTTGATGGGCCAGATGGATGGGCCCGTGGCTGGATTGGTAAAGGGCAGAGAGCTCCAGTCCGACTCAGGCGCCAGCAAGGTGGAGGTGGAGTACTGGTTTGGGCTGGTATCATCAAAGATGAGCTTGTGGGGCCTTTTCGGGTTGAGGATGGAGTCAAGCTCAACTCCCAGTCCTACTGCCAGTTCCTGGAAGACACCTTCTTCAAACAGTGGTACAGGAAGAAGTCTGCATCCTTCAAGAAAAACATGATTTTCATACAGGACAATGCTCCATCACACGCGTCCAAGTACTCCACAGCGTGGCTGGCAAGAAAGGGTATAAAAAGAAAATCTAATGACATGGCCTCCTTGTTCACCTGATCTGAACCCCATTGAGAACCTGTGGTCCATCATCAAATGTGAGATTTACAAGGAGGGAAAACAGTACACCTCTCTGAACAGTGTCTGGGAGGCTGTGGTTGCTGCTGCACGCAATGTTGATGGTGAACAGATCAAAACACTGACAGAATCCATGGATGGCAAGCTTTTGAGTGTCCTTGCAAAGAAAGGTGGCTATATTGGTCACTGATTTGTTTTGTTTTTGAATGTCAGAAATGTATATTTGTGAATGTTGAGATGTTATATTGGTTTCACTGGTAATAATAAATAATTGAAATGGGTATATATTTGTTTTTGTTAAGTTGCCTAATAATTATGCACAGTAATAGTCACCTGCACACACAGATATCCCCCTAACATAGCTAAAACTAAAAACAAACTAAAAACTACTTCCAAAAATATTCAGCTTTGATATTAATTAGTTTTTTGGGTTCATTGAGAACATGGTTGCTGTTCAGTAATAAAATTAATCCTCAAAAATACAACTATGCCTAATAATTCTGCACTCCCTGTAGTCAACCTGTCACACTCACCCTGTCACGTTCACCTTTTCTAAGGTCATCCTTGTGGCGGAACCAGCCTCGCCACTGGGCATTGGAGAAGACTGATTGCCGGCCTCCTGCCCTGTGACTATGGCCCCATGTTGAAAGGATGGATTTTCCCTGCAAAGACCCAAAAGCTGGGTCTTTCGGTACTTTCCCTATGTGAGCAGTGTTACCCAGATAGCTATGCCATGGAGCCCATTTATATAATGAAAGACTATGGGAAAGACTTTGGCTCCATGGCAATTGAACTGTATGTGTGTGCTCTGAGCGCCATTCAGTAATAATGTGCGCTCAGATCTGAGCTATCTGGGGATATGTTGAATGTACCTGTTTTGTGCAATGGCTGCACAGTTATATGTTTTTATGTGTTTTATTGTCTTTTGCTGCCATGTGGCTAATGGAGTTTTGCCTCTTTCCTGGAGATAATTGGATTACTTCCCCAATTATCTCCAGGATAGAAGACTCTGTGGAACTGGTTTTGGGCAGAAAAGCCCATTTGGTCAAATAGGACTTTTCCTTAACTTTTGAACCACTGGACCAATATGTATGATTTTGACATATGTTTGTATTTGGAGTATGCTGATTCTGAAAATGTATGTGAATGTGATGCATACTTTTCAAGTTATGAATAATGTGGAAAAACTGTATTTATCTGGCTGTGATAATTAGATTAACCATTGTGTTCAGTAATCATATCACAGCCAGAGGGGAGGATTTTGTGTGGGAGTGTCTTTCTGTAATGTACGTGTGTTATTGGTTGTTATGTAAAACCCTGTGGGCAGTACTAAGTTTGTGGATTGGGAATAAAAGAGGCTGTATGTGCCAGTCCAGTGAGTTCCTGCTTAACCCTCAAAGTGAAGTGTCGTCTCATTATTGGGGGAGGATTTATTGTATGCTGTTCCAGTTTGACTGCTAGGAGTCTAAACCCATCCGTATGGTTTTTGCCTATTCAGCTGTTTATAGCATTCATATGCTTGAGAGAAGGTATACGCTTCTTCGGTTCGGTGATTGTGGTGTCGGCCAGAGTGCTTGGAGTCCTCAGGAAATGCTAGGAGCATCCTTTAACGGAGGTACCCAGTCGGGGTGCCAGGTGATCCGTTACAATCCTCATACACACACAGTCACTCTCATAGACAGGCACACCCCACCGGCTGTCACTCTCATACAAAAGTACAAAAAGTCACCCTCATATGCACAAAGTCGACCTCATACACAGGCACCCCTACACAGATATTCACCCTCCCACACAATCACCCCTCAAACACATAACACAGCACATACATTACAACTACAAGCAGGTCCCCCATAGACGCCACCACTGTAAGCAGCTCTCACACACATGCTCCCAGACACAGAGATATGCATTTTGTGTTTCTCCAAGGAGGTAACATGGTCACAATGTGAGGGGGATATGGTATGGACAATGTTATGGTAATGTGACAACATATGCAATATATATATATATATATATATATATATATATATATATATATATATATATATATATATAATGTTGCCACATGTACTATATGACAACCAAAATTTGGGGTTTTGTTTCCATCAAATAATCTGTTATCTATACATATAAATACAGATGAATAAATAATTTTATGCTATCTATAACAAAGGATACTCAGTGAGAATTAAGGATCTATGTCACAAAATGCCTCAAATAAATTAAAAGAACATGAAAAAAGAAGGAACAATTTTCAGGCATGCAATTAGTCCTGGTCTGTCATGAGATCAAATTCAATAAAATTGGTCAGCAGTACACAGAAAATACTGTGTAATGAAGGCACATCAAACAGTTAACTGTGTACTGCAAGCATGTCAAACATACGGCCCATGGGTATTTATGCGGCCCAGGGCCAGACTGGCCTACCGGGATACCAGAAAGAATTTCCGGTAGGCCACCTGTCCTGGTAGGCCATGGCTGATCATGTGCTCCATCCATATCCAGCATTTGCGCAGGGAGGCTGCCTGAGTGCAAAACAGGCCAGCCACTCCTCCATCCCTGCTACTTGCAGTGCCAGAGGAGCGTGCATGGCTGGACTGGAAGATGGCTTAAGGTAGGGTAGTGTAGTGTATTCAATTTGGGGGGCAGGGAGGGGGGGGCAGTGTATTAATTGGGGTAAGGAGGGTAGTGTATTACATTGGGGGGAGGGAGGTGGAGCAGTGTATTAGAGTGAGGGGATAGTTTATTAAACTGTGGGGGAAAGAGGTGGGGGCAGAGTATTAGTGTGGTGGGAGGAGGGCAGCCTTTGAGTTTGACATGCTTGGTGTACTGTTTTAACAAAATATAAAGTCTGATTGTTTTATTATTACAGTTGGATACATCCTATAATTTGTTATAATTTCTTATATCCATAAACCAACTATAAAAAAAAATACCTGCCAAAAGTAAGTAACCAAAAATAAAAAAAACGCAAAATATATATCATCCAATCTTGTGGTTTTGTATAAATTCTTCTGCTGCACAGAACAAATGCAAGAGTTTTTCAGCTGGGTTCTGTACATGGTCTACCCTTGAAGAGCTTTGAACCAACATGTTCACTTTGAGAGGGTTCGTGCTTGTGGACCCCTGTTTAAAAAATGCCTGGGCTAAAAATATTTTTCCCAGTCCAGCCCTGGTGTCCATTGTGGCTATATGTATGGACTTTTAAGGGGTCTTTCAGTGGCCTACAGGTCTTCTACACACGCAGGACACCAGTGCAATAGCCCAATTTTTCATATTTTTTTCTTTTTTCTTTTTTTTCCCCTCTGTATGTCACTTTTCTTGTAGGATTTTGCACTGATAGCAATGATTACTTGACAGGGAGTACACACACTTTTTCTATACATAAGGGGGAAAAAAACATTGACAAATATTTTTATTTTTTTTGCAAATTACTTTTGTTGAGAAGAAGATTCTCTCTCTCTCTCTCGTATTATACATGATTAGCTGATTTTAGGTAGATCATTTGGGATGAGATCTCCTGAAATCCAACACTTTTTACTGCAGTTTTTTTTTCTAGTTTATGCAGTGCTATGTGATACGTACTACTGGTGAGAAATCAAACATACAGCTTTTTTTCCATGCATTAAGTGTTGGGTTACCTGTTTGTTTACAAGTTGGTTACTTTGCCTGAATTGCATGAGTCCGATTTCATTTTTCTCATATAAAATCACCAATGTCTGTGAACATAGTGCTTCAACGCACTGCTTCTTTTCAAGTAAAATTTTAAAGTCATCATATTGTGGACTGATTTGCTCTACAAGGATTTGGGTACACAAATCGTTGTACTTATAGATTATTCCATCAAAGGTAATAAAGTTAGAATCCTCTGTTCCACTGCAAACACCTATGGAGGATCATAATAAATAAGATGGTCAATAATATCTGACAAGTAATAGTTTTTTGTTTTTTTTTGTAAAATGGTTGCCGCCAGCCTACCATTATTTAAATGTATTCACTAATTGATACCAAACTTCTGCCACCCTATCTAAAATAAATGCATGAATAAATAAATAAAAAGTAAAATATTGATGTGAGGAGGATAAGAAGAGGAAAGTGGGGGGTAAGGATTTAAAGGAACACTTCAAGTACCATAACCACTGCAGTGCTATGTAGTAGTCATGGTGACATAATTGCCCTGGCTCCTCCAACATAAGTAGTCAAATCCTTTTAGAATGGTTCCCTGCCTCCCCTATAGCCTTCAGACCAGTCAGAAACTTTCAGCCTGAGCTAGGTGCAGTGGCCGAGATCAGCTTTCAATCTCAGTCAATAAACTAGTCCACCACTGCTTGGTTTAGCTTAGGAGAGCTGAAGGAGCTTCCAGCTCTCCTGGTAGCTGAGTGAAGACAGGTACTGGTTGCTCTGCAGTTCTATTCTAACAGAGTTTGACTATTTATAATGGGGGGAGGGGGCACCAGTGCACTCTTTCTCAGTATACTTTCTTTAAAACTTTGTCATTCTACTAGGCTTTGCAACTAAAATGGGATATCATGTTTAATCCAAATTATCACCTGTATCCTTTGAATTTAAATTCTCTTGTTTCCAAAACTAATCCAATAAAGCTGCATTTTAAAACCTAAAGAGTGCTTATCTTTAAATGCTTTATAAAAATAAAATGTTATATCACCTTATGCTAAACATGGCCAGTGATAATGTTGTAGCATAACTTACATGAACACTCATATTGGAAGCAGCAGCCATCTTCACTATAGACACGGTTTGGTCGGAGACCATTAACACATTCTATTTCATTCACAGCTAAGCAATCCACAAGTGACATAACGACCTCGTTATTTCCAAGGCATGTGGCCAGTGTGCAATTACCAATACTCCAGGTCTCGCCCTCCTATATTGAAAGAAATAATAACATTACTATGTATATTTGCCTAAATTATGTGCTATCACTTTACAGAATGCAGTGGATGAAGAGGAGATTCATCAATGTAGATCAGGTGCTATTTTGGGTGCACATATGTAAATGCTGAGAGACATTCTACTGGTTTCCTTGGTGAGTATTCCTAATTTAGCAATTAGTACCAAAATAGCACCTGTCAATTATTGTTAAAGGTTCCGTACTTTGCATCTGGTACTTAGTACAGAGAAGACATAGTGAGAAGAAGAGAAATAATTTTTTTTTTCTATTTTTTATTAGCCATGTTTGCCCTGGCCTTGCCTTGTTCGAGCTGGATTATAATGTAATTTGCTAAATCTCTAATATAAATGTAAAAGAAAATCTCATGGGGAAAAAAAGGGTAACAAAAGTTATGGAGTATTTTTACTAATGTATTCAATAGTATAAAATCCAGAGAAATGAGAGCACCCAGATGAGCGATATTTGACAAAACCCTCCTTAATTTAAAATTCCCACTTAAGTTATATAATAGTCCTATATTCAAAGCTGCATTTTCTAAATTGGACAAAAGTGCAACAATACCTTTCTTGGAGGGCAACCTTCAACTGTGGTTTCCTTGGTTTCTAATGTAGAGATTGATGTCTGGGATACAGGAGTTGTTGAGCTTGTCAGTGAAGTACTGGTAGATGTTTGAGAAGCGATAGTTGTGGGGCATTCTATAATTGCCTCAACAATACATTGATAAGTGCAAATAGAATAAAATTTACATCCAGACATGTCTGTTGTTTGGTAAACAACATCACCTACAAGCAAACAGGAACAAAGAAAATAATCTGGTCAAAAAATGACTGAACACAACTCAAGACCTTCTGAGTTAAACTATTTTGAATTTCTATTTTTCTAGAACAAATGTTAAACTAGCTAATTATATAGAAGTGTTAATAACAGAAAACATTTAGCTTTTTCACTTCAGTGTTATCTACCAATTCTAAAATGTTAAATGTTTCTGTGTCTTTGCTAAATTTTGTAGTCATATTGTACAGCATTAGCAAACATGTGCTAGTGGAAACATAGATAAAAACAAAGATATAAAAATAAATGATTATGTGGTTGTGTTAGGATGAATTGGTGAATGGGCACGTAACCTAGAAGCATTAGAAATCCTAGAATTTGTAATAGCCTATCATACTTGTATTTGGATTTTGATTTGAGTAAAACTTTGAGATGTGACTCAGAGCAGAGCTTACCAAAGCTACCAAACAAGATATCAAGCGATATATGCTTGTTTTTAGTTTGATGTTAGCTCATTGTCCAGATCTTAAAGAGCTAAAATCATGTACACGTCTCAAAGAATCCAAGACAGAGTGATTTCTATTGTAAAAATGCACACACAACACAATTTCACAATTTACTGGTCATGTGTTATCCTTAGAAAATGGCCTCGATGATTCAGACTACTATAAGTTAAATAATATCTATATCTGTTGGGTATCTGAATCTGTTCCTATTTAAATCACATTCCTGCGCTTTAACCTAAAGAGTCTCCATCACACCCATTGTTCAACAGCAGGGGCTTTGGGAGATATTGCGATGCTGAACTAAATGGACTTATATGTTTTAGTTTTAGCCGTATGGCAATTAGCCCAAGTTTAGGCAGATTGTAGTTGTCCAAATTCCATAACTAAGAAGAGCCATATGCAGGGTCGGATTTCCCATAAGGCCACCGAACCAATGGCCTTGGGTCCGCAGGCTTTAGATGTAATGTTAATACCCAATACACAGAGTGAACACCACAGAACAATAGAGACAGAAAGAAAGTCCCTAAACTGGTCCTTAGAATGGCCGGATAATAATAGAAACTACAAGAAATGCCAGAAACAAGCCAAGGTCAAGGGAAGCCAGAAATACATAATAGCGAGGAACGTAGCCGAGTCAGGGAAACCAGAAATAAGAATAGTCAAGAGCTAGCCGGGTCAAAACCAAAGAAATAAAAGGATACAGGAATGTGCTGAGGGGACACTAGGGACACAAGGCATACTTGGAACCACAACAGACTCGGCTTTTATATGATTGGGGGAGTGATTATCACTACGCCCCTAAAAGGTACATGTGCATTGAGCTCTCTTGTTTAGAGCTCTTCTGACTTCATGGTGCAGGTACGCATGTGCCGCCTCCTTAAAAGGGGCAGGCATATGGTGGCCGGCGGCCCTGATGCTTAATGCATCCTTTCCCGGTGTGGGAGCGGCAGCCCCTTCTTATGCCAGGAAAGCTAGGAGACTACTGACCTGCTTGTTCTCTTTCTCGGTGTGCTCCTTGCCTGCAACGCATTTGTAGAGCCGCTGGGCCAATTGTAGGTGAGCGGTCAGGGCTATATGACAAAATTTTCATAACCCCAAAGCAACCTTCTTTTTACCATGCCTGTAAGGGAGTTCTGGGTGGCTAAACGAGAGGACCAGCCTGTACAAAATTACCCAAATTCACATTTGAGTAACAAACCCAGTTAATAGAAATTGCCCAGTCCCGCCATATTCTAGCCTGTCCTTTTCAGTCAAAACCAGTCAACCATTCATGGACAGCTGTTTTGTTGTTAATGCAACTCATCAGCATGAGGTTGGTTACTGGTTTGCTTATTGAGGCTTGGTAGTGCTTTTGGTTTTGCATCTTTTCCTAAATTGTATTCCAAGCAGTTGTATACTGCAAACACAGATTAAAAGGAATCCATGTTTAAAATGGAATGAGGCAAAAATGTGATTCTTTGTTAAACTAATTTGCATATGCCCACCCAGAATCCATTGCGGTTGTAACATCACTGCAGATTTGGGATTTGTGGTGGAAAAGCAAGTCTTATGGCTTGACTTGTGTGCAGATTTTTGTTTAACATTGTATTAACTATCCACAGACTTGAGGTGGAAGGGGTTTTCAATCACAATTTTTCCCCACCATAACCTTTTTGGACATGATCTGTTTTAGAAGCTGGAATAAAAGTTATATTTTATTGAAATCCGAGCGTGCAGCCAACTACTTTACTATATATATATATATATATATATATATTTGTGTTTGGTGCTATTCTTGTAACGTTAGCGTTTGTATTGTTTGATGTATTATATAGATAGGAACAAGTCAGTTGAAGTGTGCCAAAACCAACGTATGTGGTAGGCCTGTAATAAAGTAGGCCCACACTGAATAAAATAAAAAAAATAAAAAATTAAAGCGTCGAGGGAGTGGTGGGTGGGGCCTGCCGAACGTCTGATTCCACGGTAATGCAGATAAGGGGGAAGTGCCTTCAGTAGGATCAACCAGCCCCTCCCACAACTCCAGGTAAGCCTTCACATTTGTGTTCGGTGCTATTCTTGTAACGTTAGTGTGTGTATTGTTTGATGTATTATATAGATAGGAACAAGTCGGTTGATGTATGCCGTAGGCCTGTAATAAAGTGGGCAAGAATTTGCAGTGTCTTGCCAAATAAATATTTATTCAATACATGAAACATAGTGCAAATAAAATACCTCAAGATGACAGTTTAACAAAGGCAGACCTCATTTCTAACACAGGTTGAGGTATGTACAGAGCAAATGCAGATGACTTCCAGCGTCCCAAAGATTTAATTACATGTACTGGAATATTGTGACTAGAGGCCGTGGAGGCTGCCCCTATACTAAAAGAATGTCCAGAAAAGTAGCTGGCATTCAGACCTAGTCTGGTCAGTAATATGCGTATGTATTGCATAAACATAGTGGTTGTTAAGACTGCTTTATGGAGGACTAGCAGAGGAATATCTACATGGGATGACAATGTTTGGAGATATTTAGAAAACCATAATAGCTCAAGTAAATGGCTGCTTTGATTACCAAATTTGTAGTGTGTTCAAATGGGGCTGTATCCAATAAGTCGGACATATATTTAAATATCTGTTTATGTATGGGTAACCTTAAGATTGGAGGAGTGGTACCTGCTTTATGTATGTACTTTAGTATATTTTTAATGGGGTAAGAAGTTAAAAAACTAGAGTTGTCAGAATATAACGTATAAATATGATGTTGGATGCATGTGAAATATAATTTAATAGTGTTGTGTGATAGTTTTAGTTTGAGATGACAAAAGGATGCAAAAGCTACCAGTGTAGAAATAGTGAAAAACTGAACCAGGTTATGTTCTACCATAAATTTCTTATTCAGTGTGAAAGCTCTATTGTAAGACAGCCTTGTAAACACATTAAGACCGTGATGTACCTAACTTTTTCCGGTTTCCTGAGGCCATGTAAATTTACCACTACCACCACATCTAACATACAGTAATGTATAAACAAGCAGACCATTACATACTCTCCTTAACCCATACAAAAAAAAAGTCAAGATAACCTACCAGTAGACACTACCCTACAAAACACTACCCTACAAAAAACAAATAGTGCCTTGCAGCAGTATTAGACTCATATCTACTCACCCCATGCAATCACCCTTTACAACCTTACGGCAGCAAAATTCATGCTATACATTAGATCATTAATTATGTGCATGGAAAATAATGGTTTTATTTTTAATCAGATGTTAACTTGCTTTAGAAAGTTTTATCTCCTGCTCTGTAAATTGAACTTTAATCACACTCAGGAGGACCCTGTATAGTCTATAAAGCTATTAACAGTGCAGGGGATAAGACATTCTAAATTAAGAATACTGTACAATAAAGGAAGTTTAAACACTAGATCTCACTTTACATTACATTTTTAACAAGGCTGTGCAAGTCAAATTCAGGGAGTTGTGACTGGAGCTATTTAAACAAAATGATTTGCCTCCTTAATGGCAGAGACTTGAGCAATGAAACTGCAGGGATATGATCTGTGCACCAGAACTGCTTCATTAAAAAGTTGTTTTGGGGCCTATAGTTTAAGAAAAGAAGGTACTTTCCATTGTCTTGTCTCCTTTTATTTGTTAATCTCTGTGTGTGTGAATCTGTGAGTGTGAATCTGTGTGGCTGAATTTGTGAATGTGTGTAAATCTGTGTGTGAATCTGAATCTGTGAGTGTGTATTAGTCTTTGTGTATGACTCCTTGAGTACTGTGAATATTTGTGTCTGTTAATCTGTGAGTCAGACCCTGAGGAGTCAGGCAAGGTCTGGACAGAACAGAGACATGTGAGAGTAAGGGGAGTTTATATAACGAAATAGTAGGGAGGTCTTAAGGAATGCTGGGTAAAAGGGGTATTAGCAGTACTTATAGGGGGGCATTTTGGAGATCAAGCAGCCATCTTAATTAATGAACTTAGTAACAGCTTCCCGCCAACCCTCCACTGTGGTTGTTTGTGTTTTTTTTTCTGTTTCTAGTTTTATCCTGTCACAGCATGGTGGTAAATGGCCCTTGCCAACCGGGGGTTGGACCAGCGGTCCATGGAAAGTTGTGTGGTCGGGGCTGATCCCTCTCCTAACCTAGGGTACAGCCAATGGTCAGGTAGTGGTTAGCATTGTGGTGGTTGGGACAAGGGGGAAGAACAGGTGCCCAAGTGATTGTTTTAGGTTGGCAAGGTGGTACTCAGTAATGTGTTATACACATGCATGAATATGGAGAGGTGTCACAGTTGTATTACATTAATATTTTTATCAAGTTGATGTTAAAAGAAATATGTTATTTAAAAAAAGCTGTGGCCTATTTTTGTCACTAAGTATGTCCGTGGTTTTGTTATTTGGGGTAAGTAAAAGGGATGGAGGTGGGAGGAATAGGTAATGTGGGTTTTCCCCTTTTGTTTCTTCCCATTCACAGTACCCTCTACCTACTCACATGTGTGTGCTAAAAAAACTTGTATTTAATTTTAAACATTTTTATTCAAACACCAGACCCATGAAGCCTATAATTTGGTCCTGATTTGGAGGCTCTGGAAGCTCCCAAATCAGAGCTGTTGCTGGTGACATTTAATACAGTGCAGTATGTTCTAAACACAATTACCAATGGGTTACATTATAGTAACCCTATTAGAGACAAAGCAGTAACAGCTGTCTGTGTCTCCCTCATAGGGAACACCAGGGATGACTACCTTTTTGTAGAAAGCAAGATGACATGTGTCATGTGAAGAGGAAAAAAGAGTGCATTCACCCTTGCAGTCATACACACACTTTCCAATAAAAAAAAAATTCAAAAGAACATTCCTGCATTTAAACACTGCAAAAAAAAGACAACCCCTGCATTAATATACTGTTAACACAAACACACCTCTTTATTCACATACAGTTGTGCTCAAAAGTTTTGCATACCCTGGGAGAAATTGTGAAAAGTCATTGATTTTGACTGATCATGCAAAAACATTTATTTTATTGAAGGATAGTAATGATATGAAGCCATTTAGTATTACATAGTTGTTTGGCTCATTTTGAAATCATAATGATAATATAAATCACCCAAATTTCCCTGATCAAAGGTTTACATACCCTTGAATGTTTGGCCTTGTTACAGACACACAAGGATTTCCAGAAGAATTGTTCAAGATACAAAGAATAACCCACAGTTAACCTGAGGAGTAATGCAGGCTGCTCTGGAAAAAGATGGTGTGGTTGTTTCAAGGAGCACAATATGACAATACTTGAACAAAAATGAGCTGCATGGTTGAGTTGCCAGAAAAAAAGCCTTTACTCCGCCAATGCCACAAAAGAGACCAGTTACAATATGACCGACAACACCTTGGCATGCCTCACCGCTTCTGGCACACTGTAATTTGGAGTCACGAGACCAATATAAAGCTTTATGGTCACAACCATAAGCGCTATGTTTTAAGAGGGTTCTGTGAAGCATGATGGTGGTGACTCACTGATATTTTGGGTCTGTGTGAACTCTAAAGGCACAGGGAATCTTGTGAAAATCTTGTGAAAAGATGAATGCAGCATGGTATCAGAAAATTCTGGCAAACAACTTGCATTCTTCTGCACGGAGGCTGCGCATGGGATGCTCTTGGACTTTCCAGTATGACAATGACCCAAGTTGGCTCTCCAAGTTGGCTCTCCAGTGGTTACAGCAGAAAAAGGTGAAGGTTCTGGAGTGGCCATCACAGTCTCCTGACATTAATATCATCAAGCCACTGTAGGGAGGACTCAAACTTGTGGTTCATGCAAGACGATCAAAGACTTTACACGACCTGGAGGCATTTTGCCAAGACAAATGGGCAGCTATACCACCTGTAAGAATTAGGGACCTTATAGACAACTATTACAAAAGAATGCATGCTGTCATTGGTGCTAAAGGGGGAAATACACAGTATTAAGAACTAAGGGTATGCAGACTTTTGAACAGTGGTAATTTCATTTTTTTTTATTTGTTCTCATGTTTTGTTTTATAATTGTGCCATTCTTTTATAACCTACAGTTGAATATAAATCCCATAATAAATTAAAGAAATGTGTTTTGCCTTTGACCATTCACACATATACACTTACTATCCACATATACTTCACTGCATACATAGATGCACTCACACTACAAACAAATACAATACTATGGTCACACAATCAAACATTCCATGTGATGAGCACACTATGTATCAAATTTCCACAGGTCTTTAACTACCTGCACTCCAATATAACACCTAAGTTGCCTTCATCACATTAATTAGTATCAGTGAGAGGGACACATAATCTAAACAAACCCAAACATGTAAAAATAAGTCATTTCAAACCTACCTATGAAGTCTTGATAGAAGATCTTAAATATTTTTTCTCTAGTCAGTAAACAATGGCCAATAAATCATATTCTGATGCTAATTATTAAATATAAACAGTAACCTGAATCACAAAAATTGACCAAAAAAAAACCCCCAAAGCAAATATGCACCATAAAAATACACTTTGCATACACTGGGAATACATAAATTATAAGAAATGCAACTGGTATTGCGAACAAGAAGAAATAAAATGTTATGCACATAAACAATAACACACTTGCAATACACTGTATATTGTCAAAATAAATATGCAAATTCACTAACCTGGTGAATACATGGTTCCACTAACATCACATTGACAAATGGTTGATGTAAATATTGTGGTAGTTGGATAGGCTGTAGAAGATTGTATGGTAGTAATTGTTGGGGTTGTTTTCGTTGGTGTTGTGGATGTTGTGGGTGAACTTGTTCCTGGCATGCTTATTTCTGTTTGAGTAAGCTCTATAGTTGAGAAAGAACTTGATGATGAAAGTTGGCTTGTGTAAATACTGGTTTTTGTTGTAGAAGATACTTTTGGAGTGGTCCCTGTTCCCGTTGGTGTTGTTGGTGAAAAACTTGTTTTTATAGGGGGTGTTGCTGAGGTTGGTAGGCTTGTGGAAGTACTTATCTTTGTTGTAGAGGCTACTAATGAAGAGGTCAATGCTCTAGTCTTTGTTTGACCTGATGTTATAGGAGACTTTGTTGTAGTTATTGCAGAGGTTGAAATTTTAGATGTTGGTGGTGACTTACTTGTGGTTGTTATTTTTGTAGATATTGCTGTTGAAATTTGGCTTGTGGGAAAACTAATTTTTGATGTAGAAGCTACTGCTGAATGAGAAATTGTTTCCTTTGTTGCTGTTGACCTGCTTTTGGTTGCTGATGGAATAGAAGCAGATGTTGAATATAAAAGTGTAGAAGTACTGCGCTTTGTTTCAGTAATCTCTGTTTCAACTGAAGTTGTGGGTGTCTTTTTTGTAGATAATGAAATTTGGCTTGTGGGAAAACTAATTTTTGATGTAGAAGCTACTGCTGAAGGAGTAATTGTTTCCTTTGTTGCTGTTGACCTGCTTTTGGTTGCTGATGGCGTAGAAGCAGATGTTGAATATAAAAGTGTAGAAGTACTGCGCTTTGTTTCAGTAATCTCTGTTTCAACTGAAGTTGTGGGTGTCTTTTTTGTGGATATTGAAATTTGGCTTGTGGGAAAACTAATTTTTGATGTAGAAGCTACTGCTGAAGGAGTAATTGTTTCCTTTGTTGCTGTTGACCTGCTTTTGGTTGCTGATGGAATAGAAGCAGACGTTGAATATAAAAGTGTAGAAGTACTGCGCTTTGTTTCAGTAATCTCTGTTTGAACTGAAGTTGTGGGTGTCTTTTTTGTGGATATTGAAATTTGGCTTGTGGGAAAACTAATTTTTGATGTAGAAGCTACTGCTGAAGGAGTAATTGTTTCCTTTGTTGTTGTTGACCTGCTTTTGGTTGCTGATGGCGTAGAAGCAGATGTTGAATAAAAAAGTGTAGAAGTACTGCGCTTTGTTTCAGTAATCTCTGTTTCAACTGAAGTTGTGGGTGTCTTTTTTGTGGATATTGAAATTTGGCTTGTGGGAAAACTAATTTTTGATGTAGAAGCTACTGCTGAAGGAGTAATTGTTTCCTTTGTTGCTGTTGACCTGCTTTTGGTTGTTGATGGAATAGAAGCAGACGTTGAATATAAAAGTGTAGAAGTACTGCGCTTTGTTTCAGTAATCTCTGTTTGAACTGAAGTTGTGGGTGTCTTTTTTGTGGATATTGAAATTTGGCTTGTGGGAAAACTAATTTTTGATGTAGAAGCTACTGCTGAAGGAGTAATTGTTTCCTTTGTTGTTGTTGACCTGCTTTTGGTTGCTGATGGCGTAGAAGCAGATGTTGAATAAAAAAGTGTAGAAGTACTGCGCTTTGTTTCAGTAATCTCTGTTTCAACTGAAGTTGTGGGTGTCTTTTTTGTGGATATTGAAATTTGGCTTGTGGGAAAACTAATTTTTGATGTAGAAGCTACTGTTGAAGGAGTAATTGTTTCCTTTGTTGCTGTTGACCTGCTTTTGGTTGCTGTTGGAGTAGAAGCAGATGTTGAATACAAAAGTGTAGACGTAATGTGCTTTGTTTCAGTAATCCCTGTTTGAACTGAAGTTGTGGGTGTCTTTCTTGTAGATATTGTAGGGATTCTGCTTTCAGTACTTATTTTTGTTGTAAAAATTACTGTTGGAGAGGTTACTGTTTGCTTAGGTGTTGTTGGTGACTTGCCTGTGGTTTGGCTTTTAGTTGTAGTGGTTTTTATTGTAAATTGGGTTGTTTTAGAGCTTGGTGGTAAATATGTACTTTTTGTTGCACTTGTAGTTGTTGATGGAGGTGTAATTGCACAGTGACTGTAGTCATCACAGCAAAGGAAGCTAATTTCATAGTCAAAGCACATTCCCATATTTGTAATCTGATCTCTGTTTATGCACACTAGTCCAGCTGATAAATTGCAATGAATAGATTGTTGCACTTCTTCCTGAATTGTGTGTATTACATTCTTTGGTTGACATTTAATCTCTTCTGGATATTTACAAATTTGCTTGCCTTTCTGAATTAGTTCTTTATAATTCTCAGTTTCGCCACCATTAAATCCAAAAGAAGGTGTATTCACACTAAACCATGAGGTCCATTTACATAGTGGTTTACAAATTGTAGATGGCTTCTGACTTGTTGTCACTATTGATGATGGTATTGCTGTTGCTGAAGTTGATGTAAAAACTGGGATTTTGGTTGTAGGTCTGCTGTGAGTAGTTCCTGAAACAGTTTGTGTAGCAGTAGAAGTTTGTGTAGGAGTCCTTGATGAGACAACAGTTGATACTGTAGGGGTCCTTGGTGAGACAACTGTTGGTACTGTAGGAAAAATAAAAATATATTATTATGAAACATGCAGAGAGATAGATATATTCTCATATGTCTTACCAATAATCATTTCATTTACTTTACTCTGTAGCAAAAACTACACAAAGAGCACTTCATGTTTAAATGTGTAAAGGATTATGTACAGACTTAAACCTGCACAATAGCAAGTTAGAACGCAATTTAACTGCTTCTATGTTTTACGTAAACGTCCTTCAAAAAGAATGTGGTAGAAAAAGATCTCCATTTAATATCGATGGATAACTTTTCGAATTATTTAATATTTTTTAATAAACGTTTAAAATGCTTTTACATATAAAAAAAATACATCGTATATAAAAATACATTTAAAAACTATAAGTTTATCCAAAAATATGAAATCATTTGAAAAGCTTAGCCAACAATATTAAATTGAGGCCAACATTAGATAAACTATGACATTTATCTACTGAACAATATACAACAGTGCATCCTAAGATTGATCACTGGATTCAGCCAGGGTAAGTGTTATAGAATGCCCAGGATGTAGACTTATCAGCTCGGACTCCTTAGCCCCTGCCAAGGGCTAAGGCTGTTTGTAAGTTATATGTTGTAGTTTTGTATTGTACTGTAAGCCATTGCTACTGCTAGCATCTGTTAAAGCCTGTTACTTGCTATAATTATTGTAGTAAATTACCGTATATACTCAAATATAATCCAAGTTTTTCTGCACATTTTTTGTGTTGAAAACCCCCACTCGGCTTATACTCGAGTCAATGTCTGTATTATGGCAACTTGCATTGCCATAATACAGACAAGGACCGCCGGGCTCATTGCAAGCCCAGCGGTCCTGTTGGGGGCTGGCAGCGAGCAGTTACTTACCTTCCTGCAGCTCCCCTGTCAGCTCCGTTCTGCTCCCAGTGTAAAGCTTGTGACACCCGCCGCCGTCAGAGCGTTGCCACGGGTTACCGTGGCAACGCTCCGCGCGGTACACAAACCGCAAGGTTTACACTGGGAGCAGAACGGAGCTGACAGGGGAGCTGCACAGAGGAGAAGGGAGCTGACAGGAGCTGTAGGAAGGTAACTAACAGCTCGCTGCCAGCCCCCCCACTGCAAAGCCCATCCCCCGGACCACTAGGGATTCACATAGCCCCTCTCCCTGGCCAGGTAACAGGCAGGGAGGGGGGACAAAAAACAATTAAATAAAAAAATAATACAAATAATAAAATGAAATAATAATAAAATAATAATAATAATAATATTAAAATAATAATATTAAACTATAATAATATTAAAATTAAAAAATTTAAATAATAAAAATGCCCTCCCCTCACCCAGTTTACACACAATACACAAACACACACTGCATTATATACACATGCTGCATTCACACAAACACACACTGCATTATATACACACACACTGCATTATATACACACACACTGCATTCACACAAACACACACTGCATTATACATACACTGCATTATATACACACACTACACACAAACACACACACACTCTGCATTCATTATATACACACACTATAAATAAATATTCAATTAATATAATTTTATCGGGATCTAATTTTATTTAGAAATTTACCAGTAGCTGCTGCATTTTCCACCCTAGGCTTATCCTCAAGTCAATAAGTTTTCCCATTCTTTTGCGGTAAAATTAGGGGCCTCGGCTTATATTCGGGTTGACTTATACTCGAGTATATACGGTAACAGTTAATATTGCAATGTTTGGTGTTTTTTCTATCCACACCATAACCTTAATACAATAATTAATATAATAATAAAGAGAAGAATATTTAAGCCACATACACAACAATTACTAAACAAAATAACTTAAGTTTATGTTAAAATGCACGTTTATATAGGTCAGTACCTTAATGCATAATCACTGGTTCTGTCATTTCAGCATCAGATATTAAGTATTGTATTTATAGCATACATTTTGTTTTTGATGAGAGTAAAGCATTAGTTTAGAGAATGATGGAGATAATATTATCCCCTTAAGGACACAACTTCAGAAATAAAAGGGAATCATGACGGAATATTTCCGTCATGTGTCCTTAAGGGGTTAATAAGCATTGCCCATGAAATTGTAATGAGGACTACTCTAAGACTCTTGCATATTAGCATAACATAAATCTTTTACCTGTGCGAGATACTGTAGTGAAAGTAAATGGTGTTGTTACAGCAGTAGCACATGGATATATATTTCTATAGATAGTGCCATTTTCCTTGCATATGGCTACTAAGCAGTGTCCAATACTATCTGTTGTATTGTAGATGGTCTCATTGAATTTGAATATGTGATCATCATATTCACATTCGCATTCTAGAAAATAAAAAAATAAAAATATAGCTGCAGGTACAGATCAAATTAAAACACACAAATGTTTAATGCTTAATATGTAAAAAAAAAAACCTTACCTTTGACTATATACAAACATTTAATGCCATCTTCAGTGCAAGAACTGTGGGAAAGATTTTAAACATAAAACAATTTAAACACACATTAAATATATAAATGCAATTAATCTTGTACTGTACATAATATTAAAGGGACACTCTGGGTACCAATACGACTTTAAATTAGGTTTTGGCCTCATTGATTTGCTGTATGTTTGCATGCTCAAATCTTTTGCACAAAAAAATGGTTTGCAGAAGGCTGCACCATAAGCCTGCCTTCTTAGCCAGAAAGGCTTTCAAATCCCCAACAGCACTGAGTCAGCTACTGTTAATTTAGAACCTGGCTACAGACGGTTAGAGAAACTACAAACAGGAAGTTATAGCCTTACTATATAGGTGTTATCACCCCTTCTAATACGTTGTAGTTCAGATCACACAGTTCTGTCGGTGGATAAGCTCTATGTATACATTTGATAAGGAAGTATTTTTATGGAGTGTGGGTGTGGCTAAGGAGGCAGGCTTATGGTGCAGCATTCTGCCAAGTATTTATATTTTTTGTGCAAAAGCTACAAAGTCTTAAAGGATCAATCTAGTGTCAGGAAAACAAACTCGTTTTCCTGACACTATATAGTCCTTAGGTCCCCCCCTCCCTCAGGGCCCTCCTCCTGCTGGACTGAAGGGGTTAAAACCCCTTCAGCTACTTACCTTTATCCAGCGCCGGACTCCCTTGGCGCTGGTAACCTCTCCTCCCCCTCCGAAGTCAGCTCCTGAGTGGAGTTGAATGCGCATGCGCGGCAAGAGCCGCGCGCATTAAAAAGGCCCATAGGAAAGCATTTCTCATTGCTTTCCTATGGATGTTCTGCATGCTCTTTGTGATTTCCACATTGAGCGTCAGGGAAGCGGCTCTAGCGGTTGTCAGGAAGACAGCCACTAGAGGCTGGAAACTGCTATGTTTACATCTGAAGGGTTAAAATCTGCTGAAGTGCTGAAGTTGTCTGGGTGACTATAGTGGTCCCTTAAATATGTAGAAAATACAGGATATCATTCAGACTAAAAATTAAATGCAGTAAAGATGTATTTGTGTTCATAATGTCCCTTTAAGACTTCATAAATATTGAACAGACTGTTAAAAAAAAATAGACAGTAGACAGTTATTTTTTTTCCTCCTTACAGCAAAGGACATTTTAATTTGAAGGAAATCATTAAGTGTTGTTATTGTATTTATTTTTAAAAAAATATAGTGTATATTTTATTATGAAAAGTAATGACCGTTTCCAATAAACCTGTAATTTACTAATAAATAATTATTCATATGAACATACTTAGAAGTTAACTCTAAAGTATTCAAATACAGATTATTACATGTCATCATACTACTGTTATGAATTTCTGTTAAGCAGCAAAAATATGATTTGCTGTTTGGAAGAATGATCAAGATTATGACTAGAGATCATCATTTAAGAACCCCTAGGTGTACTTTAAAAACCCTGATGTGTACATTGAAAGAATTAGTTTTACCAAACTTCGCAATTGTTTCTGCTGGGAACTCTGTCTCCAAGTCTATAGTGTCTTCTGTCTTCATCATAACAACCACATTTTGATACACACTTCATTTCATCTTCATCAAAAAGTGGCCTGTCTTTTGGACATTTTGGATAACAGCCTAATTAATAAATGGGGATAGAAAACATTAAATTACATTTTAGAAAATTCTAGTTATCACTTAGGATTTCATTTACTTTATTCTAAGGATACTGTTTCAAACAATTACCTTCTAAACCTCTTATTTCATAGACACACTTCCCACTGGGGTTCCTACATGTCTTCATACATGGAGCTCCACATGGCTTGTAATGCCATTCACATTCTTCATCATCATTGTAGTAGTCACAGAACAAAGCTGAGTAAAAGAATAAAGGATTATTGTGTATCTCAGATATATCATTTTAAAAGTACAACATTGCATATATGTGTACCAGATGAAAATATTAGCACACTTTTGACCACACATCTGTAAAGGAGCTTAATTGCAATGTAATCAGTTCATGTGCTGAGAATTCTTACTAATCTAGCCTGTTTATGTTCATAAACAACATAACTAAATGTGTTTGTTAAAGGACCACTATAGTGCCAGGAAAACATACTCGTTTTCCTGGCACTATAGTGCCCTGAGGGTGCCCCCACCCTCAGGGTCCCCCTCCTGCCCGGCTCTGGAAGGGGGAAAGGTGTTAAAACTTACCTTTTTCCAGCGCTGGGCGGGGAGCTCTCCTCCTCTGATCCTCCTCCGATCCTCCTCCTGGGCTGAAAGCGCACGCGCAGCAAGAGCTGCGCGCGCATTCAACCCGTCACATAGGAAAGCATTTACAATGCTTTCCTATGGACGCTTGCGTGCTCTCACTGTGAAAATCACAGTGAGAAGCACGCAAGCGCCTCTAGTGGCTGTCAATGAGACAGCCACTAGAGGAAATAGGGAAAGGCTTAACCCATTCATAAACATAGCAGTTTCTCTGAAACTGCTATGTTTATGAAAAAATGGGTTAACCCTAGCTGGACCTGGCACCCAGACCACTTCATTAAGCTGAAGTGGTCTGGGTGCCTAGAGTGGTCCTTTAAAATTATGGTAGCTATTTTGCATTTTACTCTCTACTTATGTTTCCATCAGAAGAAGAAGCATTAAACACTTCTTTAGAAAAAGAGATTAAAGGCCATCAGCTCACAAATAAGGCATTTTTGTTTTTCTTAGTAAAAGAATGAAATATGTCAAATACATATTTTTGGTTGTTGCCCAAAGTGGACACAGACCCTTATGAGTGAATTTTTTCAGTCCCTTGAAGGACTCAATGACTTGAATTTTAAAGCTCTTTAAAATATATACTCAACAAGAAATGCAAACTCATCAACATACACCTTACTACCTGGGAAGAGAGGAGCAATTTCTAAGCCAGAAAGACATGAGCTGGTATATTATTACCATAAAGAACTTCTGCTAGTGGATATAAGGTACATATCTGGTGGATTGCACATAGAAGGGAGAAATGCCTGTGTTTCTGAGTACATGTTCACTTTTCATGGCAAAATGAATGTCTTCTATGTCTACATATATTTCTTGAACTTTAAAGCTGGAATAGGGATTCATAGATCCTACCTGGACATGGTAATTATGAAAATTATGAAAACATTGCCTACAGTACAGATTTCGAAAGAATATATCAGCATTAGAGATGTCGCGAACCGTTTGCGAACTTCCCGCGAACGGCTCGCCGCGGTTCGCGGTGAGCTCCGGTCAGCTGATACATCTCAGCCAATCTCCAGCTGACCCTCCCTCCCAGACTCTCCCACCTCCTGGACAGCATCCATGTTGAAGGCAGCTTCAACATGGATGCTGTCCAGGGGGTGGGAGGGTCTGGGAGGGAGGGTCTGCTGGAGATTGGCCGGGATGTGTCAGCTGACCGGAGCTCGGCGCGAACGGTTCGTGGCGAACCGCGGCGAGCCGTTCGCGGGAAGTTCGCGAACGGTTCGCGGCATCTCTAATCAGCATCTGTGGCAACAATTACAACCTATTAACATCTTAAAGTGCAAATATATGTGCAAAAATTCCAAATACTATGTGCAAGAATTGAATATAAAATGAATAAGACTTCCCTTTGGCATCAAAAGTGTGAGTGGCCAATTGAATCATTTTTATATAGTTTTATATACAGTTAAAGGACCACTATAGGCACCCAGACCACTTCAGCTCAATAAAGTGGTCTGGGTGCCAGGTCCCTCTTGGTTTAACTCTGCCTGCTGTAAACATAGCAGTTTCAGAGAAACTGCTATGTTTACCTATGGGTTAATGTAATGAGGACAGCCACTAGAGGCGCTTCTGAGCTTCTCACTGTGATTTTCACAGTGAGAAGACACCAGCGTACATAGGAAAGCATTGAGAATGCTTTCCTATGGACTGGCTGAATGCACGCGTGGCTCTTGTCGCGCATGTGTATTCAGCTGATGACGGGAAAGGAGGCAGAGAGTCCCCACCGCCGAGGGTGGAGAAAAGGTTAGTGTTTAACCCCTTCCTCACCCTAGAGCCCAGTGGGAGGCGGACCCTAAGGGTGGGGGGGACCTAGAGACCCTATAGTGCCAGGAAAACGAGTATGTTTTCCTGGCACTATAGTGGTCCTTTAAACACAATGTTGTACCTTTTTTTTTATCTTCCCTAGCAGAATCACCCTAACTTTTTTTGCATTATGTTTAAAGATTTTGAAAGAACACTGGCTTTTTGTTTTTATTGTACTGCTGGTATCCATGTTATGCTTGGAACTTTGGCAGTTCTATATATTGTATCAACCCAACGACATTTATCTTTTGTCTGTCCAGTAAATGAACACAACTAAGTTATCAAGTGGCTTCCTGAATTTAGCATGCCTTTTTAGTATTCTAAGTTTGGACTTGGAATAGGTTTTGTGTATAAACTTGTTGAACAGGTGCACTTGCCATTTCATGTGCTTTCCACAAAGAGGAGTAATAAAACTAGTTAAACATTGCTAAAAATAGTGTATCAATTATAGGAAATGGTCTGTCACCTATTTTTTAAAAATAACTTTTAGCTATTTCTTAGATCCAGTTAAACAAAATATTATATAATCTTATGCATTAGTGTTTTATAAAATTGAGCTTATACTAATTCAAAATCTGCTGACTTTTTGCTTTAGGAATTTAAAAACAATGCTCTAATACACTAAAAAACCAATAAAACCAGGTGACCTCTTATATGGTCATTATGCAACCAAAAAGCCCAGTAAGAAAAAGTGCACATTCATGCTCTTTTTATTTTTATTGCCAATGGTTTTCATCATATTTTTGTTGGACTCACGGCATCTGTTAGGGTCTCTCCAAGAAACACATATTCCATACTCTCCACACGTTTGGGCATAGGCAGCTACAGCAGTGCAAAAGCATTCACAGTCCCCTCCAGTGTTGCAAGCACAAGAGTCAGAGATGCAGGTATCATAAAACTTTGATGGGTCTACCTAAAAGGAGCAGTGGTGATACAAAGAACCATTGGTTTCAATGTCAGACTTTAGAGATTGCAGAGATTAAAGAGACATTATATATGTATCATGTTCTAGATTATATGACTTGAAAATATACCACTGATGAAATGTGCAGCTTTAGTATAAAACATTTACAATTAAGTAAACTTATAGAACTGTTTTGTTCTGAATTGCCATTTATCCAAATTTAGGCAGTGGACAATCATGTTCATTTTGATTTGTGATTCAGAATTCTGCCAATTGGGCGGGAAAAAAAAGATGACTGATGTGAACAAAGATGATTGATTACTGTGTTGATTTTATTCACAGATCAAGGGAAAAGTGAATAAAATTGGGAAAAACAGGAACAGCAGAAAAAAAAATCTATATATATATATATATATATATATATATATATATATATATATATATATATATATATACACACACACTCATCAACCACAACATTAAAACCACCTGCCTAATTTTGTGTAGGTCTCTCTTGTGCCCACACCTCTGATGCTTTGAGACATGAGCTCTACAAGACCTCTGAATGTGTATTGAGGTACCTGACACCAAGACATTAGCAGCAGATTGTTTAAGTCCTTCAAGTTGAGAGGTGGGGCCTCCATGGATTAGATATGTTATTCCAACACATCCTACAGATGCTCAATCAGATTGAGAGAGGAATTTGGCCAAGGCAAAATGTGTCATTGTAAGCTCTCTGATGCATATGGGGCTTAGTAGTTCTGAAACCTTTCTATTATGGGTTGCATTAAGTTTTCTATTAATTAGAGCTAAAGTAGCTCTTCTGTGTGATCAGACCAGGCAGGCTAGCCTTTTTTCCCCACATATATCAATGAGCATTTGGCGCCCATTACCCATCACCAGTTGTCCTTCCTAGCACCACTTTTGGTAGGTACTAACCATTGAATACTGAAAAAAACCCACAGGAATTTTGGTTTGGAGATGATCTGACTCATCTAGCTGTTACTATTTGGCCCTTGTCAAAGTTAATCAGATGTATTCACTTGCACATTTTTCCTGCTTACAATACATGAAATTCAAGACCTGATGGTGCATACCCCACCCCTTGAAAGGTGCCATTATAATGATATCAAAATACAAGTTATTCACTTTACGTGCCAGGGATTTAAATGTTGTGGCTGATCAGTGTGTTTTTGTTCCCTTTTTATTTGTCTAATTTATTTTCTTGAATCTTTTTTTCATTAGCGAAATTTGGGCCATTTGATCAGCCATTTAGCACTAAAGTTGGCTACCCCCCAAACTTATTTTTTGGACAATATGGTTTGACCAAAATGATTTTTTTTCGCTGTGTACAAATCTACAAAAATGCTAATGTCTCTTGAACTGTAGAGCACTGTTTTATACTTCTGAACCCATTCTACATTTACATGTGCATTTTTTCAAACGACTTCATCCTATAATAAAATTAGTTTTGGGCTGGCAGAATATTGTGCTTGTGGCGGTTCAGCTTACCAGAATTTTGTCTGCTAAAAAAGATTCAGGAAAACGAATCACAAGGGTGCAAAAATGGGTCACTCAATGTAATACAAAAGATATACACATTTGGCTCACACATAACTTGTAGCAAATAAGTATTAAAACACAAAATGGAGCCCTGCGCTTAAACTCCCACTACTCTGGCAAAACCTTTTCGGTGAGTCCTACACTAACAATTCACCTCCATGATTTCAACTTAAAGGCAAAAATCTCTGAGACAGAAGGAGGTATTTTTATGAACCCCAACACACTTATTAACCCTTAGTATTAAACATGGGGTGGGCAGCACTATAATATGGCGGTGTAATACAAAAGCAAATATTAACACACAAAATGAAGGATGATAGAGCTCAGGTAACTCTCTTTGGTATACTGTATATGTAATATAAAAAAAGAAGAAAAGAAGGAGGGATAATGGGGCAGAAAAACTACCACCATTCCTCCCTAAAAAAGAGGTTACAGGAGGTAAAAGGGGCTTGACCCTGAAATAAATAATAATGAAAACAGCAAAGAATGGAGTGGGAAAACCACTCACAACCAGTGGGTGGAATGCCCAGCCCATTCAAAAAATATCTCCTAATATGAAAGGTCACATGAATAGGGTAAATAAACTTGATTTAAACATATTAAAATACATATGTGAGTAATAGAACTTAAAGTACCGGATAGGCTCAAAATCAATAGAGATAATAAGGTGAGCGCTTGAACCTTTAAGAAACTAGAAAACCTAGTCCTATAGAGTACTGCAGCTAGATATATAATTAAGGTGGATAAATAGAAAAAAATCTATCTAAATATATGCTGCTTGGACTAGTCTAATCACCTTAAACCACTTAAAAGAGACCTTGGATAATGAAAAAACAAAAAAAAAGTAATAATAGTGACAGACTATTAATTAGAGGTAAAGGCATGTAAATTATAAAGGATGAGAAATGTCATATAGAGAACAGAAAATAACCCCCCTCCCAAAACCAAACACAGGGAGGTACCCCCTATATAGTCGCCCTAAACCTAAACTATCAAACTAAAAGTCAGTAGTACAGCTCACTGCTGCTTCATGGCAGCCTATCCAAATCCCTAAATGGCTAATAGAAAAGGATCCCAGCTATCTATAACGCTAATGAGGAGATCCGGTTACTAAGAAAAAGTAAAGTAGAAAAGCCAATTCCAAAAAAATTAAACATCGGCTAGAAAATAGTAATGTCAAAGTAGAAAATTAAATTCAAAGAAATTAGCATCGGCTAGAAAATAATCTCGACGCGAGTTTTGACGTTTGAAATACGCCTTTATCAAGAGAAACCTGGTTAGTGGCTCGGGAGCCGTTTAGAAAGGTCTATAGCCACACCCCCAGATTCCAAAACTCCAATCAAAGCCCGAGGGTGACGAAGACGTGACAGATCACCTCCCCCACACATTGGACTAATCAGAGGAGGTGGGCGTGATACTCACATTCCCTCCGTGTGTCAAAAAGGAGAGGAGCTTAACATCGGCATAATAAATGGATACTAATATTGCAAATATGGCACAAGGCCAATGAACTATTCAAATACAATGTTGATACAGTGTCAAATAGTAACTAATAAGATGGTAATAATAAACTGTAGATCTAACAAGCAGAGAGCAGATTTAAATTGCTTAAAGTATATATTTGAAGTATAGATTTAGGTTGTCGAACGGACAGACTTTACCCAAGACCTAAATAACTCTGTGGGATCCTTGTAAGGCAAATATTAATATAGTAAAAATAAAGAAGGGTATAGTGATGCACCGAACGGTTCACTGGCGAATAGTTCCTGGCGAACATGCGCGGTTCGATCCGCCCCCTATTCGTCATCATTGAGTAAACTTTGACCCTGTACCTCACAGTCAGCAGACACATTCCAGCCAATTAGCAGAACACCCTCACTAGCAGACCCTCCCACCTACTGGACAGCATCCATTTTAGATTCATTCTCAAGCTGCATGCTTAGTGAGAGGAGGGAAAGTGTAGCTGCTGTTGATTTGATAGGGAAATGGATAGCTAGGTTAGTGTATACAGTATCCACTACAGCTGTAAGGACAGCACCCCAAAAAGCCCTTTTTAGGGCTAGAACATCAGTCTGCTTTTTTTTTTTCTGTGTAATGTAATTGCAGTTGTCTGCCAGCTTCTGTGTCAGGCTCACAGTGGATACTGTGCCCACTTGCCCAGTGCCACCACTCACTCACTGGTGTCAAATAGCTTGCATTTAAAAAAATATATTTTTTTTTCACTATGATAGATTGAATAGCAGTTAGCTGTCTGCCAGCTTCTGTGTCAGGCTCACAGTGGATACTGTGCCCACTTGCCCAGTGCCACCACTCACTCACTGGTGTCACAATAGCTTGCATTTAAAAACAAAAAACTTTTTTCACTGTTATAGATTGAATAGCAGTTAGTTGTCTGCCAGTGTCTGTGTCAGGCTCACAGTGGATACTATGCCCAGTGCCACCACTCACTCACTGGTGTCACAATAGCTTGCATTTAAAACTATTTTTTTTTTTTTTCACTATAATAGATTGAATAGCAGTTAGTTGTCTGCAAGCGTCTGTGTGTCAGGCTTGCAGCGTATACTGTGCCCACTTGCCCAGTGCCACCACTCACTCACTGGTGTCACAATAGCGTGCATTTAAAAACCAAAAAACTTTTTTCACTGTTATAGATTGAATAGCAGTTAGTTGTCTTCAAGCGGGTGTGTTAGGCCTACAACGTGTACTCTGCCAACCTTTGCCAGTTCAAAGTGCCACTCTTATCTGGTGTCACAATAGCTTGTATTTAAAAAACAAAAAACTTTTTTCACTGTTATAGATTGAATAGCAGTTAGTTGTCTCAAAGCGGGTGTGTCAGCCCTACAGCGTGTACTCTGCCAACCTCTGCCAGTTCACAGTGCCACTCATATCTGGTGTCACAATAGCTTGCATTTAAAAACAAAAAACTTTTTTCACTGTTATAGATTGAATAGCAGTTAATTGTCTCAAAGCGGGTGTGTCAGCCCTACAGCGTGTACTCTGCCAACCTCTGCCAGTTCACAGTGCCACTCATATCTGGTGTCACAATAGCTTGCATTTAAAAACAAAAAACTTTTTTCACTGTTATAGATTGAATAGCAGTTAGTTGTCTCAAAGTGGGTCTGTCAGCCCTACAGTGTGTACTCTGCCAGCTCACAGTGCCACTCATATCTGGTGTCACAATAGCTTGCATTTAAAAACAAAAAACTTTTTTCACTGTTATAGATTGAATAGCAGTTGTCTCAAAGCGGGTGTGTCAGCCCTACAGCGTGTACTCTGCCAACCTTTGCCAGTTCACAGTGCCACTCATATCTGGTGTCACAATAACTTGCATTTAAAAACAAAAAACTTTTTTCACTGTTATAGATTGAATAGCAGTTAGTTGTCTCAAAGCGGGTGTGTCAGCCCTACAGCGTGTACTCTACAACCTGTGCCAGTTCACAGTGCCACTCATATCTGGTGTCACAATAGCTTGCATTTAAAAACAAAAAACTTTTTTCACTGTTATAGATTGAATAGCAGTTAGTTGTCTCAAAGCAGGTGTGTCAGCCCTACAGCGTACTCTGCCAACCTTTGCCAGTTCACAGTGCCACTCATATCTGGTGTCACAATGCATGCATTTAAAAACAAAATTTTTTTCACTGTTATAGATTGAATAGCAGTTAGTTGTCTCAAAGCGGGTGTGTCAGCCCTACAGTGGTACTCTGCCAGTTCACAGTGCCACTCATATCTGGTGTCACAATAGCTTGCATTTAAAAACAAAAAACTTTTTTCACTGTTATAGATTGAATAGCAGTTAGTTGTCTTCAAGCGGGTGTGTCAGCCCTACAGCGTGTACTCTGCCAACCTCTGCCAGTTCACAGTGCCACTCATATCTGGTGTCACAGTAGCTTGCACACATAGTACCACTAATCGGAAAAAAAATGACAGGCAGAGGCAGGCCACCCTGCAGGGGCCGTCGTGGTCGTGGTGCTGTGATTCCCTTTTGCCCTAGAATAATGCCCAGTTTTCAGAGGCCAGGTACCCTGAACTTGAAAAGTTCTGAGGATATAGTTGAATGGCTAACACAGGACACACAATCTTCTACAGCTTCCGCTCGGAACCTTGACGCAACATCCTCCTCCAGCTTAGCTTCGGGCACCTCTCAAGATACCACTCACCCGCCTGCTGCCACCACCAACACTAGCACCACAGCCGCTTCACTTGGTATGTCAGATGAGTTATTTACACATCCGTTTGAAGAAATGGGTGATGCGCAACCATTATTGACAGAGGATGTAGATAACAGGGATATGTCTCAGTCAGGAAGCATTACACATGTACGGTGTGATGATGATGATGTTGTACCCGCTGCTGCTTCCTTTGCTGAGTTGTCAGATACAAGTGAAGCGGTTGATGATGACGATGCGTCCATGGATGTCACGTGGGTGCCCGCTCGCAAGAAGAAAAACAGGGCGAAAGTTCAGATGGGGAGACAGAGAGGAGGAGGAGACGAGTTGGAAGCAGGGGAGGTCATCGCAAGGAGCTAGTGGCACAGTCAGACAGCATGCATCGGCACCCGGGGTCAGCCCGACAGCACGCCAATCAACGCATGCTGTGTCCACCACCAGAATGCCGTCATTGCAGAGCTCAGCAGTGTGGCATTTTTTTTGTGTGTCTGCCTCTGACAACAGCGATGCCATTTGCAACCTGTGCCAAAAGAAAGTGAGTCGTGGGAAGTCCAACACCCACCTAGGTACAACTGCTTTGCGAAGGCACATGATCGCACATCACAAACGCCTATGGGATCAACACATGAGTACAAGCAGCACACAAACTCAAAGCCGCCATCCTCCTCCTGGTCCAGCATCTTCAGCCTACGTCAACCACTGCTGTCCTCCTTGCCCCCTCTCAACCATCCGCCACTCCGTCTCTCGCCTTGAGCAGTTCCTGCTCATCTGCCCACAGTCAGGTGTCTGTCAAGGACATGTTTGAGAGTAAGAAGCCAATGTCAGAAAGTCACCCCCTTGCCCGGCGTCTGACAGCTGGCTTGTCTGTACTATTAGCCCGCCAGCTTTTACCATACAAGCTGGTGGAGTCTGAGGCGTTCAAAAAATTTGTAGCTATTGGAACACCGCAGTGGAAGGTACCTGGATGAAATTTCTTTTCACAAAAGGCAATCCCCAACCTGTACTCGATTGTGCAAAAGGAAGTAATGGCATGTCTGGCACACAGTGTTGGGACAAGGGTCCATCTGACCACTGATACCTGGTCTACAAAGCATGGTCAGGGCAGGTATATCACCTACACTGCGCATTGGGTAAACCTGCTGATGGCTGCCAAGCATGGAATGCGTGGCTCTGCAGAGGAGTTGGTGACACAGCCACGACTTGCAGGCAGGCCTGTTGCCACCTCCTCTACTCCTCCTACTCCATCCTCTTCCATAACCTCCTCGGCTGAGTCCTCTTCTGCTGCTGCGTCTTGCTCCACATCAACGGATAGGGGACGTAACAGGGATTAAACTGATAAGAATAGTACTACTTAACACACCACTCCTATCTTGTGGCACATTAGATTGCACACGCAGTGCCCCAAATTTGAAGTAGGAGGACCGACCAAGCATCTTTTTCCATCTCCCGGTTCCTAAAATCGATGCCATATACACGTCCCCTGATAGGGAACATAACAGGGATTAAACTGATAGGAATAATACTACTTAACACACCTTATAATAACGCAGAGAGAGGCAATGCAGAGAGAGGAGTCTGAAGAAGAGGAGTCAGAGGAGGAAGGTGGCTTTGAGGAGGTGGAAGACCAAACACAGCAGGCGTCCCAGGGGGCTTGTTGTCACCTTTCGGGGACCCTTGGTGCTGTACGTGGCTGGGTGGAGGAAGAGACCTTCAATGACATCAGTGAGGACAAGGAACGGGACATGGCTAGCTTGGTATCCAACCTTGTGCAAATGGGGAGTTTGCGGTTGTGCAAATGGACTGTTTGTGGTTGTTTGCGGTGCGTTAAACGGGGAGTTTGGTCGGTCACTGTGAAGCAGGCGTAACCCTTACACTACCTGATCGATACAACATCATACAGTAGGTCCTCCCCTCATTATTTTTATGGCCCCCACCCACCGCTCACGGGTGGGGGCAAGCAGGAGGTCAGTAGGTCCCCCCCATTCAGATTTATGGCCCCCACCCACCGTGCAGGGGTGGGGGCCGGGGGGGAGGACAGTAGGTCTCCCCTTATCCTTATTTACTGGATATTCCCCTGTATAACAATGTTTGGCATTTAGTGAATATTCCCTATTCTGCTCTGTGTCAGTGTGTATCAGGGATCCTGAGGATAGGTGTCAATCCATATCTGCTAAGTGACCCTATGTAGGGGGAACAGTCCCTATTCTGCTCTGTGTCAGTGTTTATCAGGGATCCTTAGGATAGATGTCAATCCATATCTGCCAAGTGACCCTATGTAGGGGGAACAGTCCCTATTCTGCTCTGTGTCAGTGTGTATCAGGGATCCTTAGGATAGGTGTCAATCCATATCTGCCAAGTCACCCTATGTAGAGGGAACAGTCCCTATTCTGCTCTGTGTCAGTGTTTATCAGGGATCCTTAGGATAGGTGTCAATCCATATCTGCCAAGTCACCCTATGTGGGGGGAACAGTCCCTATTCTGCTCTGTGTCAGTGTGTATCAGGTATCCTGAGGATAGGTGTCAATCCATATCTGCCAAGTGACCCTATGTAGGGGGAACAGTCCCTATTCTGCTCTGTGTCAGTGTGTATCAGGGATCCTTAGGATAGGTGTCAATCCATATCTGCCAATTTACCCTATGTAGGGGGAACAGTCCCTATTCTGCTCTGTGTCAGTGTGTATCAGGGTCTCTGAGGACAGGTGTGAATCCATATGTCAAGGTGTCAATATGTCATATGTCAGGTGTCAATCCATATCCATTGTGATTTAGGAATGTTAGGTGATTTATGCCCTTTACAGATTAAGACCAGACTCTGCATCAACTGTGTAATTTTCCATGGGAGTTTTGCCATGGATTCCCATCCGGCATGCCACAGTCCAGGTGTTAATCCCCCTGAAACAACTTTTCCATCACTATTGTGGACAGAAAGAGTCCCTGTGTGTTTTGAAATTCGCCTGCCCATTGAAGTCTATGGCGGTTCGCCCGGTTCGCCGGTTCGCGAACATTTGCAGAAGTTCGCGTTCACGACATCACTAGAAGGGTATATTCAAATGTTTGTAAAAACATGTAGTCAGTGTACCCAATATAATAAACTATAAAAAACAAACGAAACCCGATAGGATCTATCAAATTAAAATAAACAATACTGCATCTGAAAGGAATTACCAATCTAAAATATTCCAAAATAATTCAAAAAACCTTGAATATGGGTCTTTTCATTTGAATGCAGATAGTATCCAAAACAATGTAGAAATATCACGTGGAGGTCCCGCATTATACTTACCAAGGTAATAAACTAATAAAAATACCATATAATGTGTACCATAGAGATCACAAACAAATAAACAAATTCACTAAATAGTGAGACCTGTACAGATCGTACTAGAAAGACAGGAAACCAAGAAATTTGATAATTATCGGAAAGGTACAAAGATGCATATTGGTCTATCAAATAAATAGAGAAAAATAGAACCCTTCACTGAATCCTTTTGGGTTTTTTGATACTTTAAGGTTTTAATACCCAGGTTACTGATCACAGTAATTGATATGGCCAGCTTTCTAGCTAACAGACAGGTCTTTAACACATGGTGCAAAGATGCTGAGAATGTCTTTTCAAATGATAATTTGGAGAATAATTCTACCTTTCCCAACATTAATCAATCCTTTAATTTAGTAACCAAACTTAATAAACAACAGATTAGGACCTGTTGGGAAGTGTCCTCTTTAGAGAATGATATTAAAAAGGATATGATACCAAGAGGATTTAGAGTAAGAAACACTCCCACAGCCTATACAGACAATCCCGACTTTATGAAAGAGTGGGAATTGTCTGCAAGTACATGTTCAAAAAGATTTATGGAGATCATCTGCACCTTTGAAAGAGCAAAATTGGATAACACTAATTTAAAATTAAGTGAAGAAATTGAGAAACTTAACATCTTTAAAGGTGAACCTAGTTTTTCTTCTCTTGAAAATAAGTTTAAATTGAACCTTGATCGCTATCAGGATTCAATTAAATTTCGGAAACATCAGAAATTTATTAGAGATTCTAGGGACTACCAATCAGGTAACATCTATAATTTTCCAACTCGTTGTGTTAGACAGAATTCTGAGAACTATATGACATTTGATTATACTCAGGTACTGATTCTAGTACTACACCTCTAAGTTCACAACTCCCACCTCTACCCCTACCCAGTACCAGCAACCCACGTGGCATCCTGTAAAAAGGAGTTGATTTTTTAGAGATGGACCACCAGGAGACCTTCCCGAATTATCAAACACGCTACCAATCCAGGAATCAGGGAAAGGGAGGGAGGAGAGGAGGGGGGAGGAAGAGACGCTAATAAAGTCTAGTCCGGGAGTGCAACATGTGTATGTCCCAAAATTACAGGTGATTAATTTATCTTCTTTTCAATTGGATAAATCTCATTGTGACATTTTGGAGAGGGGGCTTTCTTTCGTGCCAACTCCAGCATTTGATAGATTCACATGGATAAAGGACTTACACCTGTTTGTACATAAATTGGCCCTGTTTAAATTTCATGAGATAAACAAAGAAAAGAAAGCACGCTCTTTGGGCCTTTCCAGTACGGACATAGATTGACTGAATAATTTGGTCTCTCTTCTTGATGACAACGATGTTCAACTATCGACTACTTATACTAATTTGAAATCTAAAAGCCGCTTTACTCCTAATTTTGCACCCTTTAGGAATAATGATCTTTTTATCGAGGCTGTAAAAAGTGAGATTGACGGTATTGACTGTTCTAAATTTCCCTCCTTCCCTAATGATAATCTATCTAAAAGCGAACATACTGCTTTAAAATCACTGAGAGATAACAACAATGTGATTATCAAACAGGCGGATAAAGGAGGGAATGTCGTTGTTATGGATATATCTAAGTATGAGAGAATGGTGTTGAACGTCTTGGAGAATGTTGATATCTATGCCATTCTCCATTCTGACCCAACTATCTCTTTTTTAGAAGGATATAAGTCTATTTTGGATGAAGGCCGCAGTGGAGGGTTGCTTTCAGATGAGGAATATTACTTTATTCTCAATCGCCATCCAAGGATAGCAACCTTCTACTGCCTGCCGAAAAGCCATAAGAACATGGAAGACCCACCAGGGCGACCAATAGTGTCTGGGGTTGATAATTTAACTCAAAATGGTAGTCTCTATATTGATCAGATTCTTAGACCATTTGTTGAAAGCTTACCTTCCTATATTAGAGACACTACGCAGGCACTCTCTCTCCTCTCTAGTCTCCATTTTGAACCAACGGCTAATTTATGTAGCCTTGATGTTGAGGCCCTGTATTCCTCTATTCCACATCAGAGGGGTATTGAACATGTTAAATATTTCCTTGATAAAAGGGGTCCAGAACATCAGGCACATACAACATTCAAATAGAAAACACGGACACCCGTGAAAAAAGTGTGAAAAACACACAAAAAACAACAAAATGAAAACTTAGCTGATAGGTACACTGCTTCCCAAGGTTATCTCCCAGCTGATAACCATATAGCAGAACTGTGTGATAGATAGGATATTTTGGGATACTGCTAGTATACCTATAATAGAGAACAAAACATAGTGCAAATATTGCTAAATGTTATAAAACTTCCAATGATTGAAATGCACTCACATATTCCAAAAAAGATAAGCGTATTATGGGTGCCTCCCCTCGATGGAAATAGGGGGGTTGACTCCTATTAATTTCTCCTCCTCAAGTGATAGCCAATGGAGTATCCAAGTCAGCCAAAACGATCCACAAAACAGCAACCACAGGAATACTTCAAGGCGATTTATTCACTTACAAAATTAAGAAGGTGTACAGATAAAACATAAAAGCAATATAAAAGTGAGATATTGGTCCTACGCGTTTCGTCCTTATACAGAAAGGACTTCCTCAGGGACCATCTATTTCAAATAAAATATCAAATATCAATTAACAAATGTACAGAGTAAACTGCATCCTAAAAACGCTAACAATCAAACAGTCTTATATAGGGCTAATCCCTTCAAGTCATTGGTGGAATAGTGGGTGTCTTCTTGTCTTCCAATTCTGGTTCGTCAAAATTTTCTTTCCCCAGGTGTAGCTGCTTTGCCGAAATGTAAAGCCGGGTCCGTTCAACGCTTTTAACCACCTCGAGGGGAGGCACCCATAATACGCTTATCTTTTTTGGAATATGTGAGTGCATTTCAATCATTGGAAGTTTTATAACATTTAGCAATATTTGCACTATGTTTTGTTCTCTATTATAGGTATACTAGCAGTATCCCAAAATATCCTATCTATCACACATACAACATTCACTCTCAAGCTACTGAACTTTATCCTGTCCCACAATTACTTTCTGTTCCATAACAGGTACTACCAAACAGATACGAGGTACAGCAATGGTTACGGCATGTGCGCCCTCTTATGCTAACCTCCATTTAGGGTGGTGGGAGGAACAGATTAAGACATCCACGATTCTATCACCACTTCTGTCCAAGATCATCTTCTGGTACAGATATATAAATTATGTCATTATAGTGTGGCAGGGCAATAACAGTGAGTTTGATGATTTTGTGTCTCTCCTCAACACGAAAGAGGACAATCTTAAATTCACGGCGGAATTTGGAGGCTCTTCCCTGAACTTTTTAGACCTTACGATTTCAATCAAAGATGGGTCTCTGGTTACTACCCTATTTAGGAAACCCTCTGCATCTAATTCCCTTCTCAAATGGAACAGTTGCCATCCAAGATCTTTAAAACAGGGTATCCCTACTGGGCAATACCTTAGACTACGACGCAACTGTACAGATCTGGCGGATTTTCAAATGAAAGCCAAGATCCTGAGACAACAATTTAAAGAGAAGGGTTATCCTAATAGATGTCTCAAGAGAGCCTATAATAGAGCTGACCTCTTGTCAGATTCCCCAGCACCAATTAACGCTACCGATTGAAACCATCAGGATGATTGGTACATCTGATACCGGTTGGGATGAGGTTAAAAGCTCTATGCAGAAGTTTTGGCCTATTCTACTTAAAGATATCCATCTGAAAGAGATTTTGGGTCCACAAGTCTCTATTACAACTGGAGGGGTAAGAACCTCCGTGATATCCTTGTACCCAGCCACTTTACAACTCTCTAATACCACATGGCTGGGACGAAGGATTCCCGTTGGTTCATTTGGCTGTGGTAGATGTGTAGCCTGCAGATACATCCTTAGAGATTCTAAGGAGGTGACGGACAGTGAAGGTAAACATACTTTCCAGATTCAAAAAGATATGGAAGGGCTGCGCCAAATAAGGGTAGATAGTCCAGTAAAGTATTGCTAGGGTGCCAATAGATGGTCTAGGATACTTGATAGAGTTCCTCTGTGGATGCGTATTCAAGAGAGCTATGGCCAGCTCTGGTGTGGATTGCGTACAGCGGTATAATCCCCGCTTATGGGATATGTAGGGAGGGGGTCTCCGTCAACACCGTCTGGTAGTCCAGAACTCGGAAAAGAAAGACAGAAAGCAACAATAGTGCTCTCAATTTTGATGTGGTTCAATGTGCAGATAATAAGAGGTAAAAAACTCACATTTGAGGGAGCTATGGCCAGCTCTGGTGTGGATAGCGTACAGCGGTATAATCCCCGCTTATAGGATATGTAGCGGCGATACGTCCGTCAGCACCGTCTGGTGATCCAAGGCTCCAATATAGAAGAATAAAAAGCAGCAATAGTGCTCTCAATTGTGATAGGTTAAGAGAGTAGTAGAGAAAATAAAATAATACTCACAAAGATAGAGCAGAGGTACTACTCTATGGATAGGCGTCGGTGGTATGATCCCCACCTAGGATTTCTTGGCGTACTGGAACTTTAAAATTGCCAGTGGAAGTAAAAGTAACCAGGAAAGGTTAAAATGCCAGGAATAGGTAAAAAAAGTTGTTTAAAGTGCATAAAGAGTGCAATAAAAAGAGGATTGGTACAATAAAGTAGCCAAAAAAACTTTTATTGATCTAAAATACACAGTAAAATACAGAATTAATAACCATAAACGCGTTTCACCATAAGTGGCTTCTTCAGAATGGGATAAAAGTAGTAACCTCGCAGGGGTTGTTTAAATAGGGCTATGTTAATTTGAAAATTGCGCCAAAAGTGTAATTGGCCAATCAGAGACAATTTTTAAAATCACTTTTCAAAATTAGGATTCAAGAGTATGGGAGTGATGTTATAAAGGTGATGATCCATTTAAATTATTTAAATGTGAAAACGAGGGTGAGAAAGTTATTTTTTAAAGAGAAAGAGAGAAAAAAAAAGTTGTTAGATTAAAGTTCATTAAAAAAAAAAAGTTTGATTAAAGTTAAAAAAAAAAAGTTGTTTGATTAAAGATAAAAAAAAAGTTTGATTAAAGTTAAAAAAAAAAAGGTGTTTGATTAAAGTTCATTAAAAAAAAAATAAAACAAATAAGTAGATGGTTTAAAGGTACAGAGATACAGAGATATATGTAAATGAAGTATGCATAACATAATGATTTAAATAGGGGTTATATTATACCCCAGAGTAATAATATATTACAGATGTTAAATGAAAATAATAGATAAAATAAAAATAACATTAAATAAAATTAAATAAAAGATAACACAGAATACAAGATACATAAATGGAAAGGCATAGATGAAAAGTTAAAACTTAAAAGATTATTATTATGAGGGTTGGTTAGGTCCAGACATAAAGAATAAAAGCATGTAGATAAGGGTTTTAAATAGGAATTTAAATAAAATTTAACAGGTCAAAATCAACATTTAAACCAGATGGGGTAAGAGTTTTGAGATTAAAAACCCATTCCATCTCAGCTTTACCTAATATGTTCTTAATGTTACCACCTCTCCATGGTATTATACATTTTGTTATGCCAATGCATTTAAGGTGTCTTGTGTCGTTGTTATGTGTACAAAAGTGTTTGGAGACTGAGTGATTCAGGTAGCCTTTTTTGATATTTCTACAGTGTTCACTCAGTCTCACTTTAAGACTTCTTGTGGTCATCCCTACATACTGGAGACCACAAGGGCACTCCAACAAGTAGATGACATTTTTGGTATCGCAACTGATAAAATCTTAAATTTTATAGGTTTTGTTGGTGATATTAGATTTAAAACTGGTGGTTTTGGAAGGGTCGGAGGGGTCTGTGTTTTTGCATACAATGCATCTTTTACATTTATAAAAGCCACTGGCATTGGGCATAAAAGAATTAAAAGTAGGTTTGGTTTCTTTTGTAAAATTGGTGGTTAAAATGGATTTGAAGTTTGGGGCACCTCTAAAGACAACATTAGGCTTGTCAGGTATAATATTTTTAAGTATTTTGTCTTCTTTTAAGAGGTGCCAATGTTTTTTGATCATTTTTTTGACATGGCCACTTTTGTTATTAAAATTGAAAATAACAGGAAGTGGCATGGTGTTGGTGGTGGGTTGGGTATTGTAAGTTAGGAGGTCTGCTCTATCTTTTTTGGTGATGGTATTTATAGTGGTGTTGAGGCGGGTTGGTGAGTAATTTTTCTCAATAAATTTTTATTTTAGATAATTTGATTGTTTGTTAAAATCTTCTATTTGGGAGCAATTCCTTCTGAGATGAAGCAATTGGCTTTGAGGGGCACTTTCCAACCAAGGTTTGTAATGGCAGATAGATCTTTCGATAGCTGTGTTGACGCAGACTTTTTTAAAAAATGTTTTGGTGTGGATGGTATTGTCTGTAATGAAGATGTTGAGGTCTAAAAAATTAATAGATTCCTTACTTGTTTCATGGGTTGTCATGTTGAGGTGGTGGATAAAAGAGTTAAAAAGAGCTTCTGTGCCATCCCAGATAAAAAACAAATCGTCTATATATCTAAAATATGTTACAAGGTTCGTACACCAAGCGTGCCTTCCCCATATGGCCGTGGATTCCCAGTCGGCCATAAAGAGGTTGGCATAGCTTGGCGCGAACCTTGTACCCATCGCAGTGCCTTGTTTTTGTAGGTAAAAGGAGTCAAAAAAACAAAAATAGTTGTTGGTTAAAATGATATTAATACCTTCTAAAATAAAATCTATTTGGGCAGGGGGGATTCTGTTTTCTTTAGTTAAAATTTCTCTGATTGCCTGGCATCCTATATGGTGGGGTATAATCGTGTATAGGGATTGGACATCACAAGTAGCTAAAATGTAATTAGTTTGCCATTTGAATTTGTCTAAAAAACGTAGTAGTGACATAGAGTCTTTTAGGTAAGAGCGCATTAATTTAACGGATGGTTGGAGGAGTATGTCAATGTATTCTGACAGATTGCAGAGTAGGGAATTTATCCCTGACACGATGGGTCTGCCAGGGGGGTTATTAATATTTTTATGTATCTTTGGTAAAAAGTATATGACAGGGAGTTTAGGGTATTTGATGTTAAGATAGTTGTATTCGTTTTTGGTTAGGATGCCAGAATCCAAGCCTTTTTGTAAAAAAGTGGATAGGGTGATTTGGATGGTAGGGGTGGGGTCAGAGGGTAGTTTGTTATATGTTTCTGTATCATGTAGTTGTCTATGTGCCTCATCTATGTACATCTTACTAGATAGGATAACGATCCCACCTCCTTTATCTGCCGGCTTTATGACAATATCTTTGTCTTCTTGTAGTTGTTTCAGTGTGTTGCGCTCGGCATGGGTGAGGTTGTGTGAGTCATATTTGTTATATTTAATTTTTTCAAAGTCTTTTACCACAAGTTTTTCGAACATGATGAGGGGTGCAGATTTGCAGTAGGAAGGGTAAAATTTGGATTTTTCTTTCAAATGGGTGTTGATGTTATTGGGGTTATTGATACTAGGCGTGGGGGGTGGAGAGTTGGTTGTGGTGGGTAATTTGTCGTTAGAAAATCTCTTTAGGGTAGCTTTGTGAACAAATTTGTTGATGTCTAAAAAGGCTTCGAAAGATATAAAAGGGTTAGTCGCTGCAAATTTCATACCTTTATTAAGGACGGATATTTGGGTGGCGGATAACATTTTGTTGGACAGATTAAAAATACGGAGACCCCCTCCCTAGATATCCCATAAGCGGGGATTATACCGCTGTACGCAATCCACACCAGAGCTGGCCATAGCTCTCTTGAATACGCATCCACAGAGGAACTCTATCAAGTATCCTAGACCATCTATTGGCACCCTAGCAATACTTTACTGGACTATCTACCCTTATTTGGCGCAGCCCTTCCATAACTTTTTGTATCTATCCACCGAAGGACCCGAGGGGTTTTCCTTCATTTGGGTTGCTGCCTACCTTGACTAATTTTGTGATTACTAGCGCTGAATTCTTTTTGTGTTTATACTTTCCAGATTGCTCACTTCTTTAACTGCAACTCAGTGGGGGTAGTGTACCTTCTCACTTGTAGCTGTAAGTTGATGTATGTGGGCAAAACTTTTGCCTGTTCAAAGAACATAGAAAAGAACACATTAGATCACCTAAGAATCGATTTGACACTCCCATTTCTAGACATCTAAAGGAACAACATAGTGGTTCCTCTAAAGACATTCGGTTCTGTGGTTTAGAACTTGTTAAGCGTGATCAAAGACAGGGCGATTTTGATAAAATCTTACACCAAAAAGAATGTAGGTGGATCTATAAATTGAACACCCTTAACCCAAAAGGACTCAATGAAGGGTTCTCTTTTTCTCCATTTATTTGATAGACCAATATGCATCTTTGTACCTTTCCAATAATTATCAAATTTCTTGGTTTCCTGTCTTTCTAGTGCGATCTGTACAGGTCTCACTATTTAGTGAATTTGTTTATTTGTTTGTGATCTCTATGGTACACATTATATGGTATTTTCATTAGTTTATTACCTTGGTAAGTATAATACGGGACCTCCACATGATATTTCTACATTGTTTTGGATACTATCTGCAATCAAATGAAAAGACCCATATTCAAGGTTTTTTGAATTATTTTGGAATATTTTAGATTGGTAATTCCTTTCAGATGCAGTATTGTTTATTTTATTTTGATAGATCCTATTGGGTTTCGTTTGTTTTTTATAGTTTATTATATTGGGTACACTGACTACATATTTTTACAAACATTTGAATATACCCTTCTTTATTTTTACTATATTAATATTTGCCTTACAATTCCCCAAGGATCCCACGGAGTTATTTAGGTCTTGGGTAAAGTTTGTCCGTTCGACAACCTAAATCTATACTTCAAATATATACTTTAAGCAATTTAAATCTGCTCTCTGCTTGTTAGATCTACAGTTTATTATTACCATCTTATTAGTTACTCTTTGACACTGTATCAACATTGTATTTGAATAGTTCATTGGCCTTGTGCCATATTTGCAATATTAGTATTCATTTATTATGCCAATGTTAAGCTCCTCTCCCTTTGACACGCGCGTCGAGATTATTTTCTAGCCAATGCTAATTTCTTTGAATTAAATTTTCTACTTTGAGATTACTATTTTCTAGCCGATGTTTAATTTTTTTGGAATTGGCTTTTCTACTTTACTTTTTCTTAGTAACCGGGTCTCCTCATTAGCGTTATAGATAGCTGGGATCCTTTTCTATTAGCCATTTAGGGATTTGGATAGGCTGCCATGAAGCAGCAGTGAGCTGTACTACTAACTTTTAGTTTGATAGTTTAGGTTTAGGGCGACTATATGGGGGGTGTGTTTGGTTTTGGGAGGGGGATTATTTTCTGGTCTCTATAGGACATCTCTATAGGACATTTCTCATCCTTTATAATTTACATGCCTTTACCTCTAATTAATAGTCTGTCACTATTATTACTTTTGTTTTGTTTTTTCATTATCCAAGGTCTCTTTTAAGTGGTTTAAGCAGCATATATTTAGATAAATTTTTTCTATTTATCCACCTTAATTATATATCTAGCTGCAGTACTCTATAGGACTAGGTTTTCTAGTTTCTTAAAGGTTCAAGCGCTCACCTTATTATCTCTATTGATTTTGAGCCTATCCGGTACTTTAAGTTCTATTACTCACATATGTATTTTAATATGTTTAAATAAAGGTTATTTACCCTATTCATGTGACCTTTCATATTAGGAGGTATTTTTTGAATGGGCTGGGCATTCCACCCACTGGTTGTGAGTGGTTTTCCCACCCCATTCTTTGCTGTTTTCATGTATATGTAATATATATACATAGAGAAAGAGAGAGAGAGATTTTTTTTTTTCATCAATCATATCTTGTTTTGGCACCATCGGCAGAACTCTGAATCAGAAATTAAACAAAAATGCTTGCCCATTGCACAAGTAATTTGCTTTGTGATTTGTCTATACGGCGGTTTGCAAATCAGGATGTTGACAAACACCATAAACTTGGACACATTGCAGTTTGTAACAAAATTAATCTTAGTAGACTTTTGTATTGTTCTGAATTTTTTCTTACAAAATGCTATTAACTGTAAAGTAACCTCCAAGCTACAAATGGCTGCATGCAGATGGAGTTGTTGCAAACCTGTTGTTTTTGGAATATATACCTATTTGTCCAACAGGAACAAGAAGAAGCTTTACATTGACACTGCTTAATGTTTATGATTGGCAGAATGTCACTATATTTATTATTATATTTTTTTCTGGGTGTGTGTCTCTTTTTGTATCTGTTTAGGAGTATGCATTTTTTTTGTGTGTGTATCCTTCTGTGTATATGTGGACTTCGAATCAAGTATCTATTATATGTGTTTATTAATATGTATTTGTGTTTTCCTTTTTGGGCATTAGTACACATACTTAAAGGGAGTGAGCATGGACATTTTGTGGAGGGGGGTATGGTGAGCTAGGAATAAGGCATGAAGCACAGCAAAAAACTTAAAATGTATGTATGCTTATCCGATAAAACCAGATAGTAATTGTAGCGGTACTTACCCTTTCCAGGGGCCGGCCGGGGTCCTCTGTTCGAGCCGCGCGCGGTCCTGCTGCTGCACGAGCCGCGCGCGGCTCAGCCGACCGCTGTAACTAGTAGCGGTCACGTGTTCTACCTACTCTAAGAGCGCGCCGCGGGTATCGGGCGCGCTCTTAAAGGGACAGTGGGTGCCTAAATTGGAAAAGGCATCCCATTGGTCCCTGTCATGCCACACTCCCCATACACTTACCTTTTGGGGGCGTGGATGTGACAGGGACCAATCAAATTAGATGTTTAGGTATTTATACTCACCTTCTTTCCTTTGTTCCTTGCCCTATCGTGGTTTCTGTATCAGTTCCCTTTAGCGCTTGTTGTGTTCAGTTGTGTTTCTCCGTATTGACCTTGGCTTTGTTTCTGACTACGTTTTCTCTTTATCCTTATCTGTTCTGGTTGTCGGCTTGTTGTTTACTGTGTACCAGACCCCGGCTTGTCCTAGTTTACGCTGTCTCTCTGTGCCCTTGATTTCGGATTGTTCCTGACTCTGTCTCCTCTCATATACGTCGAGTCCGGCCATTCTAAGGTCCGGTAGACGTATCTCTCCTCTGTGTTGTCTTTTGTTTAGCTGAATCCTGCGTGTTGGGGTATATTCTCGTTACATTACGATAGGGCCATGGACCCCGCAGATTTGGCTCAGCAAATGGCTTCTCACGAGGCAAGGTTTGTAGAGCAGGATCACCGTATGGATCAGATAGCACAGGCTCTCCAGACGCTCTTGTCTAGAACCATTCCTGCAACCGCACCGAACCCTCCTACACCTCATCCTCCCGAAGTATCCAATTCAACCAATGCTTCGCCCCATTTAACACCTCCTCCTAGGTATGGAGGGGAAGCCAAGACATGCAGAGGTTTTATTAATCAAATAGAATTCCACCTTGAGATGTATCCTCATTCCTTTCCCACTGATAGGTCTAAAGTGGGGTTTTTGATGCATCAACTTACTGACAAAGCACTTAGAGTGGGCAAATCCTATTTGGGAGGCCAATGGACCTATGGTTCATGATTTCAATAGTTTTCTTGCGGCTTTTCGTAGAACTTTTGACACAACAAAGAGGTCAAAGAATGCCGCAAGAGCATTAATGAGGATTAAACAGGGGTCTAGGTCTGTGGCGGATTATGCTATTCAGTTTCGTACCCTTGCTTCACAGGTAGATTGGACCAATAATGGGTTAACTACTGCGTTCATGGAAGGTTTATCTGACACTATATTAGATGAGGTAGCGGCAAGGGAGCTTCCTATTCCATTAGAGGATCTTATTGACTACCTCATTGATATAGATAATAGAATTCGCGACAGGCTCTATACCAAAAACAAGAATAGACGTCTGGTCACATCTATTAACCCTAGAGTTGATAAACCTGAGAGTGTTAAAGTACCCGAGGAGGAACCCATGCAATTAGGGGTTGCCAAACTCTCGGATACTGAAAAACTACTTAGAAGAAGGAATGGACTCTGCCTATACTGTGGTAGGCGAGACCATATGGTAAGGGAATGTCCTTTGCGTCCGGAAAACTCTTGCACCTAAGACCTTATAGGGGACTGGCCTTGGGTGTGATCTCTAAGTCTCCTAAATTGCCTCCTAATCGTTTGCTTCTCCCTGTTTCCCTTCATACGGGGGTGAGTTGTATAGCAGAATGCATATTAGCCTTGGTTGATTCTGGGGCTGCTGAGAACTTTATTGACTCTGAGTTTGTTACGAAAAATAACATTCCCGTCAGAGAAAGGGAGATACCCTTGGCCATTGAGGCCATAGATGGTAGACCATTAAGTTCTCCAATTGTTACTCATGAAACTGTACCATTACACATGTATACAGGGGTTTTACACTTTGAAACCATTCAATTCCAGGTTATCACATCTCCCTCTTCTCACATTGTGTTAGGGTACCCATGGTTACGTACTCACAATCCCATTTTCGATTGGGAGTCAGGGCAAATAAAATCATGGAGCGATGCCTGCCATGAGTCCTGTACTATTGAAGTCACCCCTTTGAATTCTATTAATGTCCCTACAACTCCTCCTTTGTCCACTGTTATACCCTCTCAGTACTTATTTCTCAAAACTGTCTTCGATAAAAGGGAGGCTGACAAATTACCACCTCACAGACCCTACGATTGTGCTATCGATTTATTGCCTGGCACAATACCTCCAAAGGGCAGGGTGTACCCTTTATCTGTTCAAGAAAACCGTGTCATGGAGGAGTATATTAAGGAATCATTAGAAAAGGGGTTTATTAGGAGATCCTCTTCTCCGGCTGGAGCGGGGTTCTTCTTTGTATCAAAGAAAGAAGGTGATTTAAGACCGTGTATCGATTATAGAGGTCTAAATAAAATCACCATCAAAAATGCATATCCTATACCTTTGATCACAGAATTATTTGACAGACTCAAACATGCTACTGTATTCACTAAATTGGATCTTAGAGGTGCATACAATTTAATACGTATTAAGAAAGACCACGAATGGAAAACGGCATTCAACACTAGATCTGGCCATTACGAGTATACTGTTATGCCATTTGGTCTATGCAATGCCCCAGCAGTATTTCAAGAATTTATCAATGACGTTTTAAGAGACTTTATTCACACATTTGTAATTGTGTACTTAGACGACATATTAATATACTCTACAGATTTACACACTCATCACAGGCATGTTACGACAGTTCTGAAGACCCTTCTTGCTAATGGTCTTTATTGTAAACTGGAAAAATGTCTATTTGACCAATCCGAAGTCCAGTTTTTGGGGTATTTAATTTCCGCTAAAGGTTTTCGTATGGATCCCCAGAAGCTTTCTGCTGTCATGGAATGGCCTCTTCCACAAGGTTTGAAAGCCATTCAGCGTTTTCTTGGTTTCTCTAATTATTATAGACGCTTTATTAAAGGTTTTTCCTCTATTGTAGCGCCTATCACCCGTATGACAAGAAAGGGAGGCAATACTCGTGTCTGGTCTCCCGAGGCACTTCAGGCTTTTGAGTTTCTTAAAACCACATTCGCTTCTGCACCTATTTTACAGCACCCTATCCCCACACTGCCCTATATTCTTGAAGTTGATGCTTCTGATATCGGGGTAGGTGCTGTCTTATCCCAAAGAGAGTCGCCTGAAAAACCATTGCATCCTTGTGGCTTCTTCTCCAAACAAATGTCCAAAGCAGAAAAGAATTATGATGTGGGTAATCGCGAACTCCTTGCTATTATTTTAGCACTGAAAGAATGGAGACATTTGTTAGAAGGAACTAAAGATCCTATTCTCATATTTACGGATCATAAGAACTTATCCTACCTTAGTGAGGCTAAAAGACTGTCTTCTCGGCAGGCTAGGTGGTCACTATTTTTGTCCCATTTCAATTACATTATCACCTATAGGCCAGGTGACCGCAACACTAAAGCAGACGCTCTGTCCAGACAGTTCGAAACTGCTGACAAACAGGAGATTGATGTTACTCCTGTGATTCCCCCAGAAAGGATAATCGCTACCACTGTTTTGTCTATTTCTTCGTCCCTCTTGCAGGCCATACAAGCGAAACAAAGCATGGCACCTAGCGAGAGACCTACTGATAAACTATTCGTTGATGTTCCCGAGAGACGGGAGATTCTGTCGTTGTATCATGACACTAAGACTGCTGGACATCCTGGTATTTCCAAAACGGTGTCAGCAGTTTCTCGGTATTTTTGGTGGGATTCCTTACGCAAGGATGTCACTGACTATATAGGTGCTTGTACTACTTGTGCCTGTATGAAATCTTCTCGTAGGGTTCCTTGTGGGCTGTTGCATCCGTTACCTATTCCCGAGAGACCTTGGTCTAACCTGTCCATGGATTTTATTGTTGAATTACCTCCCTCGAATGGTAACACAGTTATCCTAATGATAGTGGATCGGTTTTCCAAGATGGCTCACTTTGTGTCTCTTCACAAGCTGCCCACGTCCAGGGAACTAGCACTTGTTTTCGCCAGAGAGGTGTTTCGATTACACGGCATTCCCGTATCTATTGTATCTGATAGGGGTAGCCAATTTATTTCCAGGTTCTGGAAAGCCTTTTGTTCGGAAATGGGTATTTCTCTCTCATTTTCTTCCGCTTACCACCCCCAGTCTAATGGAGCTGCCGAACGTGCCAATCAATCTCTGGAGCAGTACCTTCGTTGTTTCGTATCCCACCATCAGAACAATTGGTCTGACCTTCTTCCTTGGGCTGAGTTTGCTCGGAATAACGCTACTCATGATTCTTCCGGCAAGAGTCCTTTTTACGTTGTATATGGCCAACATCCTGTGGTTCTTCCGGCTGCTTTCTCCTCACAGGGCATGCCAGTTCTGGATGAACATTTGGCTAATTTGCGTAATACTTGGGAGCAGGTTCAGCGTTCTTTGGTGGATTCCGCTGCTCGCCAGAAGGTGCAGGCTGACAAGCATCGCAGGGCGGCTCCTTCTTATGTTGTGGGGGACAGGGTTCTGCTTTCTACGCGAAACATTCGCCTCCGGGTGCCTTCTATGAAATTGGCTCCCCGCTTTATTGGTCCTTATCGTATTCTGCATAAGGTTAATCCTGTTTCGTATGCCTTGGGTCTCCCTAAGAATCTGCGTATTCCTAATGTCTTTCACACCTCGTTGTTAAAGCCTTTCGTACGCAACCGCTACACCCGACATGCACCTCCTCCCCCTCCTGTTTCTGTGGAGGGTCATGAGGAATTTGAAGTTTCTGCAGTTCTTGACTCTCGTTTCCTTAGGGGCCGACTTCAGTACCTAGTGCATTGGAAGGGCTATGGGCCTGAGGAGCATAGTTGGATTTCCGCTGACGCGGTTCACGCTCCTCGTCTTGTGCGCTCTTTCCATTCTCGTTTTCCTGCCAGGCCTGGCCCTCCCCGCCCGGAGGGCGTGTCCTCAGGGGGGGGTAATGTAGCGGTACTTACCCTTTCCAGGGGCCGGCCGGGGTCCTCTGTTCGAGCCGCGCGCGGTCCTGCCTGCGGCTCAGCCGACCGCTGTGACTAGTAGCGGTCACGTGTTCCACCTACTCTAAGAGCGCGCCGCGGGTATCGGGCGCGCTCTTAAAGGGACAGTGGGTGCCTAAATTGGAAAAGGCATCCCATTGGTCCCTGTCATGCCACACTCCCCATACACTTACCTTTTGGGGGCGTGGATGTGACAGGGACCAATCAAATTAGATGTTTAGGTATTTATACTCACCTTCTTTCCTTTGTTCCTTGCCCTATCGTGGTTTCTGTATCAGTTCCCTTTAGCGCTTGTTGTGTTCAGTTGTGTTTCTCCGTATTGACCTTGGCTTTGTTTCTGACTACGTTTTCTCTTTATCCTTATCTGTTCTGGTTGTCGGCTTGTTGTTTACTGTGTACCAGACCCCGGCTTGTCCTAGTTTACGCTGTCTCTCTGTGCCCTTGATTTCGGATTGTTCCTGACTCTGTCTCCTCTCATATACGTCGAGTCCGGCCATTCTAAGGTCCGGTAGACGTAGCTCTCCTCTGTGTTGTCTTTTGTTTAGCTTAATCCTGCGTGTTGGGGTATATTCTCGTTACAGTAATAAAACTGAAATGCAATGAATGATTGGATGAATGATATGATGGATGTGTTACAGAGCTCATATGCAATAAAATACACACTAATATTTAGTGTATATGAACTCAATGTATGTAAATATATCACATGACCTCACAATAATATGTGGTGACGGTTTACAAGCTCTATAAATAACATATATTGTTCCTTGTATGAGAAGAAGATAGAATAACAAATGGAGTATGTATAAAGAGAACATAGAAGAAATGTGGTGAAAGTAATTGAAAAGAAAGTCAGGAAACAAATGTTGGAAAGGGCAATTGAATATGACTGGAGTATGTGTGGAAGAAAAGTTTGAGGATAATGATAATGTGATAAAATCAGTATTAATAAGAAGAGATAAATAAGTAGCACAAAGATTTATAGATTTAAAAAATACGGGGAGAGCACAAAAGACAGGTAAGGAAAGCAAAGAAGTAGGGGCCTGGACTCTGTACGCAGAGTAAGTGTTTACTTTGCTTATTGAATAGCAATTCCTCCATTTAAATTGGTATTAAATAATGAAATAATCCAGTAAAATCGGAAAAGAAAATCGAAAACGCCTATTTTGTTGCTTCTTACCCATTTTTAGTGCTCTCTACATATTTTCCAAATCTATTTGTGCTTCTCATTTCTCTCTCTCTTCCGTTGATTTCACCCATTGCTCATGGAAAATGGCTATAAGATATATAGAGAAAGAGAGCATGGATGACAGGTGGAGAGAGTAATGAAAATTACTGAAGCAGAAAGTAAGAGAAGGAGAAAACATAGTAAATGAAGAAAAAGAACAATAGCATAAGAAAGAGCAACATAGAGTCTAATGTGTCAGATTGCAAGAAAAAAACATGTAGTGGAAATGGTACTGTGACTGAGTAAAATGTTCTAAGTAACTGAGGATAAGAAACCTGGGGTTAAACAGACTGTGAGTAAATAACCTGTGTAATGAACTTAAAGGGACACTATAGTCACAAAAACAACTTTTATTTAATGAAGCAGTTTTTTGTTATTGTATAGATCATGCCTCTGCAGTCTCACTGATCAATTCTGTGCCACTTAGGAGTTAAATCTCTTTGTTTATACACCCTAGTCACATCTCCCTGCATGTAACTTATGCAGCCTCCCAATACACTTCCTGTAAAGAATCATCTAAGGATTACACTTCCTGTGTTGTAAATTCAGTTTAATGTATAACTTCTCACCCCCTGCTGTGTTAAGAGCCTTCTAGACCCTGAAGGAGCCTCCTGTGTGTGATCAAATTTCAATTTACAGAGCAGGAGATAATAACTTTTAATGTAAGTTACATCTGATTGAAAATGAAACCATTTAGTTTTTATGCAGGCTGTGTCCATCACAGCCAGGGAAGGTGTGACAAGGGCTGCATAACAGATACAAAACTGATTTAATTCCTAAATGGCAAAGAATTTAGCACTGAGAATGAAAAGGCATGATCTCTAGATCAAAACTGCTTCCTTAAGCCAAACGTGTTTTGGTGACTATAGAGTCCCTTCAAGACATCTAGGAACTAAGATGCCAATAGCATTATATCTGAGTCCAGAAAAGACTCAAAAAGGGTAGTCACTGGATTAGATAATTCCTTAGAATTTTTTTCTCTGAATGTTTGTATTTTTGCTGTATTAGTTATAAATATCACTTACATGTGGATGGCAGACTGAAAACACTTCACTAGTTATGATGCTGCATTGTTTTTGTGCCCATGAAAGCCTGTATGGGTTCAGGGAACATGGATCCTTATAAATTTTTGCATCTGGGCAGAGATGTGTCATCTTCCAGCTGTTTCCAAATTCTTCTATGTTTCCTACCACAGCATTGCTCCTGGTAGTGAAATCATTATTTGCATTTCCATCATAGTTTCCACATAGTCCACAAAGTTTTCCCTGTTGAAATACAATGTTTTTTACTTCTCGCAATTATACTTTTAACCATTCTTGCAACATTTAATCTTTTTTTTTTTTTACTTGAAGTTTTATTGAAGAATTACAAAATTAAAAGGGAATGAGGGCACAAAAGGCAAAAAGGGAAAGACAGGGAGAGGATGTAATTCCACACTATAAAAGGTAGATATAAAATTACATATTATAGCAATGCACAATTGACAATATTTTAAACTTAAAAGGTAAAATTAAGATAGAATGGACAAGACCTTGGGTGCTATCCAACTTAAATCAGGAAATAAAGAATGTGGTATGGTCTGAGCATAACTCATAACAACATTCAGATTGGTTGCTATCAAACAACCAATAAGAGAGTTATGAGTCAAATTACACAGCATGGGAAAATTCCAAAGAACTTTCCCACGCTGTGTAAAATGACACAGAGCACTCTTACCTGTCAGTCTCTTCATTTACCTGTCAGAGCACTCTGATTGGTTGGCTTAAACCAACAAATCAGAGCAATCTGAGCCTAACTGCAGGACTTAGGAAGGCTTTATAAGACGTTCCCCGCCCTGCAGAGCTCAGTCTGTGCAGTGCCCTCTATGGGTGAAGATGGATTCTTTCTTTAGCGTCTGGATTTTTTCTTTTCATCATATTGTTTTTTTTTGCACTCAGGTTTTTTTATTTTATTTTCAAAGTCCGACGGTTATTATGGACTTTTTTGGGGCTGCAAAAAGAAGATTTTAGAAAAAAGAAAACATCAAATGGTAAGTTTGTCCCCCATTTACTTTAATAGCCCCGACTCGCGTGGCACTGGTGTGGGCTCGGGGGGGATACAATGTAGTTAAGGGTAGTTAAGAGATGCCCCACCATGGGGCCATTTATTGAACGGGAGGAGGGGGTTATTTTAATTTTTTTTAACAGTGAGCAGCCACAGGCTGTTCACTGTTTACTAAACATGCCCCTACTCACGATATAGAGAGTAGGGGCAGAATTTACTAATACTAAGTAATATTTAGGTCTTTCAGCTTTTTGGTAGATAGTTCCCTGATACCGTGAGATTTAGGGAGCTATCTACTAAGCGGCTGCAAGATGCAGCCGCGGCACAAATAGAATATGAGTTTCATTAATTCGAGTATTAGGACAATTTCGCCTTCGTTCTGTCTAAGTGACAGGACGTGAGGGAATACTGACAGGAAGCCTCGTAAGATCACGGATCAAAAGTTAGAATTGTGGGAAAATTGTTCTGACCACCGGAAATGAAGCACACTTTGCTCCTCCACTGGTCATAGCTGGTCAGGTATAGGAAACCTCCATAAGACAAAGTAGTCCCTACTTTGTTTTATGCTTTAAAGAAAACTAGAGCAGACAGGAAGAAATGAAGAACAGATCCTGACAGAGGGAGAAAGTTTGGCATGACAGTGCCGCTTTAAGTAGTAGAGTCTGCAGAGTGAAAAGATTGGGCTTTTTTAAAAAGACCTTCTCCACAGTGCTCAATAGGGCATATTCCCCAGAATTTCCCCTGTCTCAAAAGGATTAAAGTAACCATTTAATTCTAGTACCATTCTTTTTTTGGATAATATTTACTCTGAAAACTATTTTTGTTTAGTCACAAGAAATAAAATATAAAAAAATAGGATTTTCACCTTAAATGTGTCTGTAACTTTGATGAAGATGCTTGTCTGCTTGTCCCATAACAGTAATAATCCATTTTTTGTTTCTAAGACCAAATAGATACCCATTAAACGGATCTGATAGGGAACACTAGTTCCAGTGCCTCGTTGTACCACATTGAGATGTTTATCACTGAGGATAAGTTCATAACTCTGTGAAAATAATATGATAACACATAACAGTTTATTCATGAGACAGGAGTTGTGGATTATTGAAAAATTATTCGCAAACTTTAAGCTATATCATTTTTACAAGCCTGTCCATATCATTTAATTTTTCCTTATATGCTGCTGCATTCACATGTATACATAGAGATGCATTATTTATATATAGCTCTGAGAATGCCTTTTGTTTATTACGTCTCTTGTAAACTTGATAAGATATACATATTAACATTTTATATGAAATTCAAATTCATATATGCTATCAGTACAATTAAAAAATATAGCTTTGTTCTTCTAAATGCTTAATGGATGGATGGAATTTAATTTTAGAATTCACATAATTTCAAAATATAAATAGTCTACTCACCCCAAAAAAAACTTTAAGAGCTTTAGAGCAAGTTACTCCTGTGGTTCCACATGGAATGTTTTCAGTGATTATCCTAAAAGTGTCATTGTCATTCAAAGAGCAGTGATCCTAGTGGTTAAGTTGAATATAGAAAATTGTTACTTAAAATCCTATACCATTTCAAATATTTATTTAAAAGGATTATCCCTCTACATTTATATCTCCTGTTTAAATTAGGAAAATCCATTTACATATTAATGATGACTTTATTAATATGTTTAACATGTAAAAAAGAAAAAAAAAAAATAACCATGTAAGTAGAAAGGAAATATCTATATCACTTTTTAGGATTTAACCAATCTCTGGGTCTCTTTTATAATATGAGGGTATTGTGGACACACCACATTTTTAAGTATTTTCAAAGCTAAAAATTAACTAAAGAAACTTTGAAGATGCTTTTTTGTGTCTTTTAGTGAGCTTCTCCAGAATTGGTAAGGGTTTTTTCCTTTTATATACACATGGGCAGGTGGGAGAGACACATGGGGGGATTTGAGCAACACATGGGGGTATGTGAGAGAGACACATGGAGGGAATGAGGAGATGCGGGAGAGACACATGGAGGGGATGGGGGAAAGACATATGGAGGGGATGGAGAGGCACATGGAGGGGCTGGGGGGAGAATGACAACGTGTAGTTACATAGGGAAAATTTTGCACCGGGGCCCAGGTGTTCTAGTTACTAATCTGTATACATGCCCAATCCCAATCTAAGGTCTTTTACACTTTAAAAAATAGCCACATCAGAATAGCATCATTTCTCTTATTCCACCTAGAAGCAGCACTTCCCTACATTAAAGAATGCAAAGTTCCTTAGAACAGCCCAGAACATACTCCAAATCATATGCCCCTTTCAGGAGCATCATATGTCACACCTGATAATAGCCAGGATGGAGATGGTTCTAGTTGCTAGAGGCTTTTTTTTTTTTTGGACAGAACGTGTCTGATCATATAACCAATAACTGGGTCCAAATTTGAGGATTCAGAAGTCAGTCTATGCATGTAATAGTTACCTGTGCTAGAGTATACTGACAATCCCCATTAAAGTTGTAACGTTTTCCATCAAAAGTGGTGTAATGTCCATCTCCATACACTGTACATGTTGCAAGACATGCCATCTTAGTACATTTCCACATTCTGTCCTTGCAAATGCTGTAAGAAAATAGAAAGTATTTATAATAGTTGCAAAGTTTTTTTAGTTAAAAAAAGAAAAGTTAGAATAACTGATACATACCAAGTGTTACACTGAATTCTGATCTCCTCTCCTGGTTCATACATGATGTCATTGTGCATACAAGGACACTGTTTTTCTTTAATACAGCCATCATTATCATCTGACACTAGTCCTGAAGGGCATACACAGCCTGGAATGCATCTTGTTTTGTACTACAAAATTCAAGAATGGAGTCCAAATTATAGCAGAACGGTTTAGTTACTCATTTATGTATACCATTAATGTACTTGTATTAATGGTTCAAACTAAGTGCCATAACTAGCTTTCCATGGCAGTGATTTGAAATAAGAGTAGATAGTAGCGCTATGATGCCATGCCCTACCCCCTCCCCCCAGCCCTCCCACTCAGACCCTGTTTCAATGTTTTGCAGATATTCCCCTACCTGTCAGATGGCAGGTGTTATTGACCCCCACAGGATTTTTTTTTTTATGTGATGGCTGGCTAGGAAGAGCTGGACATTCGCCACATAATTAACACTGGCAGCACTAAGGGTTTTAATTATTTGCCCGCTAGTTGCTAGGGCTATGCTATTTTTTAATTATCATATTGATTGTTTAGCTCTTTTTCTAGTTCCTTATTACCTTCAAAAATAAAATAAAAAAGGTGTTTTCAAGATGGGGTTTTACCATAGTTTTATAAAAGGGCGAAATAATAGCTGAATCACATAAATGTATACCCAATATTATGCAATAAGGTGGTATACCAGACTTTGTAACGGCTGACTAGCATTGCACATTTTTTCCTAGTCTACTGTCTATAATTATTCCAATGTCCTTCATATTAATAGTCATCCCCTACATAGCTCCATTAAGTGTAAAGTGTAAATAGCATGTAGGTTCCTGATAACTTTGCACTTATCTACAGTGAAGCTTGTCTGAATATTGAATTAAAATTTATATGTGTGTATATATTAATAAACTGATTTTACCTTCTATAGGATGGAGTAAAGTTGACACCTAGAGTGTAAAGAATTAAAAATATCTCTATTGCCTTTGATTTCTTTTACGCTGGTACACACTCCTTGGGTATATTCACTAAACTAATTCAAATTGTGATAAATAAACAATCAAGCAGGAATATCAAGGCTAAAGGGGCTGAGATTGAAAAAATCAGTAGGTTGGATGAGTTAAACTTGGTTATTTTTACAACGTTTTTACAACCTGAATATTAATTTATCATTACTCATGATTGGCATGTTTGAAATTTCTTTTCAACTTCCTGCTACATTTTCTTTAGCTATTTCAGCTATTTACTGTATTTGACTAATTTTCCAATCTTTTCAATGTTATGGATTAATCATTGAAGAAAAAACTTTGTTAACATAAAAAGAATATATAAAAAGCTGTGTTAAAGATGACTATGTAAAAAAAAAAAAAAAAAACCCAAGTGTTGGTGATGCTTAAATAAACTCTGAATATCTGACCTGAAATTGTAATTTGGGTATCCATTGGGAGTTAAATTTGTTCACTGCTAACTAATACGTGTATTCCATTTGGAAAAATGTGCAGCTCAATTTACTAAAGATTGTAAAATCATTGTAGCTGCTAAAATTAATTAAAAATATAAAAAAAAAATTACTATTGCAGATTTCTCATTAACGTCTAAGCATAACTCAGCTTAGTCAGATCAATCTTGATGTGATCTTACAAAATTTCAGTGGATAGGGAACTGAGTGATTATGCTCATAATGTATGAACCTGAATTGACTCAGATTTATAAAAACTTTGAAAAAAAATGTTAATGAAAAACAGCAAAGTAGTGCAAAAGAGTAGATAGAGAAACGGCATCTGAAGCAAAAAAAAAAAATCAGATTTCCACCACAAACAAAGCTGGAATTTGGATTTGGATTTGGGATTTATATCACAGTACCAATCATTTACTTAATTGTCTTTTGTTTTTTGTATAGGCACACCTAGCATACATTTTGGACAGCAAAAGAAGTATATCTTCCTCCTTTGACAGCACATATTTCCACAGCTATAACTCAATGTGTGGATGATTAAGTAGGGGACCACCAGGCATCATCATCTCTGCAATGAACATAGATTTTCATGATGCTTTTAATAATGCTTGAAGTTTCATATATGTATATACAAGCAATTCATCCCAGGCTTTAAATAAAAGTTGTTGTATATTTATCTATTTATTTAATTTAATTTTATTTTAACTAAAAGTAGCTTGTTATTGATGGAGTCAGAACTGTAATGATGCTCTCTTGACAGTGAGACTATGAGTCCAAACCTGGATCAGGAACCACAACTTACTAACAACTTACACATTGCATATCCAGAGTGTGGCAACTTTTAAGGCATTCTAAACCCCTGGTGTCAGGATTCTGATCATCACAGTGTATGTAGATCTTCGGAGCAATACAAGCTAGAGGAAAAATACATTTTATTGTTTTAATGACAAACCAAACACTTTATACCATATAACACAACAGGTCAGAAATGTAGTCACACAATAATATACTACTAATCGTTGCAGACCTACTTAATAAATTCATAACACAGCAGCATAACAATTAGTAGATGTAGGAAATATGACACAATGTGTGGCTTTTTCATGCAGTCTTACACAAAAGTCCTTAAATAAAGCATATTTTTGCAAGGGCTAAAGTTGGATAACAAAACAGCCATATGCTCCTAACCAGTATGTTGGATGACATGAAGAACATTTTTATTATAGCATAGGTATACTGATCTTGGTATAAGTAAAATTAAGTAAAATAGATAAATGCGTATTTCAATATAATTTATAATAAATAATAATGGAAAATATGGATATTCTGTTTTGTTTTATCATTTGTTACCTGAACTTTTTGGTGCATTGCAGAATAGTTTCCCCATAGTACAGTTGCTGTATTTGAAGAAAAAAATAATAATTTTAAAAGTTTAAATGGGTTCTCTACAAAGTTTCTAGGGTTACCGATAAATCATTTTTCTTTTGTGAGATGAAAGGCCATGAAAGTACTTACTTGTGGAATTAAGTCTGCTACCCGGAGAGATAAAATGCAAACACCCAGGAAAACTATGTATCTCTCCCATTCTGCCTCCTCATTGTATAATGTCTTCATAATCATATATCATTGAGTAAAGGAGAAATGATGATAGAAGGAAAAAAATATTTAAAAAGGCTAGGTAAAAAGTAACTAAAATAATGGCACCCAAAAAAGGATAGGGTTTTGTAATATGCTTCTGGAATACATGTGCAAGTAAAAGTAAATTATCAGTTTGGATACATTTATCTTTTACTTGATATCATGGTGACAGTTCACAAATGTTCTTAAGTGTAGTATGTATTCTGAAATATCGGTGGACATAAAGCATCAAAAGACGGGCTTAGTGGAGTTTTCTTGAAGAGCATAACTATACAAAGAGACTGCCTTGCAAAGCTGTCTTACTAAAACCATACCATAAAACATCACAAGAGGTGACCACTAGACAACCATTATGTTTAAGCCACATGGTTTGAGCATTTGGTTTTAGTCACACTGAAATACTTCCAACAGGCTGATCACCTGTTTGGACGAATTGCGATTTTCCAAAGTGCCATATTAATGTATAACTGACTAAACTACTAGCGTGATGACAGAACATGTTCATTTGAAGCGGTATATGGAGATAAACCCATGGTTCCAGAAAAATACATTAATTGATGGGAAAAAAATATTTTAATGGCTAGGGGACAGCCACTTAATATTTATATTATGTATAAATTTTACAAGACAAGATTAGCTTATTTTTGCAACCTTTTTTGTTTGTCCAAATTTTTTCAAATAGTTTTCATGGATGATATTCAGATGATCTAAATAATCAACTGAACAAGTGTCAAAGGTCTCAAATTAAATTTCATTTCTGGAAAAAATTGATTAAGTTAAATCAAATTTTTGCTTTTGTCTAGTGGCCACCTCACTAAAAGATTTTAAAATCTGAAAATCAAGAAGCTTGTTTTAGGCAAAAAAGTAGACTGAATATAATCCTAGACCTTTATGGTATGTAATTCCTAAAGATTACATGGTTAGGACAAAGCAAGATAAAAAAAAGTCTGGATAAATAATCAGCATGCACTTATTGGGAGAATGGCTGTTGGCAACACAAAGGCAGTGCATGATGGGGACTAAAACTAATCTCTGCACTGGTTTGATAACAGCATTCTGTTATATACTAAGGGGACTATTTCTTTTGACTTTTTTTTTTTAACAAATTTACTACAAATTTCACAAACATGTGTATGGAGTTTCCCCTTACTTCAATACCCTGCTGGCAATGGAGGTTGTTTACAGCCAAGGTTTAGCAATCCACCCAACAGGGAATGTTGGACACTTCCTTAATAGCAATAGTCTTCATTGATTCACAGAGAATAGAATAAGATACCGTACTTCTGTGACATAGTTAGACAGAAATCAGATTTAACTGATGCAATGCAGATTAGGCCATGCCTATAGAGAAATTATGATCTCCCAGAGCATGTGGATACAAATCGCTGCTGTCTTATTCTGATATGTCTAAAACCTTTAAAGCCAGAGACACCCACTTACACCACTCCCCATACATAGAAACATGTTGACATCTATAATCACAACCACAACAAGCTTTGGTTTAGAAACTTAAATCACTACAAGGAAGTTCAAACATATTTCTTTAAGAGCATTGGTTTGGAATAATGCTTGTGCCTTCTTTTCCATAGCACAAGGAAGAAAAAGGAGTTGTGTATGAGAGGAAATTAACAAAAAATGAAAAGAAAATGTAAAGAAGAGAACCTTCAAGTCTACCATGGCTGGAATAGTCCCACCTTGGTTATGGTTTCTCTTCCAGTGTCTATTAGTTACACAATAAGCTATTTATTTTCTTCCTTCAAACTTGATATTAGAAAAATTACATGACTGTAATGTATTTGACCATATTATTATTATTATTATTATTATGTTATTATTTTTATAGCGCCATCAAATTCTGCAGTGCTTTACAATGGGTGGACGAACGGACATGTAGTTGTAACCAGACAAGTTGTACACACAGGAACAGAGGGGTTGAAGGCCCTGCTCAATGAGCTTATATGCTAGAGGGAGTGGGGTAAAGTGACACAAAAGGTAAGGATAGTATTAGACTAGTGACAGTTATTATTTGATTATTTAGATAGCGCCATCAGATTATGTAGCGCTGGAAGTTGCAAGAGAGGAATCAGTTAGGAGCTATTAACAGTTTAATTGATACGCTTTTATGAAGAAGTGGGTTTTTAATGATTTTTTGAAGAAGTGGAGACTGGGTGAGGATCTAACGGAGGAAGGAAGCAATATATACATATATAGCCACATACATCTACTGACATTAGAATTAACAAAATATATATCAATACATAAAGCTGTTCATCCACAGAACAGAAGGTTGTATTTACCATCATTAAGCCTGTAGGCCAGGGGTTCTCGATTTTATGTTAGCTTATGTCAGGGACTGAATTTATATGCAAAGCATAACTTGGCTGCCTATTCTACATTAACATTTGCTGTTAATATTTGTACTTTGTTGTTTGTTGACAAATATGGATTTTACAACAATATATGGTTGGATGACCATACTGTTGCTACTCAATCTTACATTTGTACTGGAAACAATCTATAAATAAAGAATAATAATAAAAAAAATACCAAAACACCTTAAACTTTTTAATGTACCAAAAAGGTCTCCACAACACTGAAGAATGCAATGCTGTTACATTAAACAATGTATTGTAGACAATTGCCATGGGTCTGATGATTATGATGTTGCTGTTCTTACTAATGAGGACCTACTAAAATGATGTAGATCCTCACTTTTGTATTTTTATTAAGAGGTTAAGAACCCATGTCTAGGATCTATGAAAATATGCTAATATTCAAATAAATGAAATGTCTTCACCGGTTGAAAATAAATTGTGAGTATGCATAAAAATATGAAGGGCAGGATCAAAATAGGATGCGATTTGTATTATGGAAGATTAAGCTCTCACTAAGATATGCACATGCATGTCATAGGACATTTCTCCTTACATTTAATTACTTTAAAACACCTAAGGAATACATACCATGTTAGTCCATTTTCATGGATTGTTTCTCCAGAGGGAATAGGAATGCCTCTAAAATAGCATGGACACTCAGCGGCCGGAACACATCTACCAGTATCGTCAATGTAACTTCCTTCATCACAGGTACAACCAGGCAGTGGAGAAAAGTGTACGTTGCAAGACATGTCAAGTTCACTGAGAGAGCGGCATGTTGGCAGGCAGGAGGTTATATTAAAACTGAAGACTAAGTTCTTTGGACACTTCAAGATATAGTTGCCTGAATTCCAAAAAAAGGTAGACACAGCACAGTAAGTATTGAAGACATTGAAAGAGGGATTTCTGTTTTTTCAGCTTCTCAGTAAATGCATTTTCCATTGTACATTCTAGATTGTACTAATGTTAGAAATTTCAGACAATGTTTATTCATAGTTGGACTGATTTGCCATGAAACAGTGTAGCTAAACATCTTTATATGAAAACATTTATATCTAAGCTTATATTGTGGGTGTTCAAAAGTGGGTGGTCTGTTTCTAAACACTTGAGTCTTCCCATCCCAAATGAGAGAATTGAGTTAGGCTATTATTTTGCAAGCTAACATGAAGTTGAATTGAAATGACATATCTCTGGGGTATATTGCTTTTGAAGGCAAAATAATTTATAATTGTTGAAATTCTCCCCAAGATAGTTTTAGGTATCTTTTATACATTGTCCCAGTTCTGCAACCTCCTTCTACAATTCCACCCTCTCCTCTCTACTAGACATCATGGCACCTTGTACATTTAAATGCCGCAGGCCCCCACAATAACAACCCTGGCACACCAAGCTCACTCGATACCTCCAAAAATGCTCCAGAACTGCTGAACGCTGTTGGAGAAAGTCTCACTGTGCATCTGACTTTCTCTACTATGAATTTATGCTGAGCTCATACAGCTTGGCTCTTTCCTCTGCAAAAGTTAATTACTTCAATACCCTCATAACCACACTCTCCCGTGAACCCAAATGACTGTTTCACACAATTAACTCTCTTCTTCACCCTGCTGTTCCTCCTCCACCTACTAACTTGATCCCCTCAGACTTTGCAACTCACTTCACTGACAAGATCTCTACAATCAGAGAAGAGATATCTCATCTTTCTTCTTCCCCTTACAATACTTCCCCTAACTTCACTCCCTCTGCTGTTCTATGTTCATTCGCACCCGCTACATTGGAAGAGGTTTCGGCTCTGCTCCAGTCCTCCCGCCCCACCACCTGCTCCCTAGATCCAATTCCCTCACATCTAATCCATACTGTGTCTTCTTCTCTTTCTCCACCTCTCACTAAAATTCTCAATCTCTCTCTCTCCTCTGGTATATTTCCATTGCCCTTCAAACATGCAACTGTAACCCCAATTCTAAAGACCCTTGACCCTAACTCCCCATCTAACTATCATCCTTTCTTGCATCCAAGATCCTTGAAAAAATTGTGTATGCGAAATTGACAGACTTCCTCGAGTCCAATTCTCTGCTAGACCTGCTTCAGTCTGGTTTCCGCGCTAAGCATTCTGTGGAAACGACACTGACCAAAGTATCCAATGATCTACTCGCTGCAAAATCTCGTGGTCACTACTCTATCCTAATTCTCCTTAACCTGTCTGCGGCTCTTGACATTGTTGATCATCAACAGCTTCTTCTCATCCTCCGCAATATCGGTCTACAAGATATTGCTCTCTCCTGGTGCTCCTCCTACCTCTCCCAGTGCTCTTCGAATGTTTCTTTCTCTGGCTCTGCTTCTTCTCCCCAACTCCTTTCTGTTGGTGCCCCCCAAGGTTCAGTCCTTGGTCCCCTACTGTTCTCCATCTATATTGCCTCCCTTGGTAAACTCATTAGCTCCTTTGGCTTCCAATATCATTTCTATGCAGATGACGCGCAAATCTACCTGTCCTCTCCTGATCTCTCCCTGTCCCTCTTGACTAGTGTCTCTGACTGCCTCTCTGCTATTTCTAACTGGATGGCTGCCCACTTCCTTACCCCCTTAAGGACACATGACATGTGTGACATGTCATGATTCCCTTTTATTCCAGAAGTTTGGTCCTTAAGGGGTTAAACTAAACTTGACCAAAACTGAAATTCTGGTCTTTCCTCCCTCAAGTGTTGTTACTCCTGTGGCTGTCTCCCTCCAAGTCAACGGTGCTACCATCAGCTCCACCACGCAGGCTCGCTGCCTAGGTGTTCTCTTTGACTCCAACCTCTCCTTCAAGCCTCATGTTCAATCTATCACCAAATCCTGTCATTTCCATCTCAAAAACATTGCGCGCATCCACCCCTACTTAACGCCAGATGCGACTAAGGTGTTGGTCCATTCCACTATCCTTTCTCGCCTTGACTACTGTAATCCGCTTCTCAGTGGTCTTACGTGCTCCCAACTTGCAGTTGCAGTCCATAATGAATGCGGCGACGAGGCTCATCTTCCTATCCGCCCGCACCTCCCATTGGCTCACCCTTCTGTCAGTCCCTACATTGGCTTCCTATAAAATATAGAGCTCAATTTAAAATTCTGGTTCTTCCTTTCAAATCTCTACATAATGCTGCTCCCACCTATCTATCCTCCCTTATACACGCCTCCCTTATCCTCCCTTATATAAGTATGTCCCGTCTAGGCCCTTACGATATGCTGAAGACTTACGTCTATCTTCTGTCCTTACTCCCACCTCTGATGCTCGCCTACACTTTATGGAGATCCTCAGATTACTCCTATGTTTTAGTCACTCAGTGCCCATTTTAGGTACAGGGTGTGTAATGTTTGTTAGTTATTCTCCCCACCCTTTCCTTGTTGTTTTCCCAGAAAGGTGTTGTCCCATTGTTCCAGAGACCCTTTTCATCTGCTGTATTTTATTATATGTGTTTTAGGAGTTTTCTTGTATTATGGGAGATAATTGTATTTGCGAGTCTGTGTGTATAACAGGTAAAAAGGAGGGAAGTAATTAGCTTATTATAAAATAGTTATTGTGCAATGGATCTTGGTGTCAGGCAGGTAATTCGATTATGGATTCTTGACCTAATTCTGTCCTAGAAACCAAGACTCCAATGAGTGACTTCTATTATTTGTATGATGACCCCCTGTTGTTATTGCTCCTATATAAACCTGTGGTTCACTCAATAAAACCAGTTTTACTTCACCCTTCACTAAGTCTCAGCTAGTGTTTGTGAGAGACAGCTATAAAGCTATGCACTCTGCAGGAGAGAGTGATCACTTGAAGCTATACCGAGGACCCTGTTCCAGGGTGGGAAACTTTAGATACACCACAGTCAAGCTGTGGCAGCTAGAGGCTGAAGTGCCACGGGTGTCCACGAGGAGAACTAGGAAGCAACTTGACGGAGGTGCCCACCATGGTACCACGCGGTCCGTCACAGCAAATATATTTTAAATGTTGCATATTTGAAGCCATTATCTGGCCCTCTGCAAGTTAACTATTTATGTTTGACACTTGTGCAATGTTATATTACTGACTGTTTAAATATATATATATATATATACAGGGAGTGCAGAATTATTAGGCAAATGAGTATTTTGACCACATCATCCTCTTTATGCATGTTGTCTTACTCCAAGCTGTATAGGCTCGAAAGCCTACTACCAATTAAGCATATTAGGTGATGTGCATCTCTGTAATGAGAAGGGGTGTGGTCTAATGACATCAACACCCTATATCAGGTGTGCATAATTATTAGGCAACTTCCTTTCCTTTGGCAAAATGGGTCAAAAGAAGGACTTGACAGGCTCAGAAAAGTCAAAAATAGTGAGATATCTTGCAGAGGGATGCAGCACTCTTAAAATTGCAAAGCTTCTGAAGCGTGATCATCGAACAATCAAGCGTTTCATTCAAAATAGTCAACAGGGTCGCAAGAAGCGTGTGGAAAAACCAAGGCGCAAAATAACTGCCCATGAACTGAGAAAAGTCAAGCGTGCAGCTGCCACGATGCCACTTGCCACCAGTTTGGCCATATTTCAGAGCTGCAACATCACTGGAGTGCCCAAAAGCACAAGGTGTGCAATACTCAGAGACATGACCAAGGTAAGAAAGGCTGAAAGACGACCACCACTGAACAAGACACACAAGCTGAAACGTCAAGACTGGGCCAAGAAATATCTCAAGACTGATTTTTCTAAGGTTTTATGGACTGATGAAATGAGAGTGAGTCTTGATGGGCCAGATGGATGGGCCCGTGGCTGGATTGGTAAAGGGCAGAGAGCTCCAGTCCGACTCAGACGCCAGCAAGGTGGAGGTGGAGTACTGGTTTGGGCTGGTATCATCAAAGATGAGCTTGTGGGGCCTTTTCGGGTTGAGGATGGAGTCAAGCTCAACTCCCAGTCCTACTGCCAGTTCCTGGAAGACACCTTCTTCAAGCAGTGGTACAGGAAGAAGTCTGCATCCTTCAAGAAAAACATGATTTTCATGCAGGACAATGCTCCATCACACGCGTCCAAGTACTCCACAGCGTGGCTGGCAAGAAAGGGTATAAAAGAAGGAAATCTAATGACATGGCCTCCTTGTTCACCTGATCTGAACCCCATTGAGAACCTGTGGTCCATCATCAAATGTGAGATTTACAAGGAGGGAAAACAGTACACCTCTCTGAACAGTGTCTGGGAGGCTGTGGTTGCTGCTGCACGCAATGTTGATGGTGAACAGATCAAAACACTGACAGAATCCATGGATGGCAGGCTTTTGAGTGTCCTTGCAAAGAAAGGTGGCTATATTGGTCACTGATTTATTTTTGTTTTGTTTTTGAATGTCAGAAATGTATATTTGTGAATGTTGAGATGTTATATTGGTTTCACTGGTAATAATAAATAATTGAAATGGGTATATATTTGTTTTTTGTTAAGTTGCCTAATAATTATGCACAGTAATAGTCACCTGCACACACAGATATCCCCCTAACATAGCTATAACTAAAAACAAACTAAAAACTACTTCCAAAAATATTCAGCTTTGATATTAATGAGTTTTTTGGGTTCATTGAGAACATGGTTGTTGTTCAATAATAAAATGAATCCTCAAAAATACAACTTGCCTAATAATTCTGCACTCCCTGTATATATATATATTATTTATTTATAAAATATTTTACTAGGAAAGATACATTGAGATTTCTCTCATTTTCAAGTTTGTCCTGGGTCCACAGATCATTGCATTGTTACAATTAGGGTACAATAAAATACAAAAACAATAATAAAGGACCACTATAGGCACCCAGACCACTTAACCTAATGAAGTGGTCTGGGTGCCTGGTCGAGCTAGGATTAACCTGTTTTTTTTTTTTTTTTTATAAACATAGCAGTTTCAGAGAAACTGATATGTTTACACTGAGGGTTAATCCAGCCTCTAGAGCCTCTAGTGGCTGTCTCATTGACAGCCGCTAGAGGCGCTTGCGTGCTTCTCACTGTGAAAATCACAGTGAGAAGACACCAGCGTCCATAGGAAAGCATTGTGAATGCTTTCCTATGAACTGGCTGAATGTGCGCGTGGCTCCTGCCGCGCATGCGCATTCAGCCGATGACGTCACTAGGAAGGAGAGGAGGAGGAAAGCTCCCCGCCTGGCGCTGGAGAAAGGTAAGATTTTAGCCCCTTCCTCTCTCCAGAGCCCGGCGGGAGGGGCACCCTCAGGGCACTATAGTGGTCCTTTAATACACAATAAATACAAAATTTATCATAGAACAGGTAGGAAATATATAATCAACCATGGAAGGTGCATTCTGTTTTGAGGTATGCAGAGAGGGATCTCTTAAAGGACTTTAGGCTTAGGGAAGATTTTAAATTGTGCGGGAGGTCGTTCCACAATTGCGGTGCTCTGTAGAAGGAGGATTGGGCCGTTTTCTTTTTTGTATTGAGCTAGACTAAGTAAAGTGTTGGTACTGGATCGGAGCTTATCGGAAGTGGGAACAGCCTAGGAGAGAATTTTGTTCAGGTAGGGTGGGAGTTTCCCAGAAAAGCTCTTAAACACGAGGCTGGAAAGATGAAGGGTGCGTCTGGATTCCAGCGACAGCCAGTTTAGTTCTTTTAGCATGTCACAGTGGTGGGTCCTGTAGCACAAATCGGCAGAACGAGTTATGATTGGCAACAGCATTTGCTGTACAATCTTTTCCTTTACTGTAATGCTTAGGCAGGATTTGTTTCTGTACAGGGCACCTAGTTTTGGATAAAGTTTAGATGCAAGCTTTTCTATGTGCAGGCCAAAAGATAGATTGGGGTCTAATATCATACCCAAGTATTTGAAAGAGTGGACTGCGGTCAGTGTGCCATTTGAATTTGTTTTGATGGATAGGTGGGAATTGTGTAATTTGTGTACTGTTCCAAAGATCATTGTGACAGTTTTGTCAGTGTTCAGGAAGAGTTTGTTTTTTGCGATCCACTTTTCTACCTCTGTAAACTGGTCTTGGAGCACAGCCTCAAGTTGCGGTAGATTGAGTTTGCTCGCATAGATTACTGTGTCATCTGCGTACATGTGTAAATTTGAGGATTTGCAGACATTGGGCAGATCATTTATAAATAATGTAAATAGTAGGGGGCCGAGAATGGAATCCTGGGGAACACCACACTTGACTGGAAGAGGGAGGGAGTCGCTGTCAGAAATGGACACATATTGCGAGCGATCCGATACATATAATCAAAAATAGGTTAGCGAACGATCACCAATACCTGTGTTTTTGAGTTTGTGCAGTAGAATGTCGTGGTCTACTGTGTCAAAGGCCTTAGCAAAATCAAGGAAAATAGCTCCAGTTAGGGCTCCTTGTTCCATGCCAGTTTGGATCTCATTGCAAACTTTCAAGATGGCAATTGTAGTGGAGTGATTCTGGCGAAAGCCTGATTGATCAGGGGTCAGATAGTTTAATTGTTGGTAGTACTCACAAAGTTGCATATGGACACATTTTTCTAAGATTTTTGACAATACCGGGAGCAATGATATTGGGCGATAGTTAGAAACCAAAGTAGTGTCACCACTTTTATGGATAGGCACTACTCTCGCAGTCTTCCAAAGTTTGGGTATGTATCCAGACACCAAGGATTCGTTAATTAGATTTGAGACGGGTTTAGCAATTGCCAGCGCACTGAGCTTCAACAGCATTGCTGGGATTTGATCAGGTCCGGACTGGTTTTTCATTTTTAGATTATTAAGATGTTTTTTAATGACACTAACAGTTACAGGTCTAAAAATAAACTTGTCTATATTGGGTCTTTGCAAATTATATACTGTTATTTAGGTTAGTGTTCTTTTATTTTCATTTCAGTAAACGGACACAAGACTGAACAATAGTATATATTTAACAACTATAACTGTAAACATAATATGTGTTATGATGTACTTACCACAAGCTTTAGCCTGCCAACCTTTTAGAATAATTCCTTTAACAGAACAGGCACGGTTGTAAGACTGGAGTGCTGCACACATACAGGCTTCACTGTTCTCACAGGAACAAGCATCAGTCAAACAGTTCTAAAAGAATCATGGACATACATGCATTAGGTCCAAGTCATTATGATCATTTTGTACTTTAAACTCCCATATGCTCTCTCAATTATTTTATATATTATACATTATTGCATGTATGCGTATATAATAAAACACATAAATGTTGCTGTGGGGAGAAGCTATGAGGGCTGAAGCCCATGATGAGGAACTTTTTTATACTGGATGTATATAGGTAGTAGAGATGGCATGTTTGTTGTTATTTTAAATTTTATATCAGTCACAAAGCAGTCTTCTGATAAAAAATAAAGGCTACTAGGGGAGAATGGATGGTCCCTGACAGGAGAGGTGCTGGGAAACATAAATTTGCTTTATTCCACTCTAATAATTAGGTGGCATAGCGGAATCACATTGTTCCTGGCTGTGGAGTATGTGCTTGTTTCTGGCTTTGCATTCATTGAGATCCTGGAGAGAATCGCTTGCTTTTCATGTCTAGAAAGGGATAGACATAGCATAGAGAGGCAATGATTTGTCAAAACAGATCCTCACATTTCTGTTAGTGTAGGGGTTATCAAGTTTTGCTTTGGATTTAAAAGAACACTATAGTGTTAGGAATATAAAACAGCAGTCCTAACACAATAGTGTCCCCACACCTCACCAACCATGGTAGCAAATAAAGGGTTAAGAGCCCTTTCTTCACTATCTGATTCCAGAGCCAATTTCTCTTGACACAGGATCAGGCTTCTCGTCCGACAACATCACATGAATTTGAAAACCTAATGTTTACACGCATTAGGCCTTCCCCATAGGAAAGCATTGAATCAATGATTTCCTATGGAGTTTTTTGAAGCTGTTGGACATCCTCATGCAATGCGTGAGGACGCCCAGCATCATTTCACAGAGTAAAACTCTGTGAAACACCAGGGTGCACCTCTAGTGGCTGTCTGCAATTAATATTAATATTGCAGGTTTAAGGGGACATGTTCACTTCACCCAGACCACCTTCTGAAGTCTAACAATGTCCCTGAGAGAACACATTAAGATTTGAAGGGACACTCCAGACCCTTAAAACACTTTAGCATGCTGAAGTTATTTATGTGTGAAGAGTTTGTCTTCTTTTTTTCATTTTACAAAAAGTGCAGATCTCTATAGAACTTGGCACTTTCATAAATGCTACGCTCCCACCCTCTATTCCCCCCGGCTGTCAATCAGACAATCTGTCCTGTTACTTCCTGTTGTACAGCTCAGTAGTGGGCAACTGTCTTACTTTGGGAAGTCTGTGATCAGATAGAGATAGCAAGTCTGGGGTGGGGTAAAAGAGGAGGGCTTGCATTTGCTTCAAACAAGAGATCTTCAACTTTTGAAAGCTTTTCAAAAAAATGTTTTAGATATACCCACAAAAAAAAAAAATGCATAATTGAACAGGCACATTTTCATGGGGGTATTACATTTTATATTTATATGGCCAGTGGAGTGTGTCTTTAAGAGAAGAAATTAAAATGTTACCTTATAATAAACAGCTGGATCTACTACTGCATGACACGGGGTGAATACATCATCTATCGCTCGTAGAAGACCACACCAATGTTTTGCATATTCCTCTAGAGGAAGGAAAATTAGCATATATTTTAGCTGAGTAGGGAAATGTAAGATAATGTTTTTTTGCTTGCTTTTTATTTGTTTGCATTTGTTTTCTGTTTACATGGAATGTGAACACACCTTTTTATTTGCTCACCAAGCAGATTTTCTAGTGAGGTTTATTAGAAAAAACGATATCAGAAAAATCAGCTATGTGTTCTGTCTTTTTAACTCCAATATTTCAATTATTGACTCAATACTCAATTTGGAAATGTATTTTATTCTGAACTGCAATGTGTTCAAATTCAGGCCAATGTTTGGCTGAAATTCCGAATCATGCAATACATGATTTGTGATTTGGAGATGGAATGTAAAAGTGGCTTTTTTAATTTATGTTGGTCATAAGGTCTGCCCAATCATGTGGGCTTTATCTCCTGTCTGATCAAGAGATAGAAAAGAAAGGTTATTGATGGTTAGGGGACAGAAAGAAAATAGTTTATTCACAGATCAAGTGACAACTGACCAACAGAGGTGTAACGAAATCCCCTATTTACAGACTATACGAACAAGCCTGTTTGGTTAATTGGAGAATTACAGCGGGATTTCGTGGAAATAACAATAAATGCGAAAGTGGCCGACCCCAGATAGCTATAGTATGGAACTTGCAGTCGGCTGCAAACACACTAACGGCCGGTGAAAGTCAAACTTCGGTCGACGATTCTGAGAACTGTGTTCGTGGGATCTGAGCGCTATTCGCCTAGAATATGCCCTCAGATCCAAGCTATCTGGGGATAGGTGGAACTTAAAGGTTATGTTGTGTAAAAAGAAAGTTATATATTTTTATTCTGTTTTGCTAAATAAGAAAAGCCATGCTTCTTTCTTCCTGGAGATAATTAAGGCTCTCTTTGCTACCTTAAGTTAATTATCTCCAGGATGGAAAAGAGGGAGTGATTTATGTAAAAGGGGAGTGCTTATGCTATAGCCACTGTGATTGGCTACTGTGTTACTTTTGTCCCAGTCTTCCACTTGGTCCCTTAGGGGAGTGTCCACCAGGTGGAAGACCTGCATAAATACCGGGCGGGTAGCCCACAGTAAATTAGATCGTTTTACCCCTTCATGAAGTCTCGACTCATGTTTGGGGGATTGGGAGTTATAATCACTTTGTTTCAGTTGGATTTCGGGAGAAGCTGCAAGGATCATCGCTGCACGAATGCAAGGATCCTTTACAAGAGGTAAAAAAGGATAATCAGTAAAACAATCTATACTTCCAAGCTGGATTCTTCCAGACATTTTGACTACAGCTATTGAGGGACACAGACCAGCATGACATGTTTATCAAAATAAAATCCTTTTTTTGGAGAGTGTGTTGTTCAGTAAAAAGAAAAGTCCTCTTGCCTAACTAGTGCCACACAAACTTTGAGTGGTAGATAGCATGTTTTATTCATTCTAGTGTGAGACTGGTTGTTACAGTAATTGCTGTGTCCTACTGCTACCTACTGTCACTTAACAAAAAAAAAAAAAAAAAAAAACTTGTAAATTAGCGATTCCACGTTGGTATTAAGTATTTGTTGCAAAAACAAAAAAAAATTTCCATTATTTTTTGAGTGTGTTCAGTCTAGTATGTGTTTTGCAAGCACTGTGCAATGCACTGTGTTCTGTGTGCAGTGTAATTTTAAATTAAATAAAAAATGAGCCTTGATATACAGAGGAGACACACTTAGGTAGCAATAAAAGGGGGCTAAACAGTAAATATCAATTGATCAAACAACTAAAGAAAAAGAAAAATCACAAGAACATTACCATAGTAAATCCCACAAGCACCAACTTATTTTTATACAGTTTTGCAGCATAAAGTTGTGTTAGTTTACACAACATATTATCATTCATATCATTCCTATCTGTAATTTATTGAAATAAGTAGATCAAACACACCATAATTAATGTCACATCCTAACCCCATAACTAGACTGAAAAAATGGTAGGTACCATTAAAGAAACAGTACATTATTTTCAAAGACCATGAGATCTATTAAGTCAGTATGAAATTCATGGTGGGATGAACCTGAAGTTATATTAACATACTTTTTTTTCTGAAAACCTATACTCGCCTGACTTTATGGAAGGAATCTGCTCTTGTGGGCTACTTCCATCATATCCATCACTAAGACTGAAGCCTATTTATTTTGTTAAAACACAATTTCTACAGAAATATTTTTGCACTGTGCGTTGTAAGTGCTAACTTGCTAACTTCATTCATACTCAATAAGCTCCTAGTGTTGTTAGTAAAATATTTAGATTGCATGATTTATTAATATAACTTAAATTGTCAATGGACTGCTACCACAGCAGACACAGTTCAGAGAAATACGGTCACTGACGCTAGAGATTGAATAAGTGTGAAGGCTTTGTTCTTGTCAGGGTAGAAGGGGAGTGTCAGTGTTTAATTGCTCACTTTTATCCTTTATCTTTCAAATTAAAAAGACTCCTGCATTTCATTTTTCATAATAAAAGATAGAAAAAGGAAAAAGATGACAATCATTAGTTTGCGATTATTATAAAATTAACTCTCTTACTTCCTATTTTTTTTTATTTTTAATCCAGATATTTAATAATCTAAACAACTCAAAATTGTCATTGCAATAATGCCTGATATGACGTAAGGATGCAGTCAGGACGTAAGGGCGTGTTGGTGTGCTGAGCGAGGAGAGGACGCAAGGTTTATGCGAGCTGCAGGCTGACTATTTCCCTGGCTGTTTTCTGGCTGCTTTCTGGATAAACAGATTTACCGGCACAACTGAAGTAAATTACCGAGTGATGAGGAGTAAGGAAGGTGCCGCAATAAGGAGAGTTTGGTGATCAGGAACTCGGTCAAACCCGGCTCTGATACAAAAACTGGGAAAGTAAGAACATAATCACGACAGAGACGAAAGAAATGAGCAAAGGAAGTAAGGAGTGAAAACACTAGAGAACCGCTGCATAGACGGTAAAATGGTTCATTGGGAGACTGTGCATTGACTGTGCTAAGATTGTGTAAAGAGTATGTTAAAAATTTGCTGGCACGGTAAAAAGGGGGCAAATAAAGCAGAAACAACAAGATTGTCTACAGATGGGCATTTCCTACCAAGCTTATTTTCACAGTAGACAATCAAACCTATACCTTCGATGTCATTAATAATGCAAAAGAAAAACTGTAGCAATTGGGACTTTTGGAAGAAAGTTGATAAGAAAAGCACAGGATTTTTAAAAGCAATTATTAGGGGTTAAGATTTTTTTTTTTTACGAAGATGAAATCCTATGAAATTTATCTGATTTGAAATGGAAATACTTTGGTTAGGCGATTAACTGCTTTGGGAGTGCTACAAGATAATTTATGTTTAGAACAGCCAACATGGGTGTTTCAGTAGTGTAGTGAATGTGGGGGAAAATGAGGAATGTCTTTAAGTGTATGTGAAGTGCTTATAGATATTAAAGTAGGAAGGGATTCACAGGATCCACTTAAATAGGGGAACCTATTAAGGATATAGAAAGATTATGCTAAGCATATAGAAAAAGCATTAGTATTCACAGCAATACACATAATAAATAACGTACACATAGATAAGGGGTTGTTATGTTTAGACTGTTGGAGTGATGAAGACATTTTAGTACACTAGAAAGTCATGTAAAAAAGATAATAAAAAGGGGGAAAAATTTAAGAAAGGTAAGAAAAGGAAGGAAATAGAGAAGAGAATAGGGGCAAGGGTGGAAGTATACACAAAATTATTCACTTCGAGGAGGATTAATCTAAAATATTTAAAGCAGATTAAAGTATATCACATTTAATAATATTATTTAGTTAGTTAACTTGGCGAGTAATTAAACATAAGAAAATGTACATGAATTTAAAAGAATATATATGCCTCCCAGTTACACATGTACTGGGTTATTCACGTATTCACATATATAATTATAGAAGCACATAATTAAGAAGCAGCACTTCAAACACTACTTTATATATAAGAATAACAGAGCATAAATCTTAGTAAATCAAAAAAATATGATTACATATATTAAAAAAACAAAATATATCTATGGATAGGATAAGTTTACCCATTCCATAGATAAAACACCTTTATTGACACTCCAGCAGTGTCATATGGGGCTTAACCCCTATTCCTAGAACATCAAAAGAAAATTTATATTACAAGTCTGGAGGAAACACTCCAGATATGTAAAATAATGACTGGAAATTAGATTGGAGTAAGTAATATCAAAATAATAAAATGAAATAAAATAAAAAATGTTTGTGAATTTACCAAAAAAGAGGTAAAAAAACAATCAATACATAAATCTCCCCAGCTAACAATAGCTGTACCTCCCTAATGTCTAAGTTGGTTAATGTCAAATCAGACTTCCGACTTTAATATTATAATCAGTGTCAATGTCTGGAAAAATATAAAGATATGAATATCATAGACATCAATTCTAAATTAACACAGTATTGGTATCAAATATATGGCAAGCTTGCAGCAGAAGTTAAATGTAATGCTGCTGCCTCATTATCCAAGTTATACTGTGTTAATCCTGTAACTAGAGGGGGGTGAAAGTACCCTGTTATATACTATTCAACAGGCTTATCATTTATGTAACTGTATATGGGATTGCATTCATTGCGTGGATACCCAACAGAAACAAAATATCCAGTCCGTGAAAATACACAATAAAAGTAGCAACATTGGCATCAAAAATTCAACGGACTGATCGTGGCTGCCTGTGATACTAGATAAAAACAGGTATCTTTGAAATCACTCCTCCAATAGTACAAGGAAAGAATATACAGGAGGAATAGAGGAGAAAGAAAAACAGTTAGTGTGTGCTAATGTGCAGGACCATACTTAGAATGTTGGTCCCTGCACATGTGACAGTGTGCCCTGTGAAGTGAGAAAAAAGTGAAGAAAACCCGACGCGCGTTTCGGTGCCGCTAACGTGCACCTTCGTCAGGGGCTGAAAGTTTAATGACGGCTGGTTCACTGTTTTATATGTATCTCTTGCTACTGATTTGAAACGTGGACCAATCAATGGTCGAAGAAAACGGCGCCAAAAGCAAATAAACTAAAACGCATTCATTATGCAAATGAACCTTTTAAAAGGACCAATCAGAGGCCAAGCTTCTGCTACTGGTTTTTATTGAGGTGCCGCTAGGTTCAGTAATTTAACCCTTACAGTGTTAGTCAAGCGAACTTCTCAGGGTAAAAGAAGAATATATTAGTAGTCTGACGGCTATCTTTTATATTATTATTACTCCATGTCCCGGTAGAAGGTCGGTTATCATCCTAGATTCTTCCGGTATATAACCCCTGTGCCACAAGCACTTATACATTTTCAACTTAGACGCAATATAAAAGTTCTAATATGCTACGTTGAGCTAAGTGGTAATACTGTATAGTATATATGTGGAAATGCTAAGGATGACAGGTTTCATTCGATAAAATATCGTGGAAGAGGATAGTGTGGATGGCCAATACACTATGTACTATGAAAGTACTTGATAGATATCGGGCAAACAAATGAATATCCTTCAATTATAATCCCCAGGGGACTCCATGACAATGTTCTCGTCTATAAATATTGTTCCGAGACCCATGTCGATATTAACCCATTTCAAAGGTGACTCGGAAAGAAAAAGATACATTAAACTTATTCACATAGTTCTTTCAAGAGTAATTTCTAAAAATTGTTTAACGGAACATATAAATATATATATACAGCAGTTGTGAAATAAATTCCACTGTATACAAAAAACAAAACGAGCCACTAGGCTGGGCCTAGAAACCCAAGATATAGACCTTTTGGATAATCTAGTCGATCTTCTGAATAGTAATGATCCCCCCATCAAATTAGGCGCACCATTTACGACTCTGAGACTAAAAAGCAAATTTACCCCTCATATCTCGGAATTAAAGTATATCGATCTCTTTGTGGAACTTACCTGCAAAGAGATTGATAATATGGATGAAAACATGTCTCTTCAGACCCACCATAACAATAATTTGAGCCCCGCTGAGAGGAAAGCTTTAGATGCTTTAAAACAAAATGACTCTATTGTTATCAAACCCTCTGATAAAGGGGGTAATACGGTTGTTCTGAATAGATGTGACTATATCCAAATGGTACATCGAATTCTTGATGACAAAAATACATATGTTATTTTAAGTACTGACCCTACAACTAAGTACCTTAGGGAACTGAAGAACATCCTAGATGAAGGACTCCAACTTAATCTAATAACAAATGATGAATTTAGGTTTCTGTTTAACAATAAACCGACAACAGCAACCTTCTATGCCTTACCAAAGATCCATAAACAACAAGCCACACTATCAGAGAGACCTATTGTGTCCGGTAATAACAACCTCACACAAAATTGTAGTGTCTATGTGGAATTTATTTTGCAGGATCTAGTTAAATCTCTCCCTTCCTACTTGAGAGATACTAAGCAAACTCTTAACATCCTTAAAGATATGATCATACCTATCAACGCAAAGCTATACAGTTTGGATGTAGAAGGTCTATACAGTTCCATCCCTCATGCAGTAGGGATGAAACATGTAAAAGAATTCCTTCAGATGAGGGATCCCACTCTAAAGGAACACAACACATTTGTCTTAAAACTTCTCCATTTTATTTTGACACACAATTATTTTCTTTTTGAGGGTAAATACTACCACCAGGTGAGGGGTACGGCTATGGGGACAACTTGTGCGCCCTCATATGCTAACCTTCACCTGGGATGGTGGGAACAAAACACTGTATTTAACTCTCAATTTGTTAAATATACAGAATACGTCATCCTTTGGAAACGTTATATAGATGATGTCCTTATAGTGTGGACAGGCCCTGATGATCTGTTTAATAAGTTTGTGGATGAACTTAATATGAACAACATCAATCTTAGATTTACGCATGAAGTTGGTGGACAAAAACTGAATTTTCTCGACGTCACCCTGGGCATTACCCATGAAAACCATCTTTCTACTACACTCTACCAGAAACCGACAGCAACCAACAACTTCTTGAATTGGGGGAGTCATCATCCCCCTGCTCTAAAAAGAGGGATACCGATAGGCCAATATCTAAGGCTAAGAAGGAATTGTTCCTCTCTTGAGGACTTCAAATTAAAAGCCAATACCCTTAGGTCTTATTTTAAGACTAAGGGATATCCAAACAAATGCCTGAAAAAGGCATACCAGAGGGCCCTCCTGACTGAGAGGATGGATCTCCTGACAGACAACTCTATACAGAGAACTGATCAGAAATCCATTAGGTGCATTGGCACTTTTGATTCAGGATGGGACATGGTAAAAAGGACACTGGAGAGATTTTGGCCTCTTCTATACCAGGATTTACATCTGAAAGAAGTTTTGACTCCCTGCGTATCCATTACGGCTAGAAGAGGTAGAAATTTGAAGGATTTGTTAGTACCAAGTCACCTACATTCACTTGCCCCCATTACGACCTGGTTGAAATCACCTGTAACAGGTACTTTTAAATGCAGCCGTTGTAAAGCTTGTAAGTTTATCAGAAAACAATCAAAGACCTTTTCTAACTCCTTTAATACGGAAAGTCACACTACTAAAACCTTCTTTAATTGTCAAACATCTGGCCTGGTATACCTCATTACATGCAGTTGCAACATGAAATATGTAGGCAAGACTATTAGACCCTTCAAGAATCGAATTTTGGAACATATCAATTCTGTTAATCCATCTAGACAAATTGATACACCGATTTCACGCCATCTCAAAACTCAACATGGTGGATCGGCTCAGGGTTTACGTTTCAATGGCATAGAAAGAATGACAATGGGTCCAAGGAAAGGGGACGTTGACAAAAAACTCTTACAGCGTGAGAGCTATTGGATCTTTAAATTGAAGACCTTATCCCCTTTAGGCTTGAATGAGGGTTTTTCTTTCACTCCTTTCATTTCTGACTAGAATCTGACCCTGAAATCTAATGAGCATGCTATTCTAATTCTTCTTATATATATTGTAAATATTAACTTTATCAATGTTTGTTTAATAGAATTTATCGAGAACTGGGCACTGTATCTTTAAATGCTACTAGAGGAATCTTAGCAACGGTTTCTTGTTATCTTTGAAACTGTATGCGATTGATTCATCATCTTTTTTGATATCATAGAAGCGCTTGAGAAGATTAAAATTTGTATAGATAACGAAGATACTGGACACCAAGTGAAATGGTGCCTCATATCACCTTAATACAATCCTAATATAATTCCAATCTTTGCTCGAATTATGTATAAGGGCTCCGTGTATATAGCTAATCATTAGAGGATATATTCTAACAATAAGTTATCCATATTGAGTTAGTATTTGGCATGTATATATATAGTTTTTTTTTTTTTTTTTTTAAACGATATCAAATACTATTTCACAACAGCTGTATATATATATTTATATGTTCCGTTACACAATTTTTAGAAATTACTCTTGAAAGAACTATGTGAATATTCAGAACAACCGTATTACCCCCTTTATCAGAGGGTTTGATAACAATAGAGTCATTTTGTTTTAAAGCATCTAAAGCTTTCCTCTCAGCGGGGCTCAAATTATTGTTATGGTGGGTCTGAAGAGACATGTTTTCATCCATATTATCAATCTCTTTGCAGGTAAGTTCCACAAAGAGATCGATATACTTGAATTCCGAGATATGAGGGGTAAATTTGCTTTTTAGTCTCAGAGTCGTAAATGGTGCGCCTAATTTGATGGGGGGATCATTACTATTCAGAAGATCGACTAGATTATCCAAAAGGTCTATATCTTGGGTTTCTAGGCCCAGCCTAGTGGCTCGTTTTGTTTTTTGTATACAGTGGAATTTATTTCACAACTGCTGTATATATATATTTATATGTTCCGTTACACAATTTTTAGAAATTACTCTTGAAAGAACTATGTGAATAAGTTTAATGTATCTTTTTCTTTCCGAGTCACCTTTGAAATGGGTTAATATCGACATGGGTCTCGGAACAATATTTATAGACGAGAACATTGTCATGGAGTCCCCTGGGGATTATAATTGAAGGATATTCATTTGTTTGCCCGATATCTATCAAGTACTTTCATAGTACATAGTGTATTGGCCATCCACACTATCCTCTTCCGCGATATTTTATCGAATGAAACCTGTCATCCTTAGCATTTCCACATATATACTATACAGTATTACCACTTAGCTCAACGTAGCATATTAGAACTTTTATATTGCGTCTAAGTTGAAAATGTATAAGTGCTTGTGGCACAGGGGTTATATACCGGAAGAATCTAGGATGATAACCGACCTTCTACCGGGACATGGAGTAATAATAATATAAAAGATAGCCGTCAGACTACTAATATATTCTTCTTTTACCCTGAGAAGTTCGCTTGACTAACACTGTAAGGGTTAAATTACTGAACCTAGCGGCACCTCAATAAAAACCAGTAGCAGAAGCTTGGCCTCTGATTTTAAAAGGTTCATTTGCATAATGAATGTGTTTTAGTTTATTTGCTTTTGGCGCCGTTTTCTTCGACCATTGATTGGTCCACGTTTCAAATCAGTAGCAAGAGATACATATAAAACAGTGAACCAGCCGTCATTAAACTTTCAGCCCCTGACGAAGGTGCACGTTAGCGGCACCGAAACGCGTGTCGGGTTTTCTTCACTTTTTTCTCACTTCACAGGGCACACTGTCACATGTGCAGGGACCAACATTCTAAGTATGGTCCTGCACATTAGCACGCACTAACTGTTTTTCTTTCTCCTCTATTCCTCCTGTATATTCTTTCCTTGTACTATTGGAGGAGTGATTTCAAAGATACCTGTTTTTATCTAGTATCACAGGCAGCCACGATCAGTCCGTTGAATTTTTGATGCCAATGTTGCTACTTTTATTGTGTATTTTCACGGACTGGATATTTTGTTTCTGTTGGGTATCCACGCAATGAATGCAATCCCATATACAGTTACATAAATGATAAGCCTGTTGAATAGTATATAACAGGGTACTTTCACCCCCCTCTAGTTACAGGATTAACACAGTATAACTTGGATAATGAGGCAGCAGCATTACATTTAACTTCTGCTGCAAGCTTGCCATATATTTGATACCAATACTGTGTTAATTTAGAATTGATGTCTATGATATTCATATCTTTATATTTTTCCAGACATTGACACTGATTATAATATTAAAGTCGGAAGTCTGATTTGACATTAACCAACTTAGACATTAGGGAGGTACAGCTATTGTTAGCTGGGGAGATTTATGTATTGATTGTTTTTTTACCTCTTTTTTGGTAAATTCACATAATTTATTTTATTTCATTTTATTATTTTGATATTACTTACTCCAATCTAATTTCCAGTCATTATTTTACATATCTGGAGTGTTTCCTCCAGACTTGTAATATAAATTTTCTTTTGATTACATATATTAAACAATCACATATTTTTATATATCGTATGGTCACACTGCTAAAAGGTTTAAGTAAATTATTTAATTCTTGGCAATTTTTAAGGAAATGGGGAGAAGTCGGATCAGATATACATAGTGGAATTATGAGGACAATAAAATAGCTGGAAATATAGCAAATTAAAGTGATACAGTTAAAGGACCATGTGATAAAGTGAAGGCAGATAGGCCTATAACATTTAACCCCAGGGGGAGTATGTGTAGTATGTGTTGTAGGCAACACAAACCAAAGTTTAGTTATGGTCCCCTGGGGTGGAGCATTTGGAGAGCAGGGTGGGCCAATGCTCCACTCCGCAGTTTGCATGCAACTGGGAGAAAAAAGTTACAGGCCAGAGAGTTGATCTGTCTCGAACCCACTGCTCAGCTGCAGATAATCAGCTGCAGCAGTGGGAATAAACCCCTTCCTGCTAGGCAGGTAAAGGGGGATTGCTGGCTTCCTCCCTGAAAGCAGGTAGGAGAGACACTGTTCTCTCCTGTAAGAGAGTCAAGGAAACTGAGCACTGGGAGTGCAGAAAGGAAAGCAGTTAAGACTGGCTTGGAGCACTGGGAGTGCAGAAGGAAAGCAGTTAAGGTTGGCTTGGAGCACTGGAAGTGCGGAAGGAAAGCAGTTAAGGCTGGCTTGGAGCACTGGGAGTGCAGAAGGAAGCAGTCAAGGCTGGCTTGGAGCACTGGGAGTGCAGTAAGGAAAGCAGCAGGCTAGCTGACAGCACTGGAGTGCAGAAAGGAGAGAGAATTTTGTTTCTTTCTAGAAGGAATGGAAGCCACATGCTAACTGAGTCTGGAGTGCAGAGATCTGACAAAGGCACTAAGTTGGTGAAACCCATTATAGTTCTGTTATAGTTTAAACCCTTAAAAGATAGGGAACTTGATGTTAGTAAGTGCTCAGACTGAGCTAGGATTTGTTTATAAGGATTTGTGTTACTGGTTTTTTTTTTCATTTGCTGCTGTATCTGTGGTGGAGTTTAACAATAAAGTGCCTAGAATTAAGTTGCCTTAAAAGACTGTGCATGTTTGTGCCCAAGAGGACCGTGCTACCTGCTGACGAGGATCCACCCAGACCACTTCAGCTCAATTAAGTGGAAGAGTGGGACCCTGAGAGTGGGGGGAGACCTAAAGACCCTATAGTGCCAGGAAAACCAAGTTTGTTTTCATGGCACTATAGTGGTCCTTTAACATATAGTGGGAAGAAGGGGGATTAATCGCATAAGTGGAATTAGTGTTGAACATTTGGATAAATTATATTTAAATAAGATCAAAATTAACATACAAAAAATGGAAAGGGAGAGAAGAAGGGAAAGAAAAAGGAAAAATATATGTATATATTGTTTTACTGTATATTCTAGAAGCCTTCACTCCTTCACTCTTAATTATTATAAAGTTTTATTCATAATCTACCTCTATTTCTAATCATTATAAAGTCCTATTCATAATCTAATATTTAGGAATCGCTGTTCACTGAAAGTATTGATGTAAGAAGAAAGTGCATAGCTCAATTTCTTAATATGTTTAAGGGTGACTAATAATATAGCAATTTATCAAGTGGTTACAGTTGTCATTTAGAAAACTGTATCAAGGTAGTAATACAACATATTGATTGAGTATAATGTGGAATAATAAGGTTTACCATACTTATCTCTAGATATATTATCTCTATGGACTTTAACTTGTGGCTTGGTGAATGGTGTTGGGAGCAAGGATGTGGCTTCATTTCTCATGGTAGCTCTGTTTGGAATGGAAATAAACTGTACAAAAAATATGGTTTGCATCTTTCTCAAAAGGGAACAAATGGTCTCAGTGAGCATTTCAAAGGTTTTGCTAGGATGTATTTAAACTAGGAGGGGGGGGGGCAAAAGGGTGATAAAACATCAATCCAATTGCCTTCCAAAACAAGGACCGAAGGTGCCTGTAGCAAGTGTGTTAAAAATGATAAGCTTAGAGTCATGTCTACAAATGCTCGCAGTTTAGGGAATAAGATCCATGAACTTGAGGCAATAATGGCAACTGATAATATAGATTTAGTCGCGGTTACTGAGACATGGTATAATGAGAGAATTGACTGGGACATAGCAATACCAGGGTACTCTTAATATAGAAAAGATAGGGAAGGCAAGAAAGGGGGAGGGGTGGCCCTGTACGTGGAGGATAGCATAAAATCTAGTCTAATAAAAGTTAGTGAGGCGATCATAGAGTCCGTTTGGGTTATGTTAGAATTTGGTAATCACACAGTAACTCATGTAGGTGTGATTTATAGGCCCCCTGTACAAATAGAAGAGTTAGATAAGCTACTGGTTTGAGGAAATAGCTAAAATGACAATCAAGGGTGAAGTTATCATCATAGGTGACTTTAATCCTCCTGATGTAAACTGGAAAACCAAAATAGCTGCTTGAGCCAGAAGCACACGTATTCTAAACATCCTACTGGGATTGTCTCTAAAACAAGTCGTTGAGGAGCCAATTCGTAAAGAGACTATACTAGATTTAGTGTTAGCAAATGGAGATTTGGTATCAGATATTACTGTAGATGAAAGTTTAGGATCCAGTGATAATCAGTCAGTGTGGTTTAATATAAGAACAGTGACTGAGTTACACCACACAAAAGCAAAAGTTTTAGGCTTTAGAAAAACAGACTTTTCTTAAATTAGAATATGTGTAAATGAGTCACTATCAGACTGGAGCAATTTAACCCCTGGAGTCCAAGAGAAATGGGATTAGTTAAAAATTTAACTGCTAAAGGCAACAGAAAATTGCATTAGGCTTGTCAGTAAAAGCAAAACATTTAAGAAACCCCTGTAGTACTCCAGAGATGTGGCCAAAATAGTAAAAAAATAAAAGTAAGCATTTAGTAATTATACAAATAAACAGAGTGAGGAAGATAGACAGATCTATAAGATTAGGCAGAAAGAGGCTAAGCAAGTTATAAGAGCTTCCGAATCACACACAGAAGAGAAAATAGCACAGTCAGTAAAAAAGTGGACAAAACCATTTTTTAGATACATAATTGAGAAAAGGAAAGTAAAACAATGATTAGTTAGATTAAAACAAAAGAAGGAAGGTATGTAGAAGAGGATAAAGGTCTAGCTGACTGCCTCAATGAATATTTATGTTCAGTATTTACAGTTGAAAATTAAGGAAAGGGGCCTCGGTTAGGAAAAGGGCAAATGAGTCATTTGTTACATGTGAGTTTACAGAGGAAGAGGTTCTAGTTCAACTGTCAAAACTAAAGACAAGTCAATGGGAACTGATGGAATACACCCAACATTATTAAAAGAGCTTAGTGGTGTACTAGCAAAACCATTAACGGATGTATTTAACCAATCACTGTTAACAGGAGTAGTCCCTGAAGATTGGAAGTTAGCGAATGTTGTGCCCATTCACAAGAAAGGAAGTAGGGAGGAGTCGGGCAACTATATTAAAATAAGCCTTACTTTAGTACTGGGGAAAATAATAGATACCATGTTAAAGGATAGGATTGTTGAACATCTAAAAATCACATGGATTTCAAGATCAGAAATAACTTGGATTTACTTCAGGGAGATCATGCCAAACTAACCTTATTGATTTTTTTTGATTGGGTAACTAAAATAATAGTTCAGGGTGGTGCTGTAGATTTTGCTTATCCTGATTTCAATAAGGCTTTTGATACTGTTGCACATAGAAGGCTTACACCCCACCTCCTATAGAATGTAAAACCGTAAGTTTTTTGTAATTGTCCTATTTATAGTTAAATCCCCCTCTCATAATATTGTAAAGCACTACGGAATCTGTTGGTGCTATATTAATGAAGATCCTATGTACCGGCACTCTTTCACCTGTATTGGTGCGAAGTATCAGGGTTGCCCAGTGACCTCAAAAATTACAAACTACCAAAAAATTATACTGCACTCAAAAAATTGCTTTAGATAAAGTTCATTGCTTCATTTAATAATTCATAATGGTATTGTTTAGACATAATTCATTAATTGCAAAAAATATATAGAAATAAATAATTTGATAATATATACACACTGAAATCAAACAATATATCCTAATGGAAACAATTCATTGTAAACCTATACATATAACTCCATGTTACTAAAGATCCCTAATCACAGATTTATGAATTATCCAGATAATGCTGCTTTAACTGTATCCTAGAGTCCGAGGATCCCATCCAAAAAGAGGGATAAAAAAAGAAGAAAAAGAAGAAAAAAAAAAAATAAAAACATGAAAAAATATGAAAAAAGTGAAAAAAGTGAAAAAAAGAAAAAATACAAAATTTCCTCTTGATATAAGATTTCTGTTTTGGGACGTATTTAATCAAAAATGTATCCAAGATTACTGCTAAAAAGGATAATTTCACAGGAAGATCGGGTAGAACCAGGGATGGAATTCATGTGTAACAAATTAATTGATAGGGGTTATCCACCAGAACTAGTAAGAAAACACAGAATTAAGATTTCAGATATGGACAGGATAGCAGTGCTTAACGCTACCGGCAAGAGGAACACTATACAAAGAATTCCCTTTATATCACCTTATAACCCGTACAGTAATGCTATTAAAAAAATAATAATGAAACATTGGAACATTTTTGAGGGTGACACTAATTTGCCAATAGAATTTAGGAATTCCCCCCTGTTTTCCTATAAAAGAGCACAGAATTTGAGAGACAAATTGGTACACTCGGATATAGGTAGTAATAAGAAACAGAGAAGATTTTTCAGAAATGTGCCTGAACTGTATATATTGCAACAGTGTAATCAGAGGTGAGTGTTTTGTACATCCACGATCGGGTAAACCTTACAAAATACTTGATTATTATACGTGCAACTCAGATTATGTGGTCTACATTCTGAAATGCCCATGTGGGTTTCTCTATGTTGTGGAAACAACTTGGCCAGTGAAGGAGCGTATTGGAGAACATAAAAGGGACATTAGAATGGCCATTCAGAAAGGGACATGTGACAAACCAGTACCCAGGCACTTCTTACAGCAAGGTCACAATGTCAATCAATTACGTTTCCAGGTAATTGATAGTGTTAAACCATTACGGAGAGGTGGCGATAGACAAAAGGTACTTTTATGCATGTTCTCCAATACGCTCACAGGGACAGTAAAGGTTCAAGGTTTTGGAGAAATTCCCAATGCTATATGAAGCAAGTTTAGCATATAGGAAAAAAAGACGAGTGGCTATAATTATATCTAATGATTTGAAATTTGAATATAGCTTTCATGAGGCTGACTGCAATGGTAGATATGTAATTTTACTATGTAAACCGGACGGGGTGTTGTACACGCTAGTAAATTTCTATGCTCCAAATGACTTCCCAGTAAAATTTTTAGGTTCTATATATGAGAAAGTAGAGAAATACTTAAAAGGGGTTTTAATTATTGGTGGTGGTATAAATTGTGTTGCAGATGTGGGCTTGGACAAATTTGAACATTTTGCAAAATGTATTTAATCAGATATAGGTAATATCTCCTGGTCAAATCACGCATCGTTTTTCTGTACTTTTGAAAATAATCTTTTCCATAAAATAAGATCTGACTGGAGAATTAAAGAATTTAATCTGATCTCAGAATCAGCTAAACAGGGTTTAAGTAAGGAAATTATTTTTTTTACAATTTAATGACACCAAAGAGGTATCAGGTGTAATGTTATGGTCTGCTTTGAAATGCACGATCAGAGGTTATTTAATAAAGGCAGATGCATATTTAAGGAAAGAAAGGGGTAAGGCGCTCGCAGACTTGTACTTAGAGTTAGAAAATTTTGAGAGGATAAATAAATTGAACCCTAACCCCACCATATGAGAAAAAATAATTAAAGTCCAGAGGGAAACAAAGGCGAAATTGGATGAAAAGCTTCAAAAATGTATGTATAATTCTAACAAGAAATGGTATTACTCTAGCAATAGAGTGAATAAAATCCTCACAAATAATATTAAGCAGAAAATTAAAGATCTAGGATACAGTGTCTGGTTGTGGGCTGGAAGGTTATATATGATTCACTCAAAACAGCAGAAGCTTTTAAGAAATATTATCAGTCGTTATATAATCTGAAACATAGTCAGATTTCAAAGAAGTTTTGTTGAAATGAAAACTCCCCAGGATCTCAGAAGACACGCAAGAGTCTCTTAATAAATCTTTTACATTGGGAGAAGTCAGAGACACAATTCAAGAAACAAAAAAAGGGGAAATCACTGGGTCCTAATGGTTATACTGTGATTTTTTTTATTATAAACTCACGGACCCGTTGATTTCCCTGTTGTTAGTTAGGATATTTAATCAGTTTGCGGAGAGTGGGGACATCCTAGAAGAATTACTTCAAGCGTCTATTTGTCCAATACCAAATATAGGAAAAGACCTGTCCCTCCAAGAAATGTATAAGCCAATATTGCTTATAAATTTAGATCTGAAAATCTATTTATAAATATTGGCAGATAGACGAAAATTTGTAATTCAGGATTTAGTTCACTCGGACCAATCTGGATTTATCTCAGGAAAAACAGGGGGATGATAATACACTTAAATTGTTAAATCGAAATATAGAGATTCAGGATAAAGTAATCCTGTCTGTCTTCTTAGCGTTAGACACTGAGAAGGCCTTTGATAGGGTAAGTTGGCCATTTTTATTTGAGACCTTAGAGGTTACAAGGATTCAGGGCCTCTTTAAGAAGGGTGCAATGGCTCTTTATAACAACCCAAGTGCAAAGGTAACAGGTCCCGCACTTAACTCTCATTTACTTATTTGCATAACGGTACAAGGCAAGGTTGTTCATTGGCCCTTTATTGTACGCACTATCAATTGAACCATTGGCAGCCATGATAAGAGCAACAGAGGCAATAGAGGGTATTCAAATCAATAATCAAATCTTTAAAATAACACTTGATGCCGATGATATTATTCTTACTTTAACATTTTCTGAAACCTCTATCCTAGCATTATTATTAACAATATAAGAATATAGTATATTTTCAAACTATAAAATAAACTTACATAAAACTCAATTAATATCAAATAGACTTACTTCCTCTCAAAAACAGAATATTCAGGATAGGTTCCAAATTAAATGGAAAAAAGACTGGATAGAATATTTAGGAATTAAGATAATGTTCAACTTAAATCAAATCATAATCCTCAATTATAATGAATTGTTAATAGAGCTTGAACAACAGATAAATAAGCTTAAAAACTATTCATTCTTCTGGATGGGAATGAATAACATGATAAAAGCATATCTCATACCCAAGATAATTTTTTTATTCAGAATGATTCCAATGTGATTATCAGAATATTTGTTAGATAAATTCAACAAAATATTATTGGCTTTTTTATGGAAGGGTCAATCAACCGGAATCACACAAAATATTATAAAGAGAGATGGCTCTCAACTGGGATTAAACTTTCCAGATCTGGTGTTAATGATATCTCAATGTCCACCCACACTCTAGCTGCTGCATAAAAAAAAAAAACGGAGTAAGCGGTGGTTTCATTGCAAGAAATATGATCTAAAAGGATATACCGTATATACTCAAGTATAAGACAAGTTTTTTGGTAAATTTTTTGTGCTGAAAAAGCTCCACTCGTCTTAAACTCGAGTCAGTGTCTGTATTATGGCAACTTATATTGCCATAATACAGACCAGGACTGCCAGGCTCATTACAAGCCCGGTGGTCCTGTTGGGGGCTGGGAGCAAGCTGTTACTTACCTTTACAGCAACTCCTGTCAGCTCCCTTCTCCTCCGTGCCATTCAGCTCCACTGTAAGTCTCGCTATAGGCCGCGGCCATCAGAGCATTGCCACGGGTTACCGTGGCAACCCTCCATGCGGCACGCAGACCGCGAGACTTACAGTGGAGCTGAATGGCAAAGAGGAGAAGGGAGCTGAACGGAGCTGCTGTTAAGGTATATACACACACTGCATTCATAAACACACACACACTGCATTATATATACACACACACTGCATTATATACACACACACACTTCATTCATACACACACATACTCTGCATTATATACACACACACACTGCATTCATTATATACACACTACACAAACACACACACACACACTCAGCATTCTTTATATACACACACTACACAAACACACACACTGTAAATAAATATTCAATTAATATAATTTTTGGGGGATCTAATTTTATTTAGAAATTTACCAGTAGCTGCTGCATTTCCCACCCTAGTCTTATACTCGAGTCAATAAGTTTTCCAAGTTTGTTGGGGTAAAGTTAGGGGCCTCGACTTATATTTGGGTCGACTTATACTCGAGTATATACAGTAATCCATTTCTCATATTATGGTTACATCCCACAAAATAATAAATTCCTAACCCTGTATAATAGAATCCTGAGAGATGCAATAAAAACTGTGGCAAAAGTCAGAGATAAGTTGGGTATTTGGGTATATTTTCACCTCATCCACTCCACTAAGAGCTATTAGCTTAAATATACAAGATCTGTATCTTACTGGATGGATTGGGGAAAAAATATCTACGCTTGCAGATATAAAGTTAGATATGGGTATTCAAACATTCGGACGGCTAAGAGAAGAATATGGTCTTTTAAGTCGGGATATTTTCCCATACTTGAGGATTAAAAACTTCTTTAAAAATAATCCTATCGATGAGTCAAATGTTCTGGACGATTTTATAAAGAAACAGTACGGGAATAAATTAATTTCTAGATTCAAGAACCTAATAGTAAATAACCGGAACCTTGACCCTATTTCCAATATTGAGAAATTGGAGCGAGATTGTGAGACAGAATTTCCGGTGCAGATCTGGTGTAAAACATGGACAGTTGTTACAAGAGCAGTACACTCGATTAATACACAGGAAACATTTTATAAACTGATACATATATGGTATCTAGATCCTTGCCGTCTAAGTAAGTTCAACAGAGAAACCATTGATATATGTTGGAGGTGCAACCAGTTTACGGGGACTCCATGGTTTGAAATAATTTAAGAGTAGTCCCCTATTGGAATGATGCTGACTGTGAAAGGAAAGGCACCACATGGATGGTTCCCTGGACCTTATATATCGCTCCATTTATGACAGTGTTCATTATATGATAAGAGGGAAGAAAAAGAATGAGGATATGTATAGTTTTCTTTAGAAGTGTATCCCCTCTTTAAATGGGGTTGATATGGAATTGAAGTTAGGATCTCAGTAGTTTGTTAAATGTATTGGAACCAAGAGTGAATGAATGTATGGAAGAAGGAATGCAGGAAACTTTTTTATTAAGATAATTGAACAATAGAAGATAATAAATGTATAAAAGGTGCTTGAAAGGAGATTTAAGGCCACACTTAACTGTATAAATTCTTGGGAAGGTTATAAAATGTTGTGTTGTGGTTAAACTGAAAATAACTAAATGTCAACATTTCGCCTTTTTAATGTATGTTATCTTCATTTTGTACTTTATTATCGTTTTATAAGAGAAAAAGAGAAACTCAATAAAAAATAAAAATAAAAATAATGCCTGATATTGTGAATCCATTAGGCAGGCAAGGCACTATTGTAGCTATTGCTACATGTTAGCACTGTAAAAGGCACATGCTTTTTTTGGCTGCTTGAATGTCTTTTTGAATGCTTGAATGTCTTTGTAAATTTTTTTATTATTTTGTACCGGAATTTTGAAAAACCAAACTTTTCTTCAGATAAAGTGATTTGTTTGAATCAATTTTATTGCCATGCATAAGTCTACTTAATACTGGACATTTGCAAGAATCTAAGAAGTATATTGACATATACTAATTTACCTTCTGAAATTACCCTGTTGAAGGCAGGTTTCCTGTGAAAACTAGACTTTTTCCAGATATTAAGATGGTAATATGGTTGATTAGGGGATCAAGACTTACCACTTTCAATACTAATTGAACAAGGATCATCATATATGACTTTGACACTGGGACAATCAGCTGCTGTCTTCCAGGTATTAGCAAATGCTGCAGCAGTGCCTTCAATCACACCACTGATAGTTTTGAAATCATCGTTTTGCTGGTTATTATAGTTTCCACAAAGACCTACAATAGTAAACATATATTCACAATGTCATACTTCCCAACATTTAGGGGTGTGGTTAGGTGCTGGGCTGTTCCGAGAAAATGTAGGTGACTTACTAATAACACTTTATACAAATAAAATGCAATTCACAACGTGAACAATGTATCTAATATACACAGACTTATTTTTAAACATACTTATTGTACTTTAAGGACATGCATCATTTGGCTATCATTTTAATAAATGTTTAAACAAGCAGGAAAATACTTTTAAAGAAATATACAACAACAAACTTTGAAAAGTATGTAAGATTTTTGTATAAACTTACTATTATCTTGGTCAGATTGCATTATTGGTCACAAAACTCAAATAGGGGAGTTTCTTCAGCCTCCCCCACTCACTCATACTTACCTATTTCAAACAAATCATATTTACCAGTTTTTGTCAGCGTGCAGAGTGAGGTACATGTCCCATTCAAAGCTTAAGCTTTTGAATGAGACAGTTGTCTGAAAGTGAGGCATGCCATTCTAAAGACACATTACTCTGAGCATTATTGCTGTTGAGCTCTGCTATATACTTTGACACACCAACAACATGGAGCTCCTAAAAAGAGGGACATCAGGACAGAAAGAGAGACCGAGGGTTTGGGGCCCAAAACAGGATCTGTCCCTCCTAAATAAATACATTTGGGATGTATGCAATGGGGTTAGGAGGTTAACTTGTCGCTTTCTTTATGTTTAGCTGTAGGACAGTTGTGTTTATTCACTAACCTATTGTGAAACTAGCATAAATAGATGAGTTTGAAAAAATAAAATAATAATTCATAGTTGAGGGTTTTTTGCCTCCTGCTCTACTTAGATACTAATCTGAGTCTGTTTTCTGTTTGCTTAGCCCACATACTTTAAACCTCCTAATTCATAAAAAAAGTTACCTGAACCATTATCCATCCAAATAGAAAAGGATAACCTAACCCTAGTCCTCCTTTACCCTAATCTTGTCGTGATTTTAACTGCCAAATATTGTCCATGTTCTCATGTACATTTAAATCATGAGTTTTTAAATCTAAGCTTATGTATAGGAGCTCTGATATCCCAGTTGAATATCTCTGAAGAAATTCCCTCTAGCTGGAAGAAAAATTTACGGCCCCATTCCCCAGACATCAGACCAGACATAATACTGGGGAGAACAACAACTTTTATTGGAACAATGCGACTTTATATACACAGAACCCCAGCATGGGGTCTCCAGCAAAAGTATAGGTGATCCGGCCCTGGCATCTCTGTGTCTTGGAGAGGGTGGTGACATACATGGCTTAATTTAACGATTTCCCAAGCACAGAACACAAAAGCACCCCAAAACACAATTAAATAAAAATAAGACACATTATATATCTCCTGATAGTCCATAGTTGAGCATAGTCCCTGCTTTGTAGAAGAAACGCCACTCAGTGAAAGGAGAGTTGGAGTTTTTGTGGTCGGCAAGCTGTCAGTGCCGAGTGGCTTGCAGTCAAGGCGCTTTACAGGCTGGTTTTTCCATTGATGTCAAAAATGCTAAATCACAACATGAGTTACACATCCCTGGACAGGTGTTGTTTCCCCAAGTATATTGTCCAAATATTAGCTGGATCGGAGGTGCCAAGCCAGAGGGATTATTGAATAGAGTTTTAAATGGGAGTTGGGCATATCTCGATCTGGCGTGGAGTTCAAAACAAAAACAGTCCTAGTGCAGCATTGTCATATATAAAAAAACTAAGATAAAATTCTAATAAATAAAACTCACAAACATGGAGAGGTTGTAGAGGGCTCAGAGAGAATAAGCCCTTTGTGAATGGGATCCGATAAACTCATCACCAGCAAAACTCTTTGTTTAAAATCTTTATTATACTACGAAAAAAGTTGTAAAAGTTGTGCAGCACTGAAGGCAGATTCCAAGATGAAAGGTCCAGCTACGTGCCCTCAAAAAAAAACAGTCCGGTGTGCACTCTAGCTATTTGTCAGTCACTCCTGTTGGCCTCAGCAGCTTAATCTGGCACACTCCTTCTCTGCACTTCTGGGTTTGGCATGTGATGCATTTTGCTATGCCTTCTGGGGCTTTCTCAAATATGTGATGAGTCCTCCCACTCCTGTCTATTTTATATATCAGCTATGTGTAGACTACTCTGCAGACTACCCTACTATACTACTTGAGCCGAGAGCTAGTCCTAGCAGGGACTTTCCTCCTCTGGTTACTCCAATATGTACTCAGGAACAAGTAGAATATTCCAAGGAAAGAGTCAGATACAGGAAAATGCTCCAAAAATCTCCCAACACCTCCCCATCAACTGGACGCTACTCAGCTCTGGGAGTAAAACTGATTTTATTGTAGCAACAGCTGGCCTTTTATGAGAATCTCCATGCAAGGGGTTTCTAGATGCACATTCCAGGGGCATTCCCCCACTGGACCTGAGAGTAGACTGAAGCAAAGTAAACACTATAATTACATAACCTCTCAGGTCCAGGACATGTTGTAACGGACCGTTTTGCACAAAAGGGGTAAAAACCGTTTAGACGATAATCCCCTTTCAGAGACAGGCACAGCTATTGTAGAATCACCAAAACTCATGAAATGAATACAAGTGAATGCTCCAAACACCCGAACTGCATACAAGGAAATGCTCCAAACACTCGAACTGCATACAAGGGAATGCTCCAAACACTCAAACTGGAACCTCACGAATAGCTGCTAGCAGATGAACAGGAAAAGCACCCAAGCGGCTTACACTCCTGGCAATCAGTCTCTATCAGCATACAGTAAATCCCCCCCAAAGACGAGACAGAGCTCCGTGTTGTGGGTCAAGCAGGGTCTGTTTAATGAGGGCTACCTGCCCAGTATTTATGCAGGTCTCCCACCTGGTGGACATTCCCCTAGGGGACCAGATGGAAGACTGTAACAAAAGACAGACATGTACCAATTACAGACATACAGAAGTAAAACATCCCCACAATGCATCCTGGCTTCCTCCCCTCTGCCCTGTAGAAGTAATTCAATTATCTCCCAGGACAAAGGCAAAACTCCATTACACATGTGGGGACACAAAGACAGACTATCACTTTAAAATACATAATGGGACAAATGGTACAGTAAATATATACATGTAACATATCCCCAGCTAGCTCAGGTCTGAGTGCACATTATTAGGTGAATGGCACTCAGACCACACGAATACAGTTTAATTGCCATGGAGCCAAAGTCTTTAATTCCACGAACAGGCTCCATGGCATAGCTATCTGAGTTAAAACATTCCTCCAACATAAAATACCGAATTTACATGCATTCGTTAAATCCGTACGAATTAGAACCAGGGGTTGGAGGTTCAGCGGTGCCTGCAGGTAAAAGTGTCCGGGTTTGGTGCAGGAAAGCCGGGCAGAAAAGCGCTGGCTGCCCGGGGAGCTCCAGAACACCGCCATCGTGTGGCGGCTAAGTGTAACCGCGACCACCCAGTAACAATCAATTAAGCTGCGGTTAACCGCAGCTACTGGGTGGTCAATTGCCGGCACACGCTCGTTAAGCCGCGGTTAACCGCGGCTTCAGGGAGGTAAATGGAGGGCGCACTCCAGCTTCTGGGTGGCCAATTAAGGTCGCCGGCCGGCTTCCCACGGCTCTGGGGAGGCTGAAAAGAAACTGTTTGTTCGGTAGATAGAATCTACCGAACGGCTGTGCAGAAAGGGAGAAATAAATCCTTCTGCACAGTAAAATTAACCCTTTAGCTGCCGGTCCATAATCCAAAGGCAGCAGGTGGGCAACCAGGCTCCTCCAATTCAATGTGGCGAGATTGGTCTCGTCACATCTCCCCCCTTTTCCAAACAGACTAACAGGGTGTCTGACCTCCTGCCGGTCAGTGCCCTTGTTAGTCCAGCAGCCCACCCACAAAACAGAAAAAACAGTACAGCCCATCCACAATAAATGGTTACTACACCTGGGTAGGGGAGAACCTTGTCCATGTCCAGGTGCCTCACCAAGGCTGTGTGGGGAACTGGTAGGCTGCCTTGGTGGGTTGCTGAGTGGGCAGAGACCAGCGGTACTCTGTCCTGTTGCCAGTACTACCAACGGAGTAGTCTGGTTGGAGCCTGGTTGCTGGAAACTGACTGTCTCCCCTTTAGGTGCACGGCTCTGCTGCCGGAGGGGGAGACCGACTGTCTCCCCCTTGGATACACAGCTCTGCTGCCGAAGGAGGAGACTGACTGTCTCCCCTTTGGCTAAACAGCCCTGTCGTGGGGGGATAGGACCGACCGCCCCTACCCCTTGTGTGGTAAGGGCAGAGACCACGGTCCCATCTGCACAGGTGTGGGGCTTACAGTCTCCCCCTGATACATTAAGCTGTCGCTGGGGAGAGGGGGTAACAAGCTCCTCTCCCGATAGAACACGCTGCTGCTGGGGAATGGAGACTGGGCTCTCAATTCCCTGCCCATTAATGGTCCGCCACTGGGGAGAGGTGGTAACGAGCTCCTCTCCCAGACATACTTCCAGTCTTTGCGGCGGGAGACTGACTGTCTCTCCTCCCAATACAGAGTCCTGCTGCTGGGGAAAGGAGACTGGGCTCTCTATTCCCTGCTGGATACTCTGCCGCTGGGGAATGGAGACTGGGCTCCCAATTCCCGACACATCACACTGCCGCTGGGGAATGGAGACTGGGCTCCCAATTCACAAAAAATCCCGCTGCTGCTGGGGAGGGAGGACACTGCTCTCCTCTCCCTGGACTTCACACTGCCTTCCCGGCATATCACTCGGCTGCTGGGGGGCAGGAACAACTACCTCTGCCCCCTGTAACTCAGCCTGCTGCTGGGGAGGGAGGACGCTGCTCTCCTCTCCTGCACTTTACACTGCCGCTGGGGAATGGAGACTGGGCTCCCAATTCCCGACACATCACACTGCTGCTGGGGAATGGAGACTGGGCTCCCAATTCCCGGCATATCACACTGCCGCTGGGGAATGGAGACTGGGCTCCCAATTCCCAATAAATCACACGGCCGCTGGGGAATGGAGACTGGGCTTCCAATTCCCTGCAGGACCGGTGGAGAGACCTCGGTCCCATCTCCACCGGCCACCTGGGGTTCTTCCCAGTAACACTCCACAATATCTTCCCAGCTGAATGGGTCTGGATCTGGGTCTCCGCTTCCCTGCTGAGCCTTCTCACTGGAGTGGAACAGATTTTGGTAACCCTGTTCCAGCTCCATCTCTCGGGTCACCAGGTGGACCAGGTCTTGCTCAATTTCGTGAGTGTCGTCCCAGTCATACCTGCTCTCCCTCCACTCAAAGAGATCACTGAACCGGGCTTGTGTAGGGCTCCCAAGCTCAGGCTCTGCAAAAGTCTCCCATAACAAGCCAGGACCATCAAACTCCTCTCCCTCTGGCTTGTCATGCTCGGCTTTCCAGGGCAGGCATTGTGCCCCATACCACCAGAGCGCCTGGTAGGCATCTTCTAGCCACATCTCCTGCCATACTAGGTGTTCCAATTTCCTCACCCATTCCTCCAGGGGCTGCTCTCCCAGGAAGGGCATCTGCAGGGCTACTCGCTTCTGCAACCGTTGGTTTTCCTTGGGGAATCTCTCGCCCCGCTGGTACTCCGCAATACCCAGTGCCTGGTACCAGATGCCTTTACGGACTGCATCTCGGTCATCCATGGCACCCTCATCATACTCCACTGCTGGTTCCATCCTGGTTCTGTCAGGGTCGCTGTACTAAGACATGCGTTGCCCACAAATTGTAAAATCCAAGGAAATGGTGTCTCCTGTAGCTGTCCTTCTGGCTGTAGGAATGATCTCGCCGCTGCCACCAATTGTAACGGACCGTTTTGCACAAAAGGGGTAAAAACCGTTTAGACGATAATCCCCTTTCAGAGACAGGCACAGCTACTGTAGAATCACCAAAACTCACGAACTGAATACAAGTGAATGCTCCATCTGTGTATGGAGAGAGACAGGGATAGGAAGCTGCATCTTATCCTTGCTTCTCTCTGCTGATTGAAACCGCAGGGGAGAAACACATGCAGGCAACAGAGACAGCCTACAGATCAGGTAAGTGGGGGATGGGGGGGAGGATTTGGGGAGGGGGGCAGCAGCCCATAGATTTGGGGGCAGCAGCCCATAGATTTGGGGGGGCAGCAGCCCATAGATTTGGGGGGGCAGCAGCCCATAGATTTGGGGAGGGGGCAGCAGCCTATAGATATATAGAAATGAACAGGAAGGGTCAGCAAGGAGCTGGAAGGTAAAGCAGCACAAAGGTAAAGTAGAAGGAGCAGAAAGGGTCAGAAATGAGCTGGAAGGGGCAGAAGGAGCACAAACAAAGTAGGAGAATGAGCAAGAAGGGCCTGCAAGGAGCAAAAAGGGTCAGAAATGAGCTGGAAGGGGCAGAAGGAGCACAAACATAAAGTAGGAGAATGAGCAGGAAGGGCCTGCAAGGAGCAGGAAGGAGCACAAAGGGACAGCAAGGAGCACAAAGGTAAAGGAGCAGAAAGAATCAGAAGGAGCACAAAGGTAAAGTAGGAGAAAGAGCAGAAAGGGACAGCAAGGAGCACAAAGGTAGAAAAGGAAGCAGAAAGTCTGCAAGGAGCAGAAAGGGATCAGAATGAGAAAGGAGCAGAAGGGCGCAAAATAAGCAGAAAGTAGCAGAAAGGTAAAAGAGCAGAAGGGGCCAAGGATAGAAAACAGTGTCAGAAGACTGTCAAATGAAGGAGAGGAAAAGGAGATTGGAGCAGGAAGGACAAATGAAGTGAACCCTCCACTTTATTCTGGACACCACATCATAAGGCTTTGGTACCTAGGCCTGGCAGGGAAACGCTGGACCTTCTCATCTCCAAAGGTAAAAAAAT